ATGTCCTTATCTTTGCATTAACTTTCCTTTCTTCATAGTAACGTTTTAAACCTTATTTTAGGTTTTGTCTGCTTTCCCGAAGTTTCTGTTAATATGTCATTGTATTTATCTGGGTAAATATTGCCTTTCCTTTTGAAAGAGGTTTCAAAATAAACTATGTATATATTTATTAATCCCTTGACTTGGACCGGTTTTAAAGACACTTTCTTATCGTTAAAAATTGTCGCTTTTGCCGATTGGTTGTTACCGATGGAATGGTTTTTATACTCATAAAATGATGGGAGAACTTACAGCGCTCATCCTGTCCCCGTAGATGGGGGTGACTTGGTCCCGCAGTAGCTTGCCCCGGTTGTCAAAATGACCACGCGCCGCTACTGAGTAAAAGTAATAATATAGCCTAATGATAGTAAGCCGTAAACCAAAACCAGAAATCGCGATGTGTACTGGTTGCATATAAAGTACATTGTACACCGATATTCATCGAGTACTGTACTGATTAGAGGTTCATTTATATTCTAAGATATTGCATTTCCGCCCACACAAATATTATATCAAGCAACATTAATTTATGACTAGGACGCCAAGCCTTCGTATTCCTCCCAAACACGCCAATGATTGCGCGTCACCGAGAGAACAGTTTCGAATACGCCAACGTATTTACTCATGTTTAAAAACAAATAATACGTAACTTATTGATACAAACAGTTATTCACGGTATTCAACTTGTGTGAAACAGATAGCATCACTCTTGTCGATTTTATATTTCATTTCGACCATACGTAATAGACAAACGCATACGTCGTTTGTATCACGATGAGGAAGTTAAAAGTATTTTAAGACGTTTGTTAGCTCAAAGCAGTCACAGTTGCATCAACTTAATGCAGACATTTAATAAGGAGGATGCCTTCAAACATTCGAGACCAGGATCGAGAACCAGAAGTATTAGAACGTGAGATTAACATGCCACAGAATACGCATTCTAACACTGCTGCCACCGAGTACAATGAAGACGACGTAATGGTAAAATCAAGCACAAACCAAGTATCCATCAAGCCGCATAATAGAGAAAAAGTGCTGCACAACATGATAATATTTTTGAATCCTTCGTCAACAACACCAGAAATAGGATTAAGATGTGACAGTCATAAAAACGTGGCATTAGAATTTAGTCAAACTGAAATACTTTACAAAGACATGAAGTTAAGTTCACTCGATATATACAAAATGAACCTGCAACAGCATTTGGCAGAAGGAACCTTTCCTTTGTCGGACAATTTTATCATGTCGATATTGTTACAAGTGACCGAAGCTATTGATCATTTGCATAAAATTGGAAAAACGTTTGGTCGAATAACGGCTGAGCACATTTACGTATCTTGTCGTGAGCAAAGTCAGCAGGACTCCCCAAAAATAGTTCTTACAGAATCTAGGCAAGCAGGTGACGAAAGCGGTGAGCTTGATAAAGCTGAAGATGTCGCATTTTTGGGAAAGTTTTTCAAATGGTTTCTTGACGTCGGATGAATTTAAGAAATATTCTTCATGTGATCCTTTGCGTTTTTTTCGTAATCGCAAAGCCCATTACTGGGAGAGTAAGCAAAACATCAGGCGCTGTTTTCAGAGTTATCCAGACGAATTTTGGAGATTCTTTTCCTCGCGATATTCTGATCTTCAACCTTTTGTATACGAACACAGAATGATGTTCATTGGCCCTCTGCAAAATGCATAATTTCTAATTTGTATTAAAATGTTAACATTTTTTGAGTGTTTCCGTTGTTTTAGCGTCAAAATGATAATCTTCACCGAAAAAATATCTAGACCAGTTGTTTCCAGAATTCTGGACCCCTATCTGTAGCTACTCATATAATTCTTATTAATCCAGTGGAGTAGGTATCAGTTACTAAATTACGTAAACATTTTATCTTAGGCCTCAGAATTGAAAGAGTTTTGGAACAATAAGATTAGAGTTGAATCTCTTTACAATTGGTTGTGCTTAAGTGGGAATATTTGTCATTCGTGATGTGCTAATTTTTTCATTTTTTCGGATGCTCAACTGTTTTATGCCAACCAACTGGTGGAAAGGCGAGGCTTACAGAAGGTTGCTCCTTCCGAAGGAAACAACACTAGAGTTTTCGTCACTTCGATAATTTTATATACCGTACGTTTTAATAACAGTTTGGACGCTGAGCAAAACACTGATGCTAACTATCGCGTAAAGTACGCCTAACCGAAGGTCATTTGAAAACGTTAGTGCAATTTCATTTCATTCAAGAAGTTTCAGGATACGTATAGGTAATGACGAAATACGAGGGAATACAATGGAAGAGCGAGGCTTACAGAAGGTTGCTCCTTCCGAAGGAAACAACACTAGAGTTTTCGTCACTTCGATAATTTTATATACCGTACGTTTTAATAACAGTTTGGACGCTGAGCAAAACACTGATGCTAACTATCGCGTAAAGTACGCCTAACCGAAGGTCATTTGAAAACAATAGTGCAATTTCATTTCATTCAAGAAGTTTCAGGATACGTATAGATAATGACGAAATACAAAGTAATTACAATGAGAATATGGACACGAAGATAGAACAGTACCGACGGTACCTGAGCTCCAAGTTCGCCAAAGACATCGGCGGTCAAACCTGGCGTAATACAACGTATTGTTGGAGTATATCAATAAACAAATACTACCGAATTCGGTGTGAATTGTCCGGTACCATGGTATGGTGGTCCATCGTTGTCCCGCGTCAAATTGAAATAAAAAATAAAATAAAAAACTTAAAATGAAAGTAAAATAAAAAAAATAGTTTCACATAAACATAAACAGAAAAAAACAGAAAAAAAAATTTAAAAAAAAAATAAAAATGAAAACGAAATAAAGAGGACAAAAAAAAAAAATTTGAAAAAAAACAACGTGAATAAAAAGAAAATAAAAAGATTGACAACGATGTGCCGCCTCGTGGCCCATCGTTGTCACACGTTTTTATTTGGAGAAAATTTGCTTCGGCTTGGGACCAACGTTGTCATGCATAATCCTACGCGCACAAACGTTGTTCCCTGGGTTTCTAACTCATTACTGATTTTCTTCAGCAATATTCAATAATTTTAACATGCAAATGTTCTATAAATTCTTCATGATACAAGTTCAACTAGAAGTAATATATATATTTAAAATAGTAATAAAGAATATAGAATTGAATACGAAAATTTAAAAAATTTGTTTTTACGTGTAGAAGGTAATTGAATTGGAGAATGCCGCTTAAATGCTCAGTTGTCCGGACCTGGTCCGGACACTCGTGTGACACCGAAACCGTCTGATCGTATCCGGTACCCAGCATACAGTCACTCATGAAACGAGTGGGAGTTACGGATAGTCTAGTTACTAGTAGAATATGGTGAATCGAGGGATGGATTGAGATAAAAGGTTGAGCCCGCGCGATTTATCATTCGTCTGGATCGGTACGTTACGGCAGTACGGTATGCCGTACGGCAAGGGTCGGCGACCTTTTTTCGCTCGTGGGCCATATTTAGGGGTTGCAAGTCATTGGCGGGCCGCACATATTTTTTGAAAGTTGAAAACTGAACGGATGATACTTTTTATAATAAAAATCAAGCAGTGATGAACTCTCGAATAGAATATAGATTTATTTCCGCATTGCATCTCAAAAATTCCATCTGAATATTTTCGGCGCTATCGAACCCTTTGCACTTAGCATGAACTTTTCTGCGTTTTGCCTAGTTATAATTAAATTATAGGCTCATTAAAGGAGTAATTGTGAATTTCGTCTTTGTTAGATTATAATCCGGCCCGCGGGCTGTAGGTTGCCGACCCCTGCCGTACGGTATGCAATACCGTATGCACATGCCGACATGCACGTTCCATTGAAATCACGTCTAACCATAATCGCCTTCTAGCCTCGTGGTTGTACGATCAGACAGTAGTGGCTAGAGCCGACGGGCGAGTCTAACTAGGCTACTTTATGCACACAGTCCTTTTCTATTTAATTCAAGTCTGTGCTATGTGAATTATTCCCATGTTATCCACCTTAGGTTACCGGTATCGTAACAGTTGGTGGTAAAATAAATGTTTAGCCCACTTATGCTATGAAACTGATACATTGGGTTACGTGCGCAGGATTATGTGCTAATATAACATCGTATTTTATATTTTACACATCGGAAAATCCACTAATATTCGATTGATATTTTTTATAATTATAATTTGAGTTTTTTTTTATATTTATCTGGGGAGACGGCTTTTAGTCGAGAGTGACAGGATTATATATTCGCTGGCTCCCTTCAGCTAAATACAGTCAACAATGTGGTAGTCTCTCCTGGAAGTTGCCATGTCGAGGATTGCACAAAGTGTTGTAGTAAGAGTAACCCCCAAATGCTGATACAATATTCCCCTCCCTTTCATTTCTACATCACATACCATGTAACCAGAACATAAATCTAAGTCTCTCCGATATTAGCATGACACGTTCTTGGTTCTACAGTTCTCCGATAAACAGCGGACTACCTGTTGAAACTGCATCGCTCATTCCTACCGAGCAACCCACTTTTTCAAGTTACAAGAGGAAGTTACATTGTATCATGTGAATGCCTCAATTGATGGCATAATTGACTTGACTAAAACACCAAGCTATTTTTAAACTGCTCCACAACCACCTGTTCGTCGCTTCATTTGCAGGATGTGGGCCCAAGGATTGCTAAGATAAATGGTTAACAACGTTGGGGCAAAATTGCCTTCCTCTTTTACTATTAGCCTTCGAATTTTCAGTGAAAAATATGAATGTGTCTTCTAAGCGGGTTGCTTTAGTACCGGTACTCTCTTCTAATAGTCCGTTGACTGCTTCAAATTTTGCTGGTAAATCATAACTTAATTGATTTTCATTGAAAAGTAAACATGCAACAACACTGTTGCTTATATCCGTCTGCAGAATATTCTTGAGTTGGTCCTCAATTCCCTTACATTAAGCCATAAATCATGAAACTTCACATAAATAGCCATTTTTTGTTTCTATATAATATATCACTATTTATATTTAACAGAATGCTAGCGTACTGGTATGTTTTACTTTAGACGACAATAGATATAATGCGCCAGCATGATGGCAGTCATAACTAGTATACTTTTGTTATTAATAAGGGGTCAAGGGTGATAAAAGGGTCAAAGAGCAGCAGAGAATAGTAACAATGACATACACAAGCGGTCCTAGTTAGAAATTGACCTTAGCCAAGTTTGGATTGCAGATGAACATGTTTTTTTGTTATGTCTGAGATCAAATCCAGACTTGGCCAGACAGATTTTAACTTCAACTAGGTTTCATATATAATATATATATATATAATATTTAAATTCTGTACTATACAAGACATTGCTATTAGCTAAAACACAAAAAGCCAATCAGCAACACCAATTTGGAAGAAGTATGGTTGACGCCATAGTCAAACATGTTAAATTACTTCAAATTTGTCAAGGAAAAAACAAGTTTCAGCATTATTTTCAAACTCGACATAATATTCAGTTTTTTATGCTACAAAGTCACCGGTAAGCACGAATAATAAAAGAAAAAAAAAACACAAAATTAAACAACAACACAAAATTCTGAACGAACATGAGAAATAAAATAATATTACCAAGTAGTAGTATCCACTATGTACAAAATAAGGGCAAAGAACACTGGCATCTTGAACGAAGGATAAAATAAAGCAAAGTTAAAAATACGAGGGCGAGGGCATTGATACTTAAGACAGAAGGAAAAAAGGAATGCGACAGGTTTCAAACTAACAAAAAATGAACTCCAGCACATCACAACAATAAAAATTTGTTTCCAATACTGGGTACGGGCCCTAAATGAGCCATGCAAAAAGACAAACATTATATGTGTTTATATTTAGAGAGCTGAATCTGAAAATGGATAAAAAGAGAATTTGATTGCAGTTATCATCATGCACAAATTTTTTTCTCTGTCTGTATGGGCAAACTTCTTAGGTAATATGATTCATAAGAAGCTCATACTGATTAATATATAAACTTAATGCTTGGTCTTTCTTTGATTTTAGTTAGTTTTCATAACAGGTGAGGTAACCAGAATATGAAATAACGAATAGCTTTTGGTCCTCGAACAAAAATAATTTTATGAAATTTTTAAGATAAAATAAATGTATATGCAATACTATATAAGAGTTATAAAGAGAATTCATGTATTTGTCTTTTATCTATTTCCAATAAAGCAGTAATAAATCTAACTAATCCTGGCCGAACTTTGCTACAATAAAGTACGGTAACTCAAACTCATTAGAACATGTAAACCATGTAGTTATAGGACAAGATAGAAGGATAGGTGATTTGCTATCTTCAATCCTTTTTGGGAGGTAATTTTGACATTGTGATGTCATAATTTAGATAAACAGATGACTTTTGCTGGAAAAATGTTCAATTTTATTTTTAAACTTTTTGAATATCAATTTTTTGGAGAAATGGAATTTTGAATCATATTTAGGAAAAATTATATGAACAATTCTAATTTTTCTAGTTCAGTTTATATTTAGCCAGTATCATTTCAAACATCTTGAAACACTTTATTCTATTGAACAAAACTTATTTTTCATTATTTATAAACCTTAAATAACAATTTTTAGAAAGTATTAATATAAACTGCATTTCACTGAAACTTGAAAATAATAAACTCAAAACACCAATAAAATAGGCATGTGGCATCACTTGTTCCAGCCGTCAATACAACATTACTTTGCCATGGACTGTACAATAAGACTCCATATGTACACACCGACAAAAATTAAGTGGGCAAAACGCTTAGAATAGGGCAGCAATTATACAACAATGTGAATCATCTTCATTTGCTACTCAGAAGGTATTAGATTTACATATTAATTCGGGAATATTTAAAAAAAATGATCTGACTATGATAAAAAAGTAAACTTTTATTTTTTAGGAATTAACTTAATCTTTTTCAAAAGAAACTTTCAGGGAATGCCGTGATACAGGCACTGTATTTTATATATATTTATGTAAAAAAAAATTACCATATAATGGCAGTGACAAAATGCTATAATGTAAGCAAAGCACCAGGTAGTTTTGTTATTTTGAAAGCAGTAAAAGAGAAGCAGACTAAATAAGATAAATTTGAATCATAAAAATCTCTTGCCTCAGAATCCACTGTCATTGATGATCACGGGGTTATGATCAGCACAAGCAATATGGTGTCTATCTGCTAGTTTATGGGTAACATAAAGTACGTAAGGGTGAAATACTGCTTGTAATTAAGAATACTAAGTTTTAAATATCATATTTTCTGCTGACTCAGCGTTATTTGAATTTATTTTTCGATGATTCAGCATTATTTGTTTTGCATCAGATTAAGGGGAGAACATACTACTATGTTCGAAATTGAAGCGTCAAAAATTCCATTAGAATTATGGGCCTTTTAAGGCTGATATTGGTCTGGTGTAGTCTCGAATGATAAATATCACATAAGATAAAAAAGCTGCGACTTTATAGCACCAGTTATATATAATAAATTTACTTATAAACAAATTTATATAAAATATATTTTCAAGAAATAACTCATATGAGACAACAACTAGGTAGTGGCGTTCAGTATGTATGGGATTTCAAAAAATTTATGAATGAAGATTTACCTTGCTGATTAGCTGATTATATTTGAATCAAAACAATATTTATAAGGCAAAGTGAATCAAATTATAACATGCTAATTTGAAGTAATATACCAAGTAAAATGATAAGATTTAGCAATACAAATGTATCGCATAGTACATCTCAAATTTATTAAATTCTCTGAAACGAAAGAAATTATTCATGGAGTATTTTTCATAATAACTTAAAACAATTGTGTCATTGCAAAAAAGAGGAAGGTTTAATATTTATTCTGAAATCAGTAATTTTTTTTAGACAAATCAAATTCCCGTAGCAACAACCTAAAATCTTTGTTCATTTTAGATTGTGTTACGTTCATCAAACAGATCAGATTCTTATATGAAGTCACACATACATCAAGTCTCCAAATATTGATATTCAAGGTTTGAAAGCTGTTTTTTACTTTACATACATATATATCTCCGAAAACAAGGTTGTAATATATTTATGGAATGCGGCAATCGACATAAAAACCTTAACCGACCATCAATTGCACAAAAAAGGCAAGCACAACGGCAAAAATAAAAAACGTTACAAGCAAGACTAAAGCTTTTCTTTCATCAGACATCTCGACTGGAGCTGTCATCAGAAGATTCGAGGCTGTCTGAAGTTGACCAGATAACGAGTCTGACTTGCTTCCCTGCTTCAACGCAGAGTTATCATCCGTAGAACTAATTAACGGAACTTCAAACGAGACCCAACTTGAAAAACTTCCAACAATGTCTTCATGAATAGGAACTTCAGGAGTTTCTTGATCTTGTTGTTGATTTTCCTCAGCAGAATTTTCCGAATTTATGGAGTCTGCATCCTGAAAATCAATTATGGGTATTGTTCAATCAAGATCGCAAAAGTGTTGAATTTACAAGGTGTGAAGGTAATAATGTGAACCATCACAAGGACGTTCCTTAAAATGTTAGGGCCATGGGCTGGCCGCATTGTTCTAAGTGTTGCTGTATTTGAAAAATAACACCACCATTAGAATTTCTTGTTTAATTTCCGCGAACTCGTTGGAATTTCTTGTATAATTTCCGCAAACTCGTTGGTCAATGAGCTGTATGAAGGTACCATTTGTCTAGTACATGTTTATAGATTCGCTTTCTTGTTAAAGAAAATATTGAAAACTATATATATTTTTACAATGCATAATATGAACCCCTTTTTTTTTTTGTTAAGAAAGTTTGGATAATGCAAGGTCTTGCTTACTCACTCAGAGATATAAAAAAAAGACTCATTTCTGAGCAAAGTTTACTGAAATGATATTTATGGTGGTGCATTATATGACAGCAATCGTCAATTGACACAAGGATTTAATAAGCAGTTCATAGCTTTATAGACTTTTCTCATCTGATAGGTGCAATGACAGCGAATGGGTGAGAGCTCACAGGTAGTGAATTCCACACAACTAAATTTCTTGGAAAAAGCTTTACTTTCGACCAATTTAAAAACTAGCCTAAATATTCAACCATAAACATACCTCCAATTGCGTTGCAACATCTTGCTTTACCACAGGTTGTGAACGAACAACATGTCGAACCAATGCAATCTGTACTTTGTATTTGCTTCCTGGTTTGACAGGACCAAACGTATACGAAGGTTTTTCAACAGAAATTGACTGTAAAAAGATATTGCGATTTAGCGAATATTGAAATATACAAAACAATTATTAGCTGTAACAATAAATGGAAGTAAAGCAAGACACATTAATATGGAATCTGATTCAGAAATTATTTTCTTCCACCTCCGGTAACTCACCTGGGTAAGATATCACACACAAAGATGTCAGGTGTGAATTGAATATTAAAACAAATTCAAAACTTCTTATATTCAATATGATTGATTTTTGATTCAGGAACGATTTAAAATACTTTCATTTGAGAGATATTAACTACTAAGAGAATGTTTATCTTGGTCATTTATTCCTAGTAATTCGATTTCTACAAATTAGCAATGACTTGAATAGAATCACATTCTTACCTGTTTACTATTTCCACTATCATAGTCTTCAATATTAATAATATAAGACACAGAATCGCCTTTAATATTATCAATATCTTCCCATGATATTACTGCATAATCATCGTTCACAATAATTGTTGGAGAATCTGTGAAAATAAGAGAAATTAATAAATGGGAAAAGTGGGGATATCAGATAAATTCGGGGCAAAATGAAGGATGTAATTGTTCTATAGGACGTGTTCGTCAGATCAAAAAATAATTTGGGGTTCGTAATCTAACTCATCTTTCTAACCAATTTGTTATGAGGTGTATGACTTAACTTCAGACTCAGGTGACCAGTGACCAAACTTGGCTCAGGTTTTAGAGACGTATACGCAACATTATCATTTCACAGTGTTACTCTAAACAAGAGGCTTTGTTTATAACACAAATTACATGAATACATGGCAAAGGGATATATAAACATATCAGTGTCACCAATATTATTAAACATCCCTATTTGTAGAAAACTATAACCAATGAGAAAACCTACTTTTCAATTGTGGAGGTGGAGCAGTAGTTGTCGTAAATTTACTTATGATTGAGAATGGTCCTTCACCAGCATGATTGCGAGCATTGATTCGAAAATTATATGTCGTGTTCTCCGATAATCGATTCACTCGATACGACCGACCAGAACCACTATATATTGTCAAGAATCTAGAAAAAACAAGATTGCCACGATGAAGATGATTTATCACATTTTAATATCTTGTTTTGACAGCGATTATAGTTTTTACCTGTTCCTACATTTGAAATGAAATATTTTGAATGATAAAATTTGGATGACATAATCTGGATCACACACTCCTTTTATAAAAACCAAAGCTATTGTCTGATAACCCCACACAATTTTGCGCATTAGTGCATTAATATGTATTGTGTTGTTTCACAAGCTCAAATAAACTCACCAGTTTCAAATCCAGATTATGATTAATCGTATATTCTCAAATTTATCTTGTTAATTTTACAATTCATATTCCCCTTTCTTCAAAAAAAATATCATTATTTTATTTCAAGCTAAGTTCACTTCTTTACGGCAAACCAATTATTGTGAATGTTTTGGTCTGATTACTAAACGACACCTTAAGGGTGCTGTTTCAATGATAGTTTATAAATAGTTTGTAACAGGGTCACAGTTTGTATCTGCTTCATGGGGGCAAACCAACTTTTTAAAAGTTCAATACCTTCCATGTTTCTCTCTCATTTGCAGAAGATAAATATTACTGGTTGAATCTGATGAATCTCCCCATTTTAATTTCAAACTGTTAGAAGAACACGAACATTCCAATACAGGTGGGTCTGGGGGAAGAGGTTGGGTTTCAACAGTAACAGGTAAACTGAAGTTACCGGACCCGATCTCATTTACAGCTTTCACACGAATCCTGTGATGAAAATGAATAAAAAATTTTAGATTTATTTTAAGTGAGACTTAGCGCTGTGATTCAAGTAAGTGTCTAGGTAAGCAATGTTACTGATAGTTCTGTCCACAAATTTTCTCTTTCGGAATAAAATAATATGAGCCCTTTAGATAAGGACTCTACTAACCTGTACTCGGAATCCGGTTGTAAATTTGATATCAAATGGCAATTCGTGTCACCTTCAATTTCAAATAACATTATGTCATCTTCTAAGAAGCTAAGTGATTTCGTTTTCTTTGTTTGCGTTGTTGGTTTGATTGGAACAACTTCCAAGATGTAATTTGTAATGTCTGACCCATTCGAAGCAGGCGTGTCCCAGTTGACCATAACGGAAGTGGCAGGCCTTGGAAAAGAGTCGGTATCGATTTCCTCGTCTTCAGATTCTTTCTCGTCAGTATCGTCATCAAGATCATAATCTGATGTTGGAAGAATATCGCCCTGCCATACTTTTGGAACTCGGTCAGGACACGATGGTGTTGTGTGTATGGTCGTGACATCAGAAAACGCACTTTTACCAGTAACATTATGAGCCTGTTGGTAACAAATAATGTCAAGTATATATATTAAATTAAGGATAAAATTGAATTATTCTTCTATTTCTAACATTCTCTAGAACATTCTATTCCATTTTTAAAGCAACTAGTAACAAATGTAGTTTTTACAATGCAAAAAACAACAATGAATCCAAAGTGTAGCATACTAATAACTAAACTGAATTCTCATAATAATTCCCAATAATTTCCGTATTCGGAAAATCCATATTTAAAATTTTTTATATTCTTCAATTTTAGCTGTCCAATGTCCATATATTATGTCTTAGTGGGTAATATAAGAGAGAAAGTGTTTTAAAGCATTTACCTGTACTCGAAAATAGTAATCAGTATCCGGAGAAAAATGTTGAAAATTGTGACAAAGAGAAGAACCTAATTGTTGAACACACATTGTTGTAGTTGAACTTCCCCATTCCACTGAATAACCGGTTACTTCTGATCCGTTGTCATGAGGCTTCTAAACAGAGGAGACAAACATTTTTATACAATATTCTCGTAAAAGTATTGCCTACCATGGACGCCCAACATGAATTGATTTAAAAAAAATATTATGCTTAATATATAGAATACTAGGAATATAGAAATAAAGTTATATTTGCTGTTGTTAGTGTTGTAATTTTGAGAAGAATTGTCAGCAAATTTTTGATTTTTTTTTAAATTTGCTCAAAATACCACTCGGCAAACAAGACTCATTATATCTGAACAGAGTTCAGACGTACTCACTAAAATGCGATAAGCTACTGAAACTATATAGATTTGTAGGGGCAATACAGTAAATGCTGACTGGCGCATTTAAGATTTTTCCACAAAATTAGAATACTGGCATAAAAGTCTTTCCATATATTTTATTATATCTTTCCAGATAATTTCAATTTTTTTTTTCCAGTCAGTAAAAGAAATGGTATTCAGAATGAAGAGATTTATTAATTGAACACATGATTACAGAGAAAAAGAAGCTGGTTATCAAGCGCCGATGCCTACTTTAATATCTAATTAGAATTTGTAAGATTAGGAGTTTTAGTTTAGTTTTCAAATATATTTAAACATATCCTAAAGTCAGAATATAATTGACCAAAATTTTATAAAAAATAATTCAGAATAGTGCAATGTTAGTAATTTTTTTTGATACACTTAACTACCTGTCAGTGCTGATCTTACTGACAACGATAACAAGCTATTATAAATAATCCCACCTAACAATACACATTTCCTATAGATAATGACATAGAATTTTGACAACTACACAAAACAGAGAAAGAGGAAAAATTTATGAAGATAGCCACACAATAAGCTAATTGTTGAAGAATTCTATGTGTCTCAAAATTTGAGGTCAGACATTGATGTTCAATTTATTCGTCAATGAAGATAACCTTATATTATCAATAATATATTTTTGGGGTTCATTGTTTAAATGTGAAATTTGAAACTGCACACCGTCATGGTCTCGTCAACACATCCCACAAAAAAGTCTTTGTTTTGTATTTCATCACAATCAAGTAAGAAAGTATGATAAATTTAGCTTATATATCATAGAATTTTGTACGTTTCTACTAAAAATTCATCAATTAAGCACGTAACATCAATGTTCAAGTAAAATTATCCCGAAATGATGCACTTTAGTTTGGAAATGCATAATAGATCAGTGAACTGTATTATGTGTTGTTTGTATATAAGGTTATGGTAATGCCAATCTCCGGTAGTTTATAATATCATATTACAAGTACTTATATCACAGTAGGTGGTCCAAATCATTCCCATCGAAACTAAAAATTTACGGGTCCAATTCAGTAATTTAAGACTAACAGAAATTGTCAATGTACTTGTTATTGAATTTGGTGTTTTCAAGACGTTTTTGCAACAATGACATTTTGCATTAGTGAAATTTAGGAATACAGATAATTTAAATATTACTGTTTTTAAAATAAAATTTGGTACTAATTCAACAATACTGTGAAATAGGGCAAATTTTATATAGTGTTGTTTAGTGAATTCATTTAGATAAATTGTTTTAAATGGGCATATTGTAGAGAGAATTTGCCATTAGAACTGATATTCTAACAAAATTCCAATCATTTTTCAAATTTTTTCAAGAAATTTAATCAAATGTTTTTATTCTTGTTCTATGTATTTATGAATATTATTTATCTAAACTTAATTAGAGAAGTTATCGCACATTAAGATAAACATGAGATAATAGAAGAAAAAAAAATGCTTCACTTGGAAGCTTATATATAGCTTCATTTGCATGGATCATCAATATTAAACATCTGAAATAGATAAATTATTATTTTGTAAATTGATATAAAAAGTTCCTATTCATATTAAATATCTGTCCTTGAATTACTAATAAAAAGCACGAACTATGTACGTCATAGGTTGCCAACTAAAAGCAACTCAATAAAATAAATAAAACAATAAATGGAATATTTAATAACCAATATAGCAACATGACAAGTATGTCATCAGTTATTTATTAATTTATGAACTGGGTGGGGTAGGTAACACCTGGTAATATAAATGACTATGGTACCTAAGATGTTGAAATAAAAAAAGGAGAGAATTGGAAAATGAGAGAATATAACAAATCAGCTGAGCTGAACAAATGTTTATATGTTTGTGTTTCATCCATGTATGGTTGAGTGTGGACCATGCATTCCAACAGTTGAACAAGCTTGAATATGGTATAAGAAAGAAAGCATTGCTGCAAAGAAGTGCTTTTACTTAGCAAGATTTAGAAATGAGAGAATAAACATAATATTGATAGATTGAGATTTCCGGTGGAGTGTATTATGTTACTGAGCTATTATATTTTCTGTGCTGGGGTCTAACCATTTTTGTTTGCCCAATTTACATCAAGTTTATGGGCAGGGAGTATATTCACTTGGCTAACACAGACAGTTCCGGAACTCGTAATAAAACTAAAATATAGAAAATCGGAATGAAATTATGTTCTAATCCTAGCCCGGTACACATACCACGGGAGCACCCATTATTGTATAAACATAAAACATTAAGAAAACAAGTTTGTCCTTGTCTATAGACCTGGAACATACGATAGTTAAATGATCTCTTCCCACACTCAATCTGCAGCGGCAACTGCACGAGAGGTTCACTATTTAATTATGGGGTTTCTTCTCTTGTGAGATGAATATAAAAATCTTATCCCAGTAAAAAATCAATAACATATTCTTGGTATGTTATACTTGATATCAATTTGCTTTTCTATTCCACTCAAATCTGAAATTTTCGCACCTCAAATTCTTTTCATACATAAAGGTAAAATAGGTTCTTATATACAACACGACATTATACGACCAAATAGCCACTGTTATTATCACTCTTAACAAAGTGGTCGCATAGGAAAAATTTTTTCCTCGCTCAACATACTTTGTAGATTAACAAATATATATGTGGAGAAATGTTGTTAAAACAAGTACTGTTTTTATGAGTCAAATTGTTTTTTGCAAAAGGCATAATCATTCTTGAGGTCAAAGTGTACAAAACCGGATTCGCATCACAGCAGATTGAAAAAAATATCCAGTAATTTAAAAATTGTAAATTTACATTCCGATATATGGACATGATTACAAAAAATTATTGATTACTTAACAATTATGTGAATGACTGAAATTTTTTTTACGAAAATGAAACTGTCCAGAACAGATGAATAAGCCAAAATATTTGGTATGAATCGAAGTAAAAGATTATTGGACTTTCAGTCGTGTGATGAGTCAGTTTTATTATTTTTTGTAACGGTAATAATGTGGCTTTACAGATCAATAGATATATATGATTAATAGAAGGAGAAAACTTCTGAATCACAAATTATTTTTTATTTTTGAAATTTATAACCAAATTCAATATGTTCACAGGACAAAATAAAGTGAAATATGGTTGCAAAACACTATAGTTCGCTGTACATGGAAGAGTCATATTTAGGATGCATAGAACAGGCAATTTGGTTCTATATGTTGTTAACTTTATAGGCAATGAAGTTGTTCAACAATTAGAAATAATTGCAAAGCCATTATGAAACATATGCAGATGTATATGAATATATTGATCTAAATTTTCTAATGCTTAATTTTGCCCTATTATTTCCTCATAGTGTCATTAGCTCGTGGAAATTTTAATGGAAGATTCCAACTTCGCTCAGAGATCGATCTGGTTAATTTCTGAGTGATTGTGCATGACGTTGCTGTGAGCAAATTCCTTTATATACAATCGATATAACTTGATCACGTATCACCAACCATCAATTTATATTGATGAAATATCGGGGCTGGCAAAATACCCTTGATATCCAAACTGGAAATCTTGTCAGACGTAGGGTTTGGAAAATTTATTTACATTTTTACCTGCCATGTTAGAAGAATAGAATCTGATGTTACAGTGTCTGGAATTGGAAGTTCTGGCTTTTCTGGAGGTCCAGCACTCGTCTGTAAGTCAACTGCATCAGACCATGGTCCAGTCTATGAAAAAAAATTTAGATTGTAGCTTCCAAAAATTCAAAGTCAATTGTGCAATTAATTATGGCATGAGCATATTTGATGGAACATTTTATAAACGAGTAATTAGAATGAATTTTAAAGGAAAAAATGGTGAATTTATCTTACTTTATAGTTTCTGTTAGTGTTACTAGTTCGGGTTGACTACGGTAAGAGGCACCATTTTCAAATTTGCATTGATTTTTCTATTAACTATAGCACATTCACACTCTATTTCTACTAAATAATATAGAAGTGAGATTATAATAAGACTTACGCCGACTTTGTTAGCAGCTCTGACCATAAACCTATACGACGTCCCGGGTTTCAAACCTCCGACAAAATGATCAAGCGCAGGACCGAGATATACTTGTGATACAGAATTTTCTGATGTTGATGACATTGTTTCGTCCCCTGTATTTTCTCGATGTTCACAAAGCATTGCTACTTCATATTGCGTAACGCTTGATCCGCCCTCATAATTTGGAGGATCTGAAATGAATAGACAGACATACATCAGGGAAGGCTAAAATTGAATAAAAAAAAACTATTCATTCCATATCATTCTTTCCAATATGAAATACCAAATATATTCTTAACTGGTTCATGTGCAACAGAGAAACTGGCAGAAATGATTGTAAATTGAATTGAGTATTGCAGAATATAAATCCGTACTCTGCTTCGAGGTTCTATACATGCATGCAATATAGTTGGTGTAACTATTTTATTAAATTTTCTATTATTAAAAATTGTCAGAAGTGTCAAACTATTTTGACTATAAGAGATCAAATGCATGAAATGGCGAATGAAAATATTCGAAAAATTTTCAAAATCCTGAATTTACTAGGGTTAAAATTCAACTTTCAGGGCTCGATACCATACTGCTTTCAACAAACTTAGATGTATTTAACAATAGGGCTAAGATTCCAATATCGCCGGGTTCCAAACCATAGGGAATAAATATTTGTGGGAGGATTGCTGGACCCCTCGTCAGCGTAGAATGGCTCACATAATCGCTTGTAGGATACGGCTTCCTCTACTCCCATGTCCATTCAACTGAAATGAATAACTGATTAACAATTCCCATGACTGACATGAACTGGTAACAGAACCAGAGGCCATGGTTTGCCATGTGCTCAAGTTGTCTTATCAACTTTCCTCCCGCTTTGGACAATTATGCAAAATCCTATCCTATCCTATCCAAAGTTTCAAGATTAATTGCAAACACCCTTCACTTACCCCATCTTAAATATATCATATTGGGTTTGGCTTTTGTCGAAGGCCTTGGTGGAGCACATTGTCCTGGGTGTACAGGTGGAGGTGTTATAACTACAACTTCTGAAGGCATGCTGGTACCACCGTTTGTCACACAAAATACTCGTAATCGACAAGAAACACCTGCATTATGGAAGAAAATCAGAGAAATTATGATTACCGATAGTTGAAATTCTAATGAGATAGCGAGTGTAAGAATTTGAAATTAATTTAAAAAATGTTATATGGAGCACAATATCAAGTTTGCGATTTGCATTGATAAATATAATAAAATGTATGCACTCCTAGATAAAATTTCACTCCGAATAATTTTGTCAAGTTTTAAAAAACATTGTTATATGATATATAAATATATACATCAAATTTTATATTGCCGATGATTATTTGAAAATGATCAAAATAAGAAACAAAACTTTAAAAAGATTGCCTTGCTAAGTGACTAAGTTTTCTAATATTATTCTCCAGATACACAATAACAATGAATACCTGGTTGAACATTTCCGAGATGAAATTCTCTAGCGAGCCCAGAATAAATTTGTTCCATCTGTTGTCCCCGTTCGTGAGAACATTCCAAAACATATTTCGTAACTTCTGATCCACCGTCTTCTTCTGGAGGATCTGAATCATTATAAGCGAGATGTTGTTCACTAGCTTTCTAACTTATACCTGAAACGTCTCACTATAACAAATAAAAAAAGAACCTACCCCATGCAACTTTAAACCATGTGGGATGAGCTTTTCCTTTCAAAGTAACTTTTCCTGGTGGATTAGGCTTATCAGGAAGTGTATAATATGATGCAACAGCACTGTACCCACTTCTTCCTTCGTTATTGTATGCTCGCAACTGAAACATGAAATACAAAGGTATTAGATTTGATTTTTGGGGATGTTGCCTAAAATATATATCTACCGCCAATGAAGAGTAATGTTTTTGCAATACACTCGATAAACAAAGCCTTGAAAATGTATATAAACAGGGTGTGTGACATTATTCTAGTCAATTTGTTTTGATTGGCAGAAATGGTCGAGGAATAATAAATAGTTGGTTGTGGATTTTTGGTCAAAAAAAAAACTTTTAAAATGTCAAGGAATAGATATACTAACCATAGAAAATTATTTGCATTATTTTACTGTAGAAAATGTTTTTTCAAGATTTAAATTCCATATTATGAAAATTTCAATCCATTCCACTCCTACATACAGACAGACCTATCATCATCTCAAACAAAATTGATTATATTAGATATTTAAAAATAGATCAATATTCCGGTTCAAAAAATTCTTTTCAGTAAAATTGATTCGTTCTACATGTACCTGCAAACTGTGGTCATAATTTAATTTAGCTGTATATATGTCGTTCAACAATGGGCTATGCTTGATATATAATAATGTGCAGATGAGTTGAATTCTATTGTAAAAATTTGAGGTTATAATTATTGTCTAGCCTTGTTCCTTAATGTTAATTTAAGAACATTGAGATATTTTTAATTCTTGATAATTTAAGGCAAATAATTATAATTCTTTGATATGGTGCATATTTAAAATATGATTAAATCTGTTAGCGAGAAAATGTCTCTAAATATTGAAAATTTTTTTGGGTATCCTGCTATATATTAACTCGAGCGCAACATTAATAGGAATTTTCAATTATAATTTTTCGAAGATAATTTCCATTTTTGCAATTTAAAATTAACCACAATTCCTATTTGATTATTTTATATATAAATAAACTGCTAAAATATGAAATTTTAATTGGTAGTTTGCCCCGAAGTACAATCGAATGGTAGTATTTAATATTAGCGAAAACTGCTCAAATAAAAATTTCAAGAAAGTTTATATCAGAGTAAAATCAGTATCCACTGAAATTTTTTTGCGATAGGAGCGATTTTTAATCAAGATCAGCAACCTTGACTGAACTAAAGTTGCATGAAAAACTTTTTATTTGCTTGCTCAATGTGAGTGAGTTTGTCGATACTTATTAATTATAAATAACTTAATACGAATTTAGTGAATTCCAAAGTTTGACAAAAGCGTACTAAATTCGAATACCCCCTGATTTATTTTTCATAGTTCATTTTTCATCTGTGAAGCAAAATTTATACAAACTAAAAAAAATTAAAAGTTGTTATAATGTATTTTGACTGTAATTATCGCATATATTAATAACCTCCATTGAAATACTTGATAAAGTTTGTTAAAATGTATAAATCCATCATATCAAAAAGTATTTATTTAAAATTACATAACTCAAAGCCCTGTGTCAATAACAATATTCACTTGCCTTCAATAGAATTTAATCTGTAATTTACATTGGTCAGCCCTTTCTTTTTTAGATTATTCTTAATAATGGGAACCACCTGTGTGTGAGATAGGACAAAGATCAGTTTACGGCTGACCCAATATTGACTCATGTGTGATTGTCTCCTTGTAGACTGTGGAATTTTATTAATATGGCGTTGGAATTTACATATCTAATGTAATTGCATTGATATTGAATGTCAGGGCATTGGTTTCCTAATCATCAGGTCAACAAATCTGGAAATATTGATGGGTCACAATTTATTTATTGAAAATATTTATAAAATATATAGGCTAATATATACGGTAAGTCTTGCTACAATCGAAATTTTGCTATGAAGTCATTTTTAAATGAATTGTAAATGAATTTTCATCATTTTTGTAGAAATAATTAGGAAATTTATGGGTTTTGTTTTTGGGTCATCCTGTATGTTGTAATTACAAAATAAAATGAATAAATCAGAAATATACAAATTTATGATGTGGTAAACTCACCCGAAATTTATAAAGCGATGACTTGTTCAGATTTTTGATTGACGCTCTCAGATCAGGACCGTCATGAGCAACCTTGAATCCATAACCTTTTCCATCATCCATTTCTAGAGTAAACCTGGTTGCGTATCCGGAAGTGGCATCATTGCCACTCAATGGCACTCTTGTCCAGGTAAGAACGAGGCTTCTAACGCAAGCTTTGCTGAGAAGGGGTGGATCTGGTACTTTCGGGGCTGTACCAGTGGTCCTGTATGTCACTTCGGGACTCCAGGGACTAAACAAAAAAATTCTTAGATTTGGGAATTGAAAATTTCTGACTTTATATTAATGAATCAAATTGCAATTTAGCTTTGGTTTATGTATGAATAAATATTGTAAGACTTAACAAACAATTTTCAACATTTGAAACCATGTGACACAAGATTGTATAATTACTCTTCATAACTTATTTTAATGAAACAACTATGAATTGACAGAATGCCACAAAATTATATCAAAGTTGCCAGATATTACTTCACAAATACATTTATGATGTATGAATTAGTTGAGAAATTTCACATAAAAAATAAATTGCGTGATTTTGTGACTTTTTCAACAGATTTGTAGAAGAGTTTAAAAATTTTCTTAAAAGTAGCTGATGACAAGAAGAGCTTAAATACTCGAAAAGTATGGAATCTCAATCAACTAATCAAAACAAAAAATTTAGCGTCAAATAAAAAAAGCAGTTGAACCTGGCAAATATTCATTGTAAAGATACAGCGGATATAAAACATTCATTCGTGACGCGCCTGGCCATATCATCGCAAAAGCTGGCATAAAGTGGATTTACCTTGAACCTATCTTGTTCTGAGAATTCAATCTGAATGTATAATCATGTGATGGTTGCAGTTTTGTTACTTTATATTGCTTTTGACTGTCTGTATATAAACTTCGGAATCCGCTGCCTTTCTTGCCTTCGTCCCATTCCAGATGGTATTTGATAATTTTTTCTCCATTACTGTTGGGGGCCTGTCAAAGAAATGAATATAATAAAACATGATAAAAATAAAGCAATGGAGGATACTATAAAAACCTTTGACGGTCCAGAAGTATGTGTAACAATATGGAGGTAACTAATTTTGTTCGCCTATTTTACATCCAGTTGTGTAAAGGAACTGAAACGTACAGGCAGGGGAATATTAACTTGGCTAACACAGACAGTCCTCGGACTCGTAATGGAACTAAAACAAGGAAAATCGGTATAAAATTATGGCATAAATCGATTTTGAAAATATAAATTTGACAGATCAATTCGATCATCATCAAGCGTAGGTAATATTGAGTATTGAAATAATGTGAAAAATGTAAAATAAAAGTCCAAAATTGACAATTTAGGATAAAAAGGTAATTTTATGACGTTTATCCTTGTACACTAGTAACCGTAATATTGGAATCTGTGAATATCATGTAAATATAACTGAATTGCCAAAGCAAAATTATGGTTTAGCAAACCATTCGAGTAATATATAGTAATTCAGAATTAGCGAATGTTTTCTATATTAAACACCCAGTGCACAGTGATTGCAATAAATGTGATATTGGAGAAAGTGTAAATAAAAAAATTCACAATACATAAATATGATAGGAATTCCATATTTATCTTGGGGAGAGGAAAGCCGATTTGAAGATTTGATCATATCGTGAGTCACAGCCTCTCATCCTGTTACCAGTCCAAGTTGGGTATGGGAATTGTCTTCCTAAATTATACCAAAAAAATGCAAATATGGTCCTAATATTCAGCAAGTTAAATGGAACTCCTAGGTATATGAACACCATATAAGTACTACTTATCCCTACAGCATAAAGTAAAAGCTTCTCCATCATGTTACCACATCTATTACATAAAGTTAGGAATGAAAACACTTCATTCTAAAAGCACAATGCAGTGAAGCATGCTAAGGAAACTGAAATGCTCTCAACACTTATGTTACCTCAGATTAGATCTACCTACTGGAAGTGATCCTTTCGTGGTAGGACTCTACCATGTATGGACATTAGATAAAAAGTATTCAGGTACATATTATCTATGGCATATGGAAAACAGTTATACAAATTTTTCAAGATGATCCAGATGCCAGATTTCCTTATTTGACGATTTGATGGGCTTTGCATGTTGTTTTTGCATGCAAAGTGTTAGTCAATTAGCAAAAGAAGTTTTGAGCTGAATATTTGGAATATTTTTAATACTATTCCCAACTTGTAAGTTGTAATTGTAACAAATTTCTTGTTTCAAATACTTTATCTTCAACAAAACATTGTTTTCCAATGAATCAAATTTGGCACTTTAGAAACGGTCTTCAAAAATATGCTAAAATGTTCCATTCCGCTTTGACTAAAATCGTAAATACAGTAAACAGAATAATACCAGAATCAATAATGTCTTTCAAGCAGTTTTTGGCATCTGCAAAAGGTTCAAACTGCTATGAATATCCTGCATGGTAAGCGGACAATATTTCCTTTTAGTATTCTAATCTAGTGAGCAGGAAATAGTTGAAAATTGTGATTGCGCAAATCCTGCTGACATTATATAAAGTTTGCAGAATTTGCAAATAATTATAATAAACCGATCAAAAAATAAACGAAGAATAATCATGTGATGTTTGGCTGCTATTGGCAACACTGGCAGTCAATTTAGAAATCGAAAGAAGGAAATTTATTTTGATTACCTATTCAAAATACCATAATGAAAAACTGCATCATTATAAATATGAGAATGTTTTGGCATACCTTAATTAAGATTAGTTGTTTCCATATTTGTATTTAGTTACTATAGAATTAAAAATGAAATGAATCAGCTCCTAACTTGTTTAAAAAATGTTTATTTTTATGTTTTATCTAACTTTTGCTTGAACCAATACCTAGTTCTAAGTGAACAGCCTTGAAAATACCTCAACTCACAGATGTCGAGAATACAGTTTTCGGAAAAAAATTCAAAATTTGTCTTTTTTATTAATAATCCATATAAATAAAATCAGGCTCTATAATTTGTCATTTAACAGTAAATCATGATTTAAAATAAATTAGTTTTATACGACACCCAGTCACGCCTTTCGCTACAAACAAGGCTCTGTGCAAGAAGCTATTAACACCCAACAGTATGTAAGGAGATACTATATTTGGAAGAGCCGGAAGCTTTCAGATCGGCATTGCCTATCCAATTTATTACACTCTAGATTTAAACCCAAGATGTGTTGAGCTTCGATCCCGACAAAGTTTTGTACAATGTTTTAACCAAAAACCTGTCGTAAGCATAATTTTTTAATATTTTGCAGCGAAATTGATATATTTAAATAATACAAAATTAGAATGATAGTAGGTTCAAATTCCTAAAATACCAACTATTTGGAATGACTAACTGAATTGCATCAGCCTTTTTTTTTACAAAGATCAGATTTGAAAAAAATATATTAAGTACTTTATATTAATAATATGATATGATGATTATAAATTCATCTGTTGAAATTAAGTATGCGGTGGCCTTAACTAATTAATTAACTAATATGGCATGTCAAGTTAAAATCTCGGGTTCAAATCCCATCTCCCACCACCTCACCCAGGAAGTAACAAGTTTTGTAAGCAATTCCAAACTGAAAAATTCCGATACTTTTCAAATAAAGAAGTTCCATACATATTACTATAAACAACTTCTATTGTTCACAATTTCTAAACCATTTTTTTACCAAACACAAAAATTACTTACAGCCCATTTCAAGTTGAGTGAATTTTTCGTCCGTTGAAATAACTCAGGAGCACCGGGAGTGTCAGGTTGGCAACTGATAGTACGGAACGTTGTTACTTCAGAGTGGATACCTTTCGTAGAATTTAATTCGGCAAGCACTCTTAATAATGAAAAAAGATGGGAAGATATAAATAGGATGCCAAAGTTCTTAAGATTGTGGAATTTGACAAAAACAAAACTTTCTACAAAAGGAATATTCTCTGTGTACCCTATGTTGAAATAGGGATGGCCAAAAGAGTATAAACTAGCCTACTATTCGAAACACAGAGACAAATATCCAAAACAGCGTTTCTGTTAGCTCTATAGACGAAAATTAAGAAAAAAAATAATGGCCGTCTAGTGGCTTATATTTTCGATCATAGAATATTGAATATATTCTAAATTAGGTTCAACAAAATACACATAAAAGTCAAGGTATATAAAATAAAATTCCTCAAAATGATTTTCATATGCTATCTGAATCTTGAAACTGAACCCAGAACCGTTCAATTTTAAATTATTGATTTCAAATTAAAATAGTTGCATATGAGTAATATTTACCGTAGTTAGTTTTGGTCACTCCTGCATAAGACATAATAAATGATACGCAAATTGAACATTTCCAGAATAAAAAAGAATATATTGGTCACATTGAACATGAGTGTGATATGGTATATTGTGTCTGTTCAATAATACATAAATTACTCACTTCGTATGATATTCCACACCAGGTTTCAAATCTTTGATTTCAAAGTAAGAAGCACGATCCCTGAAAAGACGAGAAAAAATTTTCAACAATTCCTATTGTACTCCATACTATTAAAATACGTATTGAGACAGCAAATGTGCAGTCAAACTAGCTGTTTTTCTGAGCATATGAAAAGTCAAAGCAAATAGCACTTTATTAATGTCTTAATGGCAGTGGTTCTCAACCTTTCAGGGCTCGTGGCCCCTTCCAGAGGATTTTTGCACTCATGGGCCCTTATCATTCGGGTGGTATGTATAGTGCTAGTTTGATTGGTAGATTCCAAATCCCATTATATTCAACCAATTCATGCTCAACAAAGTGGATACACCTTGTGAAATATCTTCATAAAGCAATGAAACTAGGAAGAACGGGGGGTTTTCTTGTAAAAGTAACATCAGTTTAGCGCCTATCACCGCGGCTATCATTGTGAACAGATATGTATTGAACTTCATTAAAAATTTGAAACTTGTGGAAAAATGGTCAAGGATTCATTCACAAAATCTCTAACCAGTAATGCTTACACAGATAGGTCAATGGACTACACATGGCACTCTGATAAGTTCAGATAGATTTAGTCCACTTCCGCTATAGAAAAGCGTCATAGAAGAGCACTTATGAGTCCATTTATATCCATCACAAAGGGAGATATTTTAATAATAAGTAATAAATAAATTAGGGTTTTTCACAGAATCCCAGCAGAAGTATATTGAGACTTGATTAAACAAAACATCATGAGGAATGCAAAAAAAAAGGAACGAATAAAATGCACTTGAAATTCCAGACAGATCTCTATTATGATTACGCTACACAAAGTCAAATTTAATAAAACTGGAATGGGCGGGGCAATGAGCCAACCAGACAGTCATTAGGTTCATTGGAACGTCATCATTTTAAAGAGGACCATCATCAATAATTCTTCTACCGCCGGTTTTCAGATGGTCTGATGTAATATGTGCCATGTCACAAGGGACCTAAATTATTTATGCTAGTCTGGCACGTACTGTCTTGCACAGTTATAATGGATGTGGAGTATGATACAAAGATCACTTTTTGGTAATAGAAGTCAAGCAACCTTTGTAATTTTGACCACTCGGAGGAAAACCATAATAATATGATTATTTACAAAACACAAATCGGAATGCGACATTTAACAGTTCAAGCATTTTAGTGGACAAAAAAATGGTCATGATAGTTTAAGAATTTTAATTTGTATGTAATTCATTATAGTTCCAAATAGCCCTAAAATTCATATTTCTTCAAGTATTCAAAATGAAAATATTTTATTTCAGAAAACACAATATTATTGTCCTGCATGAAAATTCCAACATAAAGGTTCCAAAGATATATTCTTCTGTGTAAGGATACATTCAAAATTTTACCCACATGGTTATAGTAAGAGTAGTAGTACTATTGTACTGTTGTATTGTAAGTAATAGTTATGGAAATCGAAATAAATTCAAACCATGCATAAAAAATTAAACTTTTCACTATTTTTTGATGAATTTTTCATACATTTTCAAAATCGGTAATTTTTATACCATAGAGAAATTTTAATCATTTACTATATTTTGAGATTTACTGCAGAATTTGAACAATGTAGTAACTAAATCTTAGCTTATTTTCATTACCGGTATATGCTATTGTAAATTCTTTCATTACATGCTTTTTAATAAAATTGATAATACAATGTCAAAACTTTTCAATAACATCTGAGAACATTTGGAATATTGGGAACTATAATAAAATTTCAAATTTGCAAAACATTTTTCTAATACACAGACGGATTCATGAATTATTGATGATGTCAAAATGTTGTGTGTGGTGACCGAAGAATTTCTGATGATAAAAATGATAAATCGAATGACAATAAATTTCAACATATATAATATACATTCATAATAGTAATTTTTTATTGTTCGTAACTAAAATAAATTTTCTCAAAAAAAAATTCTAGTGCTGATTTGAAGCATGTTGCTTTAAAATAAATTGAATTTGAAGGTATTTTAAGGAATACACCCTGGTATCAATTTATTAAAAACGAGTTGATGATAGACCAACAATGACGTCAACTTCAGTTCGACTAAGATGAATGATTAAAATCGTTGCAGTATATTAAGAGATCGATTTTGAATAACGCTTCTCAACTGGGGGTAAATTTGATCTGCCTTTGGGGTAAACTTTGTGGGCAAAAAATTCTAACTTTATTTTGTACTACACAGATAGGCTATTTGTTTCGTTTCACAACATGAACAAATGTAGCCATTGACCACACGGCAAATTAGAACATTGCACAGGTTGCAAGCTTGCAACGTCCCTCGTTGCTTTCTCAGTACAAAGAATATTGTGTAATATGTTAGTTTTAATTTAAGTAAAATAAAAAAAGCATTGCTGGGTATTTTGCCTGTGGGTATGTGTTGGACATCTATATGAAAAAAAAAACCTTCTTCCAAAAACCCCTTTCTCCCATGAGTTAGTATTAGTAGAAGTAAAAACATAAAAAACGGGGGAGGGGCGACATTTCAAAATATGGGTGCTCCCGAAGTATGCGAACCAAGATGGCGGACATCGGAACGTAACATGGGTAACAGGTTAGGGTTAGACGATAATTTTTTTCCAATTTTCCTTATTTTAGTCCTATTATCAGTTCGAAGACTAGCCAAGAGCCTCCCGTAGTATTTATACCTAAAATTATGGCCTATTCTAACCCTAACCTAGTACACATATTACATTCCGATGTCCGCCATCTTGGTTCGCATACTTCGGGAGCCTCAAAATTTGTATATTGTGAGAAAAGGTGTTAAGAACCCCTATTGAGAAAGAATGACAAAAAAACATAACATAAAGAACATAGAGAACTAGTTTCTCTTCAATAACCAAGTCCAAAACAAAATTATTCAAAAACCCACCTTTGTATCATTTTATATTTATTGCTATCTTTTCCTTTATCGGTTAAAAATACTTCATAAATAATAGTCTGATTTCTTAAATGCAATCCAGCATCTTCTGGTAAGGCATAACGAAGCGACCACCTGATTCTGGCAGTTCTCGGTTGCACGTCATGAACCTGTAATGGAAAAAACATGAGTGAGTTAAACTTGCGAATATGCAACTTTGCAAGGTATTTTCACACCATCACTTTACCCAGAAGGCACAGAACAAACTGCCAGTAAAATTCCAGGCCATAAACAACATCTACAATGATGGGATTTGTCAATTAAGTGAAACAAAAGCATTGGACAACAACAATATAAGCTTTTTCTTGCGAATGTTTGTCTAAAGCAGGACTGTGCAACATTTTCGTCAGTGGACGATACAATAACTTCGGACATGTAGCCTGGCCTGCCTGGGTCACACAAAACGAAGAGAATGCAGCTATCGCTCAGCCTTACAGAAACAAAAGCATCGGGCAAAACGGCAAAAGACTTAATGCAGCGACAAGTGACAAAAACATTATGTGCTTTTACCCCTGTGAGGACTTTTTAACATAAAGTGTCGGATTATGATTTTATGCTTAATGGGGAAAAATCTAAGTGTTGACAAATGACAATGGCCACCCTAAAGGGCTTAGATACAAACTCTAAAACATTGGTTAGATATGGTAGGGGATGAACAAACTTTTAATGCGTATGTGTATATAACCATAGTTTGCACAGCAAAGAATGTTTCAATAAATATGAAATGTAAAAAAACACAAATGCATACTACCTCTGGTTTTAAAATAGCTGATAAATATTCTTTGAGGTCCCATTTTCCATCTGAAAAAGAGAAATAATATAAAAATAATTAAGTGCAGGGTGTTTGTAAAATCCGTTTAGAATACCCGGTGACTCAGTCTTTCAGTTACAAGTCTGTTATATTATTAATATGGAAGTCATAATAAATCTCTGTTAGACCAATCAAAAATTGTATTACTGCTTTGAAAAACAATGATTATTTCCATCTCTATAAAAATTTGCAGGTGCAGCATTATTCAATCAATAAAACGCTGGAGGGCGATAATCAAAATATTCCAAATTTCGCTGAAACGCTAATTTGACCAAAAACTTTGTGCCCCTAACAGTGAAACACATCAATTTTGTGATCTTATCAAATTTTGTGATTCAAAAAAAATAGTTTTGTGCGATCATGACAGGCCTGGCTTATGTGGGGCAAAAGTCATCATATATTGCTTTCACAAAAAACGAATTCAAGTGCCCTCTTGTGAGTGGGTTTGTTTATTTAGAGCCAAGTAAATATTGCATAATCAATCATGACAATAAAGGCAACTGGATGAACCCATTTTACTGGAATTTCAGGAATGCAGACAGTCTAGTACCCAACAGGAACCATGATGTTCCCTGCTTTAAAATCTTCACACAGACATAAGCCTTACTCTATCGTGTAACTCAAAAAAGTGAACACGAAAGAAAAATATTCTCTCAAGTGGATATATATTCTAGAATGTTGATAAATTGGGTAATTTTTTATGACAATGCTTGAGCATGAAAAGACTTTGCCGCTATTGACTTTGAGTTCAAAACAGAGGTACAATTGCCATGGCACCATAGGTACTGAATTAATATGATTGCATATAAGTAGTGTTGATAAATCTCAAATTAAATTATGAAAAATTGGTCATAAAACGCATAACTTGATTCAGCTATCACTGACAAATAACAAATAACACATTTAAAGCAAAATTTGAAACTAATGCGAAAAAAAGGTTATTTTAATATTTCAGATAGGCCTATCAAAATTTTGTGCAAAATAAAATTGCTCCCACTGACCCCCATTTTATCCAGCTTGAAGTTGTATCTCAACCATCATAAATGTATAAGAAAGTTTAGTTGTGACAGAGATACAAAATGACAATGACTCAGACAAAACACAACACACAAGAGCCCACTTTTGAATCTTAAGAGGCAAATACTGAAGCAATCCAAATAAGTATTTGAAGGCAATTACGACAGATATAGGGAATCCATAATGGTACTGAGAAACCACAAAACTAATACTTGGGAGAGGGAAACGTTCCCAACAAAACCAAAAACTTTTAATAATTTGAGAGCATTGGAAGACACAAAAGATGAAAAAGCTGCCAACAGCTAATAGGCATAGTCACCAAGATTTGTGGTAAGCGGATGGCCTAGATATCAAACTGTGTTACGATTGAAGATCAAACAATTTGGGTATACTAAATTAGGTAGGCAATCCCTAACTAGAAAGAGTCTGGTCCTTCCAAATAATAGTATATTTTCAAAAAATATCGTTAGATATGAGTGACTTTTTACAAGTATAGGGCCTTGTTTTTAGTGGGAGGCATGAATAAAAAAGAAAATGAATTAGAAAGCCATGGTCGAAGATTGTAGAATTATATATAGCAATTCAATAACTCAGTCATAGAAATTACTGATATTATGATAAAAAGTTTATAAAATTTCCGCTAAGATGTATCCGTTTCACTAAATCACAAAGATATTTACCAAACAAAATTTGGCTTGTTTAAATCGCATATGATTTACAGTTCTTTAATCAAAAATCAAGCTGATTGGGCCTTATTACATATGGAACACTGTATCACAGAAAAAAGATGCCTTAATATTGTAGTGAAAGTAGGATCAGATTCTCTACTTAGGGGCTGATATATCAAATCAATAAGTTATTTGTTATGATCACGACTTGAATGAAGGGAGATGGCATGTGTGTGGCCAACTTGGTACAAAAATAGATTCAAAGGGAGTAACATACACAAGCCACTCTCAGAGTATCATATTACTTTATACATTATTTTTTATGTTGCTAAAAATACATTGAATGGAGATACATTGATCCAGTGAAAGGAAGACCTATAATACCAGTACCAGTGTGTACAGGATTAAAAAATTAAGCAGTGCATATGGATGGTCCACTAATAACTCAAAAGGGAGAGCTTGATAGTGACTCAAATATATCATATTTATAACCCTCACTTTCCTCCAGTATAACGAGTATACACCGGCGGCAGTAAGTCAAAATTATGAATACAAAGCTCACTTCAGCAAAGAATTATATACCAATCTGATATATTCTTTTACTTTATACAACGAAAAATCCTAGTATATGATAGGTTTTACATGACAAAATTCAAATAATGTTTGATTCAATGTAAACAACATAAAAATTACAAAGTAATAACTGGAAAAATCTCAACTTTTTGACATGAAATCTGAATTGCATGTGCAAACTCTGCACATTGCAATTTTAAATCTTATGTCAAAGTATAATACACAAAAAAAAAATATATGAAACAAATCCTGCTTTATTATGTCAATTATATAGTTATATCCATGGACACAAACAATAACAAACATACCTTTAGTTGGATAAGGTTCCTGTGGCAAGCTGGAATGATACATTAAATCCTGCTGATGTTGCATGTTTGCTTGATATTGCGTAACCATTTCTTGCTGGTTTCGATGTGGTCCGACTGGCACCCGACGGGGTGATCCACCACCGCTACTACTTTCCGATGACATTTCGTCGCTCGTGCTAGCTTTCGGAGACACCTGTTGATTGTTTTTTGAATTTCTATATCCATTGTTATTACCCGGTGGAAAGTTAGGAGAATGTGTCGGTGACGGGTAATGTTGCTGATATGGCTGCGCACTTCCGAGCAAATGTGGTTGCAGCGGATAAGTATATTTCCTCTGGTTATTAAATCCGTTTGGATATGAGGACACTGGAATAGAAGTACCAAGAATCCTCGGTGATGTGTCAGGACTGCTGTTAGGAGATGGTGTCTGTCCATAAGAAGAAGAAGAACTTGGAGAAATAGATGATGTAGAAGTTGGAGAAGGATTCTTGTTGGATTCTGGAGGAAGATGGTGTTGGTGATGATGGTGTCGCTCGTGTAGCTTTTTCTGTAATCTTTCCCTCGCTTTTACAGCTCTAGCAGCTGGATTAGAAGGATCCATGTCAGCTGGATGAAGTTGGAATTGATATTGATGTTGAGGTAAGCTTGGCACCCTGTTGTTGATATCTGTTATATGAACAAAACAAAAAATGGTGTAAAATTTTAAATAGCTCAAAAAATAAATTTTTTTATGAGTTGGCGCCACTTTCCACATTCTGAACAAGATTCTAGACTAGAAAACTACATCTAACTCATAATGAGCTATAATTTTTTGGACGGGAAAACTTAGCCTATTCAATTTTATCGAGCATGAGGTAGTGGACATGGGGATTGAATTTGAGACCTTTGGAACCTTCATTGTCAACCCCAAAATATCCTTGATTTGCTTTGCCTGACAAAAAGCATTTTGAAGAATGTGTGATTTGAATATTTGATAAACAAGAATCAAAGAAGCACCACTGAAGCAGAATTGCCTTCAGGTAATTCCATGATTACGCAGATGACTATGACTATGATTGCATTTAAATTTTAAATGACTCGCCCACAAAACCAAATAGAGAATTGAGTCACGCCAAGTTCAGAATATGTTTTAATACAAAACAAACACATTCTACAAGTGCCTGGGGCGGTTCAGTACAAGATGATAGCAAAACAAATGAATCTCTTCCGTCATAAAGCTAACTAATGACTTGTTTTTGAGGAATGTGACATTACAGTATTTTAACAGGTTTATTGGGAAATGAAAAATGAGAAAAACTTATTTTACACTTGAATTTCTGATTGTGTATGATTGTACCCAAATGTTTCAGTGAGCATTATGTAGAAATTATGCTTTATCAAAAATAAGATCACCGTCAAAATAGAAGTACTAATTGCATGATAGGCTATATAATAATTGACAATTCATAAATATCGGTATATCATGTATTTCTCAAAATTTTTACTGCAATTTGAAAAAATTATTTTTGTCACTATACTATATCTATATCATATCACAAGCAGAAGCAAATGTCATTATTTTTTTCGATTCGAACTACAGTAATAGATAACTTGATATACAGCAAAATTCTAACAATGTGATCACAACTAATGAAAAGTATAAACAATTAAAATATTCCATTTCGATGCTAGATCTGGTTTTATTACAGGTACTAGCATTTCCTTATTAAATATGAGAAAATGCTTTCAGCCTTTATGTCTAATCTGTACCACCAATTTCAAATTTCAAGTCTGACTGGACTAATATAAGACATTCCTGATGGTAAATTTTTGAATAATCTTTAGCTGGTGAAATGACTTGGGTAAGTTTATCATTTTCTTATTTCATGATGAAACAAATTTTAATAATATACAAATCATATAAAGGAATATAACTTGCAAAAGGATTTTTTTTTGAAAAAATTACGACATATAACCAACTATGTTACCCAATTCTTTAAAATGCATTTCATCAAGACTGCAGTTGTGTGGATAATATCGTGATAACGATTTTCTAAAAATAGAATTGACATGCGAAACAACCACCGGTATTTCAGGAATTGAGTTTATCAAGAATGCAGAGTGACTGGTACAGTCTGCACTACTTTACGCTTAGCAGCGAAATTCTGTGTTTAATGTCTGAGTTCATATTCAGTTGAGTTGGTTGAAGAAAAAATGCTAGATTAAACTTGGGATGATATCCAATTGTTGAAATTAAAACTATTCGACAAATGAGTATTTAAGAATGCGGCAGGTTATTGAAATAACTATATTTTCTGTACAATTTATTTAGTGAATAAATGGCGATTTTGCTGCGAAGTACAACATATGACATGATTCGAAATTGAAATTAATAGCAGCAGGAAAAAATTCAAAAATAATAAAACTAGTTAATTAACTTTGGATATACCCTATGTGAAGCACAAATAAAAAAGGGGGATTTGTAATGAAGAATACCTAAATACAGGGTGTCCAAAATAAATGAAATCCATTAATTCAATTACCGATTTTGTGGGTTTCATTTATTTAGAGACACCCGATATTTTTTAAAATTGGTAATATTCAAAACAAGCATATCGGTCGGAGACCGAAGACTTATCGATCAAAACTGCGGTTTCGATTCACGACTCTATAGTGACACTGCGTGTCCCATCACTAATTAATTAAAAACTTGCTAATTATACGGCATAATTCATCCAAAATCAATAGGCTTCTGGTCCGAGATATGATGAATGCACATGCAAAATTTGGAGCAGATTCAACCTCGCCTTCGTGAGATATCGTGTTCATCTAACAGACAAACAAACAGATACACAGACAGACAAATACCTATCAACATACTTACCGATCTTAAGATCGATAAGTAATGAACTGTCTTATATGCATTCCAACAGTTGTACCAGATGTTTCTTATATGTAAAATTTGTCAAATTTTCTCAGCGGGCAATATCATTATTTCAGCGAAATTAAGATATTTGATTGAATTTTATATCAATTAATGATATTTTTCGTTTAAATTAACTATAAAAAAAAAATTCAGAAAACAAATTGTTCGAATAGCCCTATAGATTATCCGACCTAAACTTCAGAATATTTCAAGAACGCGGAACCGTAAATAAAATACTTAGAGCAGCCCAATTTCAAAATTTTACAAACAATTACGCCATTAAGAAAAAGATCAAAGAGACATTTAAAGATTGTGATGTCACAAGGTAACTATTATGACAATGACTTAAATGTAACATGATTATAGGTTATCAGTGAAAAGCGTGACCTGACATTGGATTGGTAGAGTGGGATGTCTGAACCACAACAAACCCATTCATTATAAAACTCTCAATCGGATGTGTTTAAAGAATACCAAGAAGAATAACCTCAATACAGTATTGCTCTAAACGAGACAAGGCTACTATTATATATATATATATATATCGAAGCATAGATATTTACATACATGTTTCTGGTATAGCTTGGTCATTTACACCCAATGGCTATAAACTAAGTGACCGAACAGACAGAACCAACAAATTTCTTAAATACTAAGACGGAAATGAAGAAAATTTATTAATTTATTAAACACTTTAACTTCTGTTTGTGTATGATATTACCCGAAAGTTCCAATAATTTAGGCCGCCCCACACAAATGTTATATTCACTCCAGACTATGTTGAAAATAACAATAATTTTGAGTTCTGTTACAAATTACTTGAATTTCAAAGTATGTTTCCTTCTGTTGATAATCTAGTGTTACTGTGTTAGTCCCATAAAATCCAAATATGGTCTGTTATTGATATATAAAAGTGGAAATCAACATAACATTGAACTATGTAATTGCTACCCATCCTAGTTGGTATTTAACATACCCTTTCACTGATTTCTGAAGTAACATGAAACATTCAATGAAAATGCTCATGATTAAGCTAAGATTAATACACAATTGAAGAATACAATCCAAGACTTTTGACAATGGCGGTACATAGACATAGCCACTGTTAATATTCTCTGAAATCAGGTAATGCACATTATGTAAAAATTAAAAGACTCCTCTATGCCTATCCATTTGTAGTATAATATAGAGCTAAGTTATAAATCTACAACCTCATAAAGCATTTGAAAAAACTTCCTAATATAACATCAAATATAACTGCACAAATGTGGCACCTGAATTGTTATACAACATAGACTTTTTAAATGTGGTTTCTGTTGGACAATAATTATTTACATTTCAGTGTTCCCTTTCAAAAAAGTTTGCAAAACAGAAATATTATTGACAATGAAAACCTTCATATGAATTAGATTGCTTGAATAAAGCTAAAATACATTTGAATTTTAACATTCAATTAAGCTGGATAGCAATATGTCCAATGTTAGCACTGTGTTAAAATTTTTGTTGTTGCAATAGGATCACTGACAAGCTCATAATACACGTAGGCAAAGTGTAGAAAAACAGAAGAGGAACCGGCATTGAGAGAGAATGATGACGTGTACAAAGGACGACAAAAGTCACGCTTCGTTCTCTCGTTTGTATAACAGGGTTACCTACGCTACGACCTTATTCATCAATATCATTTGGGGTGCTATTTCGGCCTTATTTATCAATATCATTCGGGGTGATATTTCTTGGGAAAGATCACACGGGGGCGTGTCTAGAATGGGGCCACGGGGGCAGGGCAGTACGTTATAGGGGTGATCTTGTTGCTTGGTTTGAATATTTAAATAATAATGATACTAATATCTCATACTTACTTGACCTTCAATTTATTTATTCTCATGTATAACAACATCTATAATTTGTTTAACCCCAAATTAATGTTAAAGTAATGTATAAGAAACAGCATTATCAAAAGCTCGCCCCGATGGATGGACGTCAAAAGCGTATTCTCACGACTTAAAATGAAACGGCAATATTTTAGACTAAATATCGCGGTCCATCAGAAAAACTTTTAGAATCAAAAGTAACAACCTTAGTTGCAACTTCTCCAACATCTGGAAGATTATGATTTAAACATACTCTGTGTGAAAATGAGAGTGAATTTTCATTTACCTGTGGTTGCCGAACCATCTGGATTTCCGTACGAAATGTGTTGCGGATGGAACATCGACAAGTGGTCGCCTGCTGGAAACATGGTTGTTTGTTGATTCAATGACATCACGTTCATCTGTCGAAGATGAAAAATCATTAGTGTCTCCTTTTTTCAAATAATAAAATAAACATTCTGACACAGACGTTGTCAACAACTGACGACATACCTTGCGCAATCATTATTATCAGTCATTATATCATTCACGAGACGAAAAGATTATTCTTACGTCACACTGGAATACGCAAATATGCCGCGATCGAAAATAGTCTGCAATAATTGTCAACTATTTTGTGCTCATGCTTGACCAAGTTGAGGCATTAGTTACTCAAAAGTCCTTATAAGGAAGACATTTGACTACATTTCGTGGCAACCGACCAAGGGAAACGAAGCATTGCTTCTAATTTTCAAAGTTCACATACCCGGGAAGTCGTATACACATTAAAAACCTCAGAATATGGTTTAAAAAGCACTTTAGCTCTCAAATCTGAAAACAAAGTGTCGAGTAGAAAACGCATAAACGAATATAAATCAGATTTCAATTAGCAAAACGGTTAAATATATACCGAATTGAACAATTTGACCATATTGGGAATCTATAAAACGCATGACTAAAAAACTACCCGGTAATAGAAATAGACATAGATGATACAATAGTAGCATAATGTGATCTCAATTTTGACAAAAGTGTAATCACTAATTATAAGATAGATTTCGCCCTTTCTGTCAATTCACATCTTGTGCATCTATCATAAAAGAAAATTGGAATTCTACACCTATGCTAGTCTTGCCAATCTGTGATCTTTCTGCTTTTAGAGCTCACCAGCTTGTGAAAAAGGTGGGATTTTCGTATTTATCACCGAGGAGCGGTGGACTATGGTGTCTCGACAAGTTGATAGTCCATGCCGAGTTGTGGCAAAGTTAACCAGTTCCAGATGCATGGGCTAGAATAGATGAAGAAGGAAGCCTATCCACCATAGAAATCATTTCGTAAAGAAACTACGTGACATGTATGAAATAAAAGTCAACCAACCTGTTGCATATAATTGATCGGTGGAGCAGGCTGCATAGAATAATGGTGTTGCATGCCGTGTGGTGCTTGAGAAACAACTGGTTGTGGTCGCATTGATGGAAAATGTGTTGGTTGCATCTCTGGAATCACCACCACTCGTCGAAGACCGTTTTCTTCGATCACGTGAGAAATGTAGCCATGCGGAACGTGGATTGGTGGTATGGCGCCGTTTGGCGACACCATAGGCACTTGGGCTGGACCTGCGATAAAAAATAAATACTCAGGAAAATTGTTGATGTGATAATTTTCAAAAATATAATCGATAGTCGATAACTACTGAAGTATTTTGTCTTGCGTCGGAGGACAGAAACTTATCAGACATGAATGGCCAAGTGATCTTCTAGATAGAATCTAGATCTAGAATGTGTAGCGCAGCATTCATTGTTAAAGCATAAAACAAAAATTTCTGCTTGAAAAAAATATATCGCCATAGCAAATTCATTGTTTTGGTGCCACAAAGTAACAGGCAGTTGTCAAATTCTTCGAGAAAAGGTTGATAACAAAATCAGAAGGAGTATCAAAATGTGTGATCAATATAATAGGTATGCAATTTTTTATTTGTAGTAATTTAGCAATTCGGTTGGAAATAAAGTAAGGAAGAGCACATGTTAAAATTCGTGACTGACAACGTTGTTAGAAATACGTCGACTTTACACAAACTTCGAAGTTCGAATGCTTCACGACGACTGAAGCACGCACTGTCTATATCTATCCCGGCTTTATACTAAGTACCCATTGACTCCCACTACATTTCGGTCTTACAATCAAATCGAAATCCCCTCTTATGCTTTTCATGTAAAAATGACTGCGTTATTGCTATGCTGTACATGAAAACATACAAATAAATGTCTCTGTCGTCATTCTGAATCAATAGTAATAATCGATCAATCAATCGCCAATGTCAACGTAAACCAAACAATACAAAATTAGCGCAGACAAGAAGGAGAATATGACATCTGTAACCAAAATATGAACGCGATCTTTACAAAGGTAATTTAAATACCACAAAAATACGTCAGGAAAAATACGACTGTACGTCAGCTAAACTCCCCGGTGATAGGTTTCTAATGAGCAAGTAACACACATTCCTGAATAATTTGGGTATTGGGAGGCAGATGCGCTGTTCAAAATCTCAGTAAAATTATACCGATTTCAACGTTTGTCAACTGCAATTGTGAATATATGAAATCTTGTAGTCTATTTACCTTCAAACAACGTAAAAATACAGTAAATTTACCTATCGTTCCTAATGGTATAGTATTACACAAAAGGTGCATTGTATTGGGCAGACGGGATTTTCGTGTCAAAAATGCGTCAAAGAACTTCAGTTTATTCAAAAACGTCGGCGGCGACCGGCGGCGGTGGCAAAGTACTGGAATTTCATACTAATTCCAAAGTACACATCACGATCGGCGACGAAATATTGTTAAAATCGCAGAGTCAGAGATTTCGCTCACATACCAGAAGGGTAAAAACCGTGAAAGCAGACATATCCGTTCATCACAAGCGAGATCAATGGCTTTCGGTTACTGGTGTTCTGTGAATGAACCCAATAGGAGCAATTCACATTTAATTACACCAATTACTCAGTCTACGAAGGGACAAGTTTTTCTTCTTAATTAAAATGCATTTGTCTATGGATTGTACATCAGCAGATCTACATCTACGTTAAAAACGAAAAAAAGTTGTTAACCGCGAGTAAAAAAAAAAGAGTGCAAGCTCAATATGGAGGTGAAAATTTATTATTTGAACATCAAAGTAACCCAACCGATTACGCAAATATGAATTAGGTAGATTAGATTAGTTGCGAAAGTTATTAGAATTGTCCCGTTTGATTTAGAAACCAAATCCATACGTTCAACTATAGTTAGAACAAATATCTGACATTCACTCATTAAAAGATTAGGACGAAGCCAATTAAAACACAAAGAAAATACCACAAATCAAAAGTAAGGCAAAAAATAATTTGCGGTCGGGGTATTCTCTCCAGTAATCAGGTAAGGTCATTTTAAATGCCAGTGAGTAGTCATTGAATAAACACCTTGAAACTTCGAACTACCATGTGTGGCATATTACTGTAATAACATATCGCGACTAAGTGGGTGGTTAAGTATCGGTATATCAATGATTTCCTTTGAAATTTCGTTTTGCGCTAGACCTGAAAGAATGTGAAACAAAACATAGGATTCCCAAAATGTCTTTCTCATAAAAGCTATTATTGATTTATTTATTGGATCTGAGGGCCTACCACGTTCGTCATAATACCACCGTGATTGCATAGAAAGAAATGGGGATGCTTATTATTATCACTCGCATAAAATTTCTCTTCACACTGCTAAAATTGGCGGCCGATTACTGGAATTTTCCAGTAATTTAATTGGCAAACGAAACCAAATAGTATTTACATATTGAGGAGAATTTTCTCGCAGGTAAAAATTTGAAAAATATTAAATAACACAGGCTTACATAAGAAAGGTTTGAGATAAAGCAAACTTAACCCTCGATCAATTCGCTAGCATAACACTTCAAGGATTTGCTTCAATATTTTTTTAATGCGCGATATTGGACCAATGGGAAAAAAGGGTTCGTTTAAACGAATATATCCCTGTCATGGCTTGTCTAGATTGGACTTATGCAAGCCTAGTAAAATATAGACATACGCAAATTGCAGTGCAAGCATCGTTCGTGTAATTAAATGATTTATGTAACAACATCTTATTTGACTACAACCGTATTACAAATAGCTAATAATATGTTATTTGTTGCTATAATTAAAGTGAAATACAAATCGATCGAATATATCAATCACTAACAAACAGTACCAGTCATTCATTTTGTCTCGGCTCTGAGTCTACAAGTTATATAATAATAATGGCATGAGCACCCATAAGTGCAAGGTTGCTGACGAAATTCTACAGAGTAGAATAAAAGATAAAAGACTATAAAATGGTGGGAATGTGGAAATTCTGAGTGTCTACAAATAAATCGGGATCATAAGGTGTCCGTATTAAAAATGGACCAATATCAGATATATTATATCCAAATTACATCATTTCATGAAGAATATTTTGCGTATGTCTATTTCAATGTTGCCCAAATTCCCATTAGCGGACTTCACCATGGCTTTCTGTACGTATTGAAAATTTCAAACTTTTGTGATGTAGCGCGATCGTTTATGAAAACAATAACAAATTAGACTGTTTTAACTCACGTCTAGCCGTCTGGCTAAATTAATCAAAAGTGTTTTATTATTAGAATTAGAACGCAAGTGCAATGTTATTAAACTTGGCCCCACAGATCTCGTCTACCGTCTTTAACGCTTTACCTTAAACTTGAAACATGAAAAACTACCAGTTTAACACCAACCCGATACAAATTAGAATCAGGTTGTGGACGAAGCCTAGTAAAAATCGATTTTTGAAAATATGAATCGCTGGAAAGCACAATGGCCTAAAATTTCTAGCCACATGTTTCGATATCTCGACTTCCGGTCTCGGGAAGGAAACGGATATTCGAAAAGCACAATCTAATCAATTTTTTTTAGATTTGTTGTCTGTATTTTCGATGTAAAAATGCTAAATAGCGGTTGTGGATAATGCCATTAAAACTGGTGGCAGTTTATACCAATATGCAGTCTACTTAGCGGCTTTATGGCCCTGAGAGAAGACGCCGATGGTAAAAAGACCAGCGACTCTTCCCAAGCCAAGTGGATAATTTATTTTGAAAATAAGCTTCAAAACTATACCAGTAATTTACTTATAGGAAAATGTTCTGGAAACATTCCTTAAAATACTGAACGCGCGAAGCAACATGAAAATATCCAAATTAAGGCTTAGTTTCTATCATTGTCCCTGTCTGCGTCTATCGTGGATTATTTTCCGAATTCTAAGTAAATGATATTTTTCAAATAGTGCCTACATGATACAGCATTTTCCAAAATACACAATAATTTTTGCAAACAGACAAGGGTAAAATTAAATCGGTTCTACTTTACTGCATCTGTTAAAACATTGCTGTTTCAAAGTTCAAATCCGTTAAAAAATACGTTTTGTAACACCGGATTTGGACAGGATTCACAAATATTTCAGTACAAATGCACCGTTGTATTGCATCAAGTAGCCATCCATATGAAAACGATTTGATTTATAACACCTGCCCCTGGCGAAATAGACTTAAATGAACCTCATTGCCATTTGACGAAAACCCGAGTTCAATTGACAATGATTTATAAAGGATATGACAAATGCAATTGAAAATAAAGTCTTTTTAACAATGGTATATGTATGTACAAGTACAATATGTGGAAAACTAAAGAATTGGCGCCTTGTTATGTTATGCCAGCATTGCATATACTTTGCCAAACAGCGAAAGCGAAAACCGCACATGAGTAAACAAATACAGGCTTCAGTAGAGTGCTTGTGATAACAGGCGGTTTCCTTTGAGAATTCCCTGTCCAGACGGTGATAGCACCTTGGAGAAGAGAAGTAAGTGATCAGTGTTTTACGAGACTTCAAAGGATCGCGCATCGGAAGCCATTTGACGTAGTTTTGTATTCGAGCATATATGAACTGATAGTCAGAATTCCAAGTTGAACCGAAGGTCAATTGCGATTTGCGATCGAGTGTTTTGAATTTACGAAATGGATTTTGCTTTGGTGAATTATAAACGCACCATGCATGAGATAATGCTTCGTAACGTATACTACAGATCGAACGGGTTTCTGCTCAATTTCCCTTATTTGTGAAGCTTTGTTTGTAACTAACAATATATGAACAAGAGATAGGCGAATTACGGTTAATTGGATATTTGGGGCATAGGCTATGCATTTACGCTACCCACAGGTTCGTAAATTCAATTCATCTTTGAAAGTTAAATGTTTTTAGGCAAGTATGCCACCGTTATTGAAAATGAACCAGGAAAAAAACAGCATCGGTAGCTGATGCAAGAATAATCTACCTAAGCGGGCGAAAAAAAATCAAGCAATAGTATTCATATAAAACTTGCTATCTCGTGAAAAATATACAACAGAACAGTCAATAATACTCAAACAAAATTAATGTTATGCAACGGGCTTTAACAGCCAATTTATTTTTCATCGGAAATGAACCAGAAAAAAGTCAGCATCGGTAGCTGATGCAAGAATAGTCTACCTAATGTTATGCAACGGGCTTTATTAACAGCCAAAATATTTTTCTTCGGCGATATACCTTCAATACTCAGAAAAACGCAAGTTATATAAAATTTACCACTGACAAACTGAATCGAGTAATAAAATTCTGCAATTTAACAGCAATAAGTCCGATTAAAATTATGTATTTTACAAACCGTGTACGTTATTGTAGTTCTGGTTCTTCAATAACATTTTATATCTATACAATTTGAGTTGATTCATCTTGCGACGCGAATCACAATTTTTCTACAATATGTCACTTATAACAAAAATCAACAACGTAAGTTATATAAATAATAAGTCCGATTAAAAGTATGTATTTTACAAACCGTGTACGTTATTGTAGTTCTGGTTCTTCAATAACATTTTATATCTATATAATTTGAGTTGATTCATCTTGCGACGCAAATCACAATTTTTCTACAATATGTCAATTGTAACAAAAACCATTCCCTTTTAACAAGTTCCGTTGTGTATAGAATCTTGGGATTTTTGCAAACCTGTGATGTTTCGAATTATTTTTGAGCAGGTATCGATGATGGGGCGAAACGATGTCTATTGTATAAGTGTTAAATGTGGAGAAATACAAAAATACATACGGTATCGGACATTATGTAACTAACAATTATTGTTTGATGTTGCATTATTGCTTCTGATACAATTCCCCGATAGTTGCTATTTAGTGGAATACGCTCATGCATTGAACTGAGTTACATGTTACTGTGAATAAAAGGTAAATTCTACACTCTTGGCACTTTAGTGCTCTCCCGTAACTTTGCTCAAAGATAAATGTCCTATATTTCGAAGTGAGTGCGCATTACCATGATTTGAGCAAGAACGAAAAATACCAACTTCTAGATGGAAATAGAAAAATTGACGGATAGCTCATGTAACATTGCGATGATTGCAATGGTGGAATCGATCTTTACTTAAAACGGTAAAACGGCAATATAGTGGAGTTTGTTTTGATTTATTTTCCATGAACAGAACGAATTAAAAATTCTCACAATGCAGAATTTTATTTGCCTATTCAACATTTTAATGGGACACTTGTTACAAGGGCACTAGGAAAAACGGCGGAAGATTTATCGTAGGGACAATGGCAAAAAACACGTATTTACCGTAGGGACAATGGCAAAAAACACGTATTTCTTCTACCCATGTGAGCGCCTTTTTATACATAAAATGTCGGATTGAGATTTTATGCTTGATGGGGAAAATCTGAGTGTTCAAAAGAGCCACACTAAATGTATCGGCGGACCGGGATGTGGCCCGCGGGCCGACTGTTACACACCCCTTGGTATAAACTGTTGACTCTATTGTCAATTGGCAATTTTGTTCTTGTTTGTGTTGGGACGCGATCGAAATTTTAGCAACATTTACTAATTTTCACCGACTTATCCCCAATTATCAAAGGGGGATATTGATCAAAACATGCTCATATGGAAAATACTCCGCGCCCTTACTTGGCGAAGATGGATATCATTGATGGTAAACACACCACGGTATAAAAACAACCTCTGTGATCATGAACTGAATAATTCCAAGGATCTCGAAACCGAAACTACGGAACTATCGGCAAACAGCTTCGAAACATCTGCCCTAAATACCATTTTCAGTGCAGAATAATGAGTTTACGGTAATTCTTTTTGATGCTGACTGAATGACTAATCGTTAATAAAGTTTCGTCAAAATACATTTAAAAAAATTGAGTCTGAATATGACAATTTTAAATGAAGATTAAATAATAGCGTTAAAGATATCCATACATTTTCTCAAGTTTATCAATACAAACTTAACGCCGTTGACTTTTGCCAATATTCAAATCAGTAGGACGTGTCATAAAATGTAAAAAATAAAAATATTCCAAAAATACATCTAAGTTCGAGCTATTTCAGAGTTGCGCAACTGCATTACATCTTATTTTTTCTAAATATTTGAGAAAATTTTAGATGTCTGTTTGCTCGTGTTTACCAGAATTTTTTATTCCATGAATACAATTACTCTCATCAATAAATAGGAAAATCTACGACAAAACAATCAAATACAATCTGACGTGAATTCGCGTTAGCATCAATACCTAAAATTGAATTAAATGTACGTTATCCTATTCAGAATAAAAAAAAGATATTCAGTAAACAAAATAGCAGTAAGCAAGGTAATAAAAATATAACAGTTATTAATAATGACGTATGTTGATATTTATTTCCATTTTAACAAACATCAGACGACCTGTTTAGCTGTTTTGTAGTTCAAATCCATTTCGATTTCCTGGTATGACCCGTTCGTTGCCTCCTAACTCCTAATTTTCCCACGTGACGTCAAGACCAGTAAATTACCCACGAATTCCGATGAGCATTCCACTATAGCGTCATGAAACTGGAAAATTGCTTTTACAAACGCTGCATGGCGTTAAAGGTAAAGAATAACGGAACTAACTGTTGAGAACCAAGACGCAACCATTGACTTTCTATATGGAACCTACTGGAATCATGACAATCCAAGCTGTTTAATTCTAAAATACTGGACAGTTGTCATTAGAGCACACATACCGGATTTTGCGCTAAGTTACCGCCAGAAATAAAGCACCCTATGCTTCCGATTCTGATAACGTAAAGTTGGATATACGAAGGCATTTCTTCCATCAATAATATGATAATACCGCCACTGTCCCGCCACTAAAAATTTGGCAGATGCCCCTTTAAACGAATAATAGACAATTTTCTGAGTTTGAATTCTTAAGAATATTTTACCTTGAATACATTGCGTTTCTTCTTCTGATTGAATTGTGAAAGTTTCTCCAGGATTTACTTGTACCAGAATCATGCTCTGCAAAGAAAACAATAAACAAGATAAGTGCCATTACCGTATCCTACATTTTGAGAGTTGAACCTACATTAGCCCTGCCGTAGCAATTACTGACAGCGCACATAATAGCCAGTCCTGAATCCTACCAATTATATTCCACAAGATGACGTTTGTACCAAGTCCAGCCAAAGTACTTAGTAAAAACATGGATACTCCATCAAAGAGGCATAACACGGTATACCCTTTTCACGATAATTAAGATCTATGCAAAACTTCGGGGTCACAGTCCAGTGTTACAGGGCAAACTGATGAGAAATCTTCAGGAAATAGTCAGTTATCAGAATAGAGAAATACACAATAAATGAGTAACAATTCCCAAAAAGATAATGAGAATTGCCAGTATGGAAAATACCCATTTATACGATATTTAGGTACTATCCTACCTACTATTGCATCACCATAAGAATGAAATGGAACAAAAGTATTGAAAGGAATGAATAGAGAAATAAAGAGAATCAAAGAACGGAGAATTAAAGGCAAAAACAAGATGGTACAAAAATTTTCAACAGGGTATATCGTGAGCGAAAGACAAGAAAAATACTAAATTAACCAAATGATATTGAGCGAATAGAATCAGTTACAACGACTATTCAAGTATTCATTTTAGTTTAGTTCATAACATCTGTTCCTCATGTTGGAATGTCTCTTACAAAATTGCCATTCATTTGACGATATTAAATATTCCTGATATGATAAGTACGCAGAGTCTACCTACATAAGATTTAGCTAGCGAGCTAATTGTATGTTCCGGGGTAGGTAATGGATTTGTAATGAGCCATTACATCTCAAGTACCACTTCGAGACGAATGACGTCAAAGTGAATGGAATTGATCTGATTCGTATGTTTTACCGTTCATAGTTTTACTGCAACGAGACTTGTCTTTTTGTAAACTTGCGATTTTGTAACAATTGTGAAGGCTTCCATTGAAAAATTTCAAATCATATACTATAATATCAAAATATATTCAGAGAACTCCATACTAGAAAAAAAAAAAAAAACTAGAATCTACTTCTTTAACCTAGCTTTTATTAAACATGATATCGCGATTTGCATGTGCAAAATATTATTTTGGTTGCTAGCAATTCGAACTCTTTAAGTAGGTGAATTATCCAATTGATTACGTCATTACCGTCATTCAAAAAAAAAAATTTAAAATTTTTTTAAAAAAATTTAATTTTAAAATAGTTATTTCATTCAGTCATACAATTTCTCGCCAATGACTAAGAACATATCGATAAAAAGCCTTTAAAACATTTGAATGACCTGAAAATTTGAATTATGATTACGCTCAGACAGGTCAGCTAAAAGCCAGGATATATACTACTTAATGTCAAGTCGTGGAAAATTGCCAAATTCGGGCATCATGACGTACATTCAATTTTATGAATGACCGTAGTTTTCAATATATTCACACATGACGGCGTGCTCCATATAACGGTAATTATGCGTATTCACATATACCGGTACGTCAATCTGACTGGTAAAAATTTCAATATGTTATAATATGCAAATACTTCCTATATAAAAAGTTAGAAAAGTTCCATATTTAGTAAAATTATTTTAGGGTGATATACCGGTAGATAGATTGACAACAAACAAATCATCATCTAAATTGGGACCGAGGTGATAACAAAAAACAGAACTCATAAATTTACTAATTACGTCTACGAAGGTGAAGAAATTTTATTGTTAACACTTGAACTTCCGTTTGAGTATGTTTGTACCAAAAGGGATACCCAGAAGTACCAAAATAGCTTATTACTAAAGACGGCGTAAAAAAATAAGTCAAAATATAACGGCGGCTGTGTTCTACGGAAGAATCGTGTACATTTAAACGAACACACACGTGTACCACCCATTCACATAAAACAACAATAAACAATAAGAAAAGGAGGCTCGAGAGACAGAGAGAGGTTAGGCAGCATCTGTGCTTTTATCGCTAACCGGAAATGTGTGGTTGTCTATGTATTTATTCCCTTTTCAATGGTTTCAATTCAGACGAGAACACTGCTACTATACACAATCGGATACGTGAACAATTGTAGCCTAAATAATATACAAGGATTTTATTGAGATGGTTGATTTTAAGATAAAATATGACGAAATACAGAACATTCGTCTACTAGCCATTATATTCAATCAAATAACGGGCGGAATAAAGCTGCGAGCATAATATGACAATCGTTTTTATTCAAGGTGTGATATGATTTCGGAGTTATGAAACAATGTTTTTATAGTTCTTTTTTAGTATAAATTGTCGGCATTTGGTGATACTTGAATTGTAGAAGTAAAATATGCAAGTATTTGATAACGGCAAGCATGTGGTATTGCTTGGTTTAAATTTAAACCAACAACACAGCTTTTGGGTATCCATATTTTTTTTATATCGGCGTAGAGACAATATGAGCAGACTAATCAGTGTATGTGATCGTGCATATGCATAAATTAAACCATAAATAGCTGTGCCGTCCAAAATAATCCTGGTCGATGAAGTTAATCTGCTAATACATATGAATTTAAGACATTTTCGTCGATATACTAATCTGGTGATAATAATTAGTGATGCTCGTCAAATGCCTCAATAGGCAGATGTAACCAATTGTTAAACAAGGATGGATTGCGTGTCTACGTCTACGGTTCCTCCCCTTTCGTATGCCGCAATCATACAAAGTCCTAGGAGCGCAGTCAGACTAAACTGCATAAAATGCATTGTATAAATGGTCTGGTATCTTACTTTCACAGACTACGCCAGAAATATCTTTGGTAAAAAATAAACGTATAGTTTTGCCGATTTCACACATAAAAAAAAACAAATCGAATTGCAAATATAACCTCACTCACAAGGATGGATGAAATACAATTAAACACTGCTGTAACGCAAGTCAGGACTACGTATCGTCACTAAGACCGATGCAAATCTATGGAAAGACATTACAAATAGAAATAATCGGCAATTTAACTTTCTATACGCATATATAGAAAAGTTCTAGTCAATACAGTATCGAATTAGTGCAAACACAATGATCAGCAAAGATATCCTCTTTTTTTGTTATTTTCATAAAATGGTAAAAGTCGTGTATTCGCACGATGGAAATGGAAGACATTTTTTCGTTTTTTGCGGTAAACGAATATTTTTAGTAATCGCATATTTTTCGGCCTAGGGCAAAACATGAAAATAGCATAAGAGCGTAATTCGCAAGATGTGGTTTATCTGAGGTCAACAAGTCACGTACCATTTTTCTTAAATCTGGGTTCCGCAACTGAGGCAGATGTCACGAAAAAAATTTCAAGTTCACAATAACATTGAAAAAATGAAACCTCCGAATTAATACCTGAGGAGTGTAACGATATGAGAATTCTGGTTCCGGGAAATGCGTATCAACTGTGCCGCTACACATGCTTCCGTCGCCCGCAGGCGATGTGAAATTCACCTGGTCTTGCGTTGTGTTAGATTGGCATTTTCCTTCCGACGAATAAATAGATAGATCATTTCCAGGGCGACTTTGTTGAGTCGATGCTGCTTGCGTGGTTTGATCCGGCGGCAAAAATACCATCGTTTCAATAACAGTTGTGACAACAAAGTCGTATAATCCGTACGTATTATAGCACTTTTACATGAGCTTTGGCAAATATATAACTGTGAGCTACAAAAAAAGGAAACAATACTAGCGTCGCAATTTTTATGCTACAAAACCAAATGCTTGTTACCTTAATCATCTCGAAAAAAGTACAGCTATACAACCTATTGTCTATCTGCTGCTATGCTCCGTTTAATACACACATACACAAACAAAATGTATTCCTATTATCCTATCTTACGACTACTCTCAGAGCAGGTAATTGTTATAAGCACCATTTTTTCTCGTAGGTGAAAGACAGGCAAGGTAGGCATAATAAGCCCACGTTACATGAAAATCGATCCATCAGGCCTATACACAATTCACAGCGATTCAATAATAACTAATAATCAATAGGCAGTCATCATAAAATTCACAGTATGATGAGCTTAAAGCTAAATGTATTCTCAACGGAGAATTTCACCAGTGAATGCGAGCTGTTCTCCTACATATGGTATTTCCAGTACTGAATACATACAGACACACAGAACCGTCTAAATTTAGAAAATTTGGGAGAGAAAAAATACTAGAAATGGGAATTACGGTACTATTTTTAACAACTTCATACTGTTATTCCCTGGCCTCGTCCAGTAACGAATATAGCAAAAGCAATAGATCAACACAAAAAGCCGGTAGGAATTTGTGTGATCAGTGATGGGGAGAGTTGGGTAGAAAAAATTGATTTCTCATACCCCTATTATTAAATTTTCCAGACATCGTCGCTACTTAGTCTGGAAGGTACGTGACTGAAAGTCGAAAATTCGTTTTTCATGTAAAATATTAATTAATTTTAGGCTTTCATTTATATTAAATAACAGTACAAAATTTGCATATCGTCATTGATAGCCGAAATGCTATAAACTAAATATTTTTATAAATAAAACAGCTGTTTTTCGGTATGTTTTCTTTTCTCAATTGCTGATATGAACTGCTAATTTTCAACAAATATTACCTATCAGCTGAACAAACCTAAACAAACCACAATATATAAACAATGTGCATTAGGCATGCATTTCAATTCCTGTAAATTTCCATTAGAAAATCCAACTTTAAATGCACGCAAAAGCCACGCAGCCCTGTGCAAAACGATAAACAAATATATGAAGCGCTAGGGTCCAGATCGCTCAATAGTCGAAAAACACGTCGGCTAAGCGCGGCTCAGGACCACAGGCGATAAAAAAAGAACCGATAGAATAAATATATATGTCTGCCTCTCTCTCATTTTCTTGGCGACCTCAAGCGCGTTTACTCATTGCAGATACCGACCGAAAACTCGACGGTGGAATGCGGATATTATCCATCCAATATAAAAACTTCTAACAAAATACTTGTCCTTCATTTTCACCGCATTGTTCAATAATAACCTGGAATAGGAATTCGAAACAACCGAATGTTTGTCAATAAAGATTTAAATGAACTTTGGACTACAAAATCAACGAAGCGTAATGCAGAAAACATTGTACACAGCGGACAAGGTTGCATGCATCGTTTACCACGGGTCTGTCTTATAAAAAGTCTGAATGTGACGAAATCGTGGTACGTTTTGAGCATTTCAAAAACTAATTACCGATCTTTAAATATTCATCAAGCATACTCAAGAAGAATATCTAACTCGGTACGAACAGTCACAGCGTAAGACTAATTTCGACTATATTTTTTGTCTATGAAAAAAAGCAAAGTCACGCAGGCAAAAAAAACTGCACATTTGCTGGGAACACCACAGGAAATAAAAATAAAATACGCCGATGCACTGCCCAAGATGCAGTAAGCACATCTAGGATATTAAGTAATACAAGAAACGCAGAGGTACCGGAAACCAAATAACTCGACATAATGCTTGAATAGGAATATGTCACAATACAGGGAAGCCGCAAAGAGTCGGCTGAAATTGTTCAGGACAATTTATTGCCAAAAATATTTCACGTATTTAGAGTATTTCTATTAGAGCTGCAGTGTTTTCTTTCATAATATTATACATTGCACGTGAAGCAGCAAAACAAATATCGCAAGTATCATGTTTGCCAGACTTTAGTCTTTACATTATACATACACCAATTTTTGACGTATTTTCCTTGAATTTCGTCTAGAAACAATAATACATATCGAAGGCAAAGAAAATTAAAGTCTTCTCCGAAATATTTTTAACTGACACCTATCGCAAAAACTAAAGGCACAAAAGCCCCTACGTACCACATGTCGAATTATTATTATTTTTTCAACCAGCAGTCATACTATTTGTGAGTAAGCAATTGATAATGCAATTTACGTATTTGCCTAGCAACCAAACCAACTCACATTTCCGTCAATTTTTAGTCCGAAAATAACATGTGATAAAATCTAATAATAAAAAGTCAGTTTCAATCCATTTCCGGGAAATAATCAACTAATATTCAAATTCATGCCGCTGCTTTTGGTCAAATCAACCTCAAGTGCAAATGTCGAAAAAAGTTCATGCGTTCTAAACGTTTCGAACCCAACATATAACATACCGTAAATAACTAAAAATGTTTGAACTCGTAATGATGCCACAAAGCTATTCGTGTTCGAGGAACAATATCATAACATTCCTTATGTCGACTGGTCCCTGGCACTAACCTACCGCAGAGTAAGTACGTCACTACGGAAATTATTTATTTCTGGGAGATAGCCGATGAAAAAAGACACCTACCTCATAGCCATAGAACGAACGAAATCGGAAAAAGTATTTTGAAGCTAGGCTCTGTCCCATAACTTGAATAAACCCAGCGTTAAACCTATCGTATTCCGAAAATGCGAAAATTGCAGACGGATCGATTGCATGCTGACCACGTAATAGCTGTATTTAAGACCATGTCATTTGCGATAAAAACAAGGCAGTCTAACCATTTAGTCAAATCTCTAACCTAGAGATTTCCAATGTAATGAATTTGAAGAAATCTCCAATTTTATTTTAACAAACCGTTTTTTCTCAAATTTCAGAATACCGAATTATTTCAAATATGAAAATCACTACTTTTTTTGATACATTATGTCCTAACTGCACCATCCGCGTATCTCACTGCATTTCATTGGCTAAGTTTTATCCATAACCAAAATCGTGACATCACATTCCATCGGATTCGGCGCAGATGCCCTTGCTATCTTTCCCGAAGATAAATACAATTCTTACAATGTCGCTTTTCTGCACTTTAGTGTCTATAATTTACACACTTTCGGGCCATCTTCACGTTATTTGACTTTGATAATTTTACACAAAACTTTTGAAAACAAGTTACGATTTGTTGTGTGCGAAACGATACTGAAATTGATAACGACTGTTACTAAACAGTTCCACAGATGGAAGAAATTTCGTGCCTATATTTATAGCCAAAAGACTTGGTCAGCAAGGAATACGTCAAACAGTTCAGAAGTCGTTTCCGGCCTATATCCTGGTAACAATCCAATTGGCAAATCGGTGCATATTAGTGGCGCCAGTCGATCACGCGCGGATGTAAATGCAACTCAAAAGAAGCCGATTTGTTGTGAACAATTCTGTACAAGAAATATCAGCACATCTAGGAACTGCGTCATCGTCTGCTGTTATAGCAGAAATGAATTTGATATCGGAATTTCGTCCAATCTTAGGCGGCGGGTATGGATGGCAACCCATTTTTGGATAAAACATTATTCATTAACACTTATCCACCTATTTATTTAATTCAAACACGATGAATTTACCATAAATGGAACATACAATATGAATATTTCTGGCAAAATTAGGAGAAAAAAATGGGTGTTGGGTTTTCTGTGGAAATAGCTAATAAAAAAGGTTATAAACAGTGAAAAAATTAGAAAAAATGAAATAAATAATTAGTGCAAAAAAATGCCACTTTTCACAAATGTAATATATTTAGGTAATCGTAATAGATATTTAACGAAAATTAATACACATGCCAGAGGGAAATATTGCTAAAAAATATTCGAATGAAATGTGTCTTTCATATATTTAAAACGATTTAGACCCAAAAGTAAAACAGAATCTTTTTTGTCTGGGTACTTTCAAAATTCTGTCAATGGCAGTTAACCCGTAAACAGCAAGTAGTTTAGGCATATTTTTGTAAACAACATCATAATATGTCAATACAAAATAAAATGATGATGTCTACGACGCAATAAAACGACCAAGGGTAAGTACCCACTTGGTCGAATCAAAGACATATGCCATCATGTAGCAGTTGATGTGTGCCATCCTCCATAAAAACGAACTTATCATTATTAATGGGAAGTGTTGTTGCAATTCTTCCAAAGAAAGCTGTCATATTACACCACATATCATCATATACTTGTGAAAACGTCATGATAGCTCAACTGAAAAGGAAGTTGACTTTAAGCTTCTAGTTTGCATCCGTTAGTAATTACATCCTTCTTATTCTTATATTGGAGTTTGCATTTCAATGCTAACTATTAGCAATAACGGTCTAACATTTCATATGAATTATGCAACTTTTTTGAATAAAATTTTCAAAATTTTCACAGCCAATACTCAATTATTTACTAATCCTAACGATTTTACTTTACTTTAAATAAAGCACTAAACAAACAGATAAACTAGGCGCTATGATTTTACAGTAAAATGAATTTCACACTCACGATTTTGTACAGTTCAAGTAGCATAATATGTGTTCATGAATAAGTATTACACTACTAATAGAAAAACGAAAGAATATTATTAATACTACAGCAAATGCAAATCAAAATTCTTCAAATTCCTAACGCTTAGCATGAGCACACCGCCGAGCCATAGAAATCATGAAATGTGAATATTCTGTACCAGGGTACCAGTAATCCAAGGATTCTAAACCTCTGGGTGAGCTGCCCAGGAGTACTAAACAATCAGTGCAATGATCTTCCAAAACTTTGAATGGGAAAACTTTGCAAAAAGGATTTTGAATGGGGTTGAAGTCTGTTAACAGTATATGGTAAACATGCAAAGTAGATTTGGATAAAGTGCATAGCAGCAAGGTGTAATTTTGAGAACAAAAATTCAAGATTATATGCCCAGAGGGCAATACTGAACTTCAAGAAACTTTACATAAACCAGTATGTACAAAACAGCCTGCAATTTCATAAAACAGCTAGCCTTAGAAAGAGAATTCTAAATCCCAAATGATTCCGATAATCATTTCGTCAATAAAATAATTCATTGCTACTTGAAAGCTGAACAACAAAATAATTCCTCCACCAAATACCCATATTAAAATCAGCTTACCCCATGTTTTCATAAAATCAGATAAAATAATGTCTTATTTTTTATCTCATAAATCATGTTTAAAAAAATGAATCAAAATATAAGTGCAATGGGTTGCCATTCAAAACAAAAAAATTAATATTTATTACCACTATTACTAATGCAACTTACCCAACAAATATAATTTCACTGGGTCATATACAAAATGTAACACGAGGAAGTTGAAACTAGTTATCATATGGAACCCGACCAGTTTCCTAAACGCAACTATTTAATGCAAACTTATCAACCAAAAAATTCCATCATACAAAGCTTTTTAGAAGTAGTCCAAACAACTATGTTACTTTATTTACTTATTTAACCCAAGATCTCACAGATTAGTAATATTGCTATTGGAGCAATCTCATACAAATATTGATGGAAAATGGATCCCACAACCACTACATGGTTTACCTGTACCTATTCTCCTCGCCATATACTGAACTATTTGCAGAATATATTGCAAGAACTATTAGAAATATTAGGTTGAGACTACTTGAATTAAGTGTTCTTCACAGTACTTACTTATATTGCAGTATAACAATATTTAGCCAGTTATTGAAAGAAACACTCGACTTCATGTCCTTCAGATGCATACGTATAATACTTTCCCTATGCTAAATAAATAACTACTCTCGATATTCGCTTTACAAATCATACTGTAAACTTTTAACGACATTGAATACAGAAATTTCAACTATTTTTTATTTTAAAATACTCCCTACATCTACTTCCATGGAGGTTAATATGAAGATGTATTAAATTTGTAGGCGACGCACGAGTTTATGTTTTCATTTCACTATGGTTTTAACAAACTCATACTGAGGAGGAAACATCTAAGTGCAATAAACAAGAACAAAGAAACTTGATACTGTCATCAACATTATAAAGAGGAAATAAAACATGAACGCCATGTACAAAACAAAACTGAATAGCATCATGTAACAAGCAAAAGGATGTTTCCTGACACACATTACCCTAACATTTTTACATGTACGCCAAATAGGCATAAAATTTGATGATTTAGTCGTATGCAAACAAAGAGAGGTCCTATATAGAATAAAAAATCAATGCTCTTGCTTGCATCTAAGATTCCTCTTCTAATATTTAAAGACACTTATGTGTGCATTGTGTATATTTTTATAACATTCCATAGTCATACATAAGGTTATATATCACTAAACAACTTCACTACTTCCGGCAGTGTTCACAGTGTAAATGAGTTTTCCATTCAGATCAATGACAATTACGGGTCATTTAATTGCATATTTTGCAATGATGAACCATTAAAAACACATAACTAACAATTTTATTAGTCTCATTTGTTATTAAAACCACACAGAATAATCCTGATACTGTCATTGATAGATATTATTCTCTCAAAAATGATTTCATTTTATACTTGGCTGTTCAATAATTGTAATGTAAAGTGAACATTATGAACAAATCGATCCATCCAAAACTATACTTTTTTGTAAGTATGTTCTTGAACTTTACAGTCAAAGATTGTTTTGAATATCAATTCCATTCAATCTTAAATGGAAACTTCTGGTTTGGTACACGATAGGGTATCTAAGATCCCTTTTAGTGGGTATGTCTTACAAATAAAAAGGTTGGTTACACCAACATGGTTAGGCAGTCATGTAGCATATTTCTAAATATATCAGAGATAATAAAATCAAATAGAGCAGCATAGTTCTAAGTATATCAGGGATTATAAAATGAAATAGAATATTTTTTGTATACTAAGATAAATCAATAAAACTAGAACACTGCACAGTTTTGCTACTCCATGCTTTGTGCATGGTTAATAAAATATTGTTATAAATAATTGAAATTAGTGCAACTTTTACCTCTTTCTGTGCAGGTATTTGTTGAAATTGCTGTGTTCGATCCATTACCCCATCTGAAATTTCTTGAACTTTCTTCTCACTCTCTGAAGAATCTTCATTTGCGGACATTGACGTCTCATTGGTAGGTACAGGCATGGCAAAACGTCAGGCGCACTATGACCTGTACACTGATTCACCAAATTTAAGGTGATACAAAGCAATATTGGCTACTAGGTAATAATTTAATGGAGAAAGCTAAAGGTTTAATGAATAAACAAAATATTAATAATGGTAGACATATAAAAATAATTTAATCTATCATTTTGAGTGCAGAAGCTACATAGAAAATGATAAACATTTTTTGAATACTTGAGATTATTATATGTTAGTTTTGTTGTTGTTACAATAACTCTTGTGGTTATAGATAAATATAAAACTTATTATATTCACAGAATAAATATTTCATTTAACTCATTCTTCAGAATTAAATCCACAATCAATGGCATGTTTTGAATTGGATATTCCAATAACATTTAAGTGTATATTAAAAATAGAATTTGGTAAGTACTTGAAATCAATCACATCTTATAGAAATGTAGAATAACTTCAATTCATGACCTCCATTGTTTTGTTAATTCAGTTCTAAGTTCTTCTATGATAAATTCATAAATATTCAACATGGACAATGAATGTCAATAGACTAATACAGAAAATAAAACAAATTTGATGATCCATGTAATGAAAGTATATATGAGGTAATAAATAAATATATGAGGAAATACCACGAAGCGAAGCAGTTAATAATGAGACCTTTACAAATGATAGATACACAATGCTTCATAAACTATTTATTAGTTGTATAGCAGTAAGGCACAGTTCTCCAATTCTAAGGATGGCCCCCACATCAAAAGATATCAAATATAACAGTGAATGCAAACCCCTCCTTTACGAGACAGTTGGGGGCTCCGCATTGGCACAAATTGCCAAACTCGCAGTGCGTCATAAAGCAAGAGTCAATCTAAAAACTTCAACATTGGATTCCTCAGAAAAAGGGGACACACGCAGTATTTGTAGTTTAGTTCTGTTACGAGTTCGGGGACTGTCTGTGCTAGCCAAGTAAATACACCCCCTGCCCATAGTAATTTTACCGTAACACACGATAGTTTTTACCAAAAATCAATGTCAGCAGGAAAGAATTTTGGTCATATTGTGACGTCCGACGCATTCATTTTAAAATATGTCTCAGTTTATTACATGGAGAACACATGAAGTATTTCGTGTTGGATAAACTATGAAAATCTTGCCCTGTTCAGTCAAACTACTGTATCAAAATATAATTGTTATCATTTTTGTACAAACTTATTTTTGTATCTCACAAATTTATTTTTTGTTCATGTGTATTATTCTGAAACTGCTACCGGTATTACATGTCTATGTTTCTAAGTTCATTTGTTATGTAGATGCTGCAAGTTGCATAGGTAAACAAACAGCAGAAAATACTACTGTACTACCTGTACCGGTATAAATTTAACATACAGACATAATACCGTAATATCTGACTCTGTTGCTTTGCCATTTTTGCCTCATTACGGTAGGTTATAGCCGGATTTACGGTAACTATTTCAAGACCGAAGAACCTTGAAACCTAATTCAAAGATCCAATCCCTGTGCCGGCGGCCACAGCTACTAATACATTCAGCATTCTTATAAATAAATAAATAATATTACCTCTTTGGGTACGGTATCACACCTAGACTAGTACAAAATCTATTTTTTTCAGAATTATACGATGTTGTTTTTTCTGAATAAAATTCATGTTGACAAAGGTACGGTACCAAATCCCCTCTGAACATTCTTGAACCTGCAGGTAGCCTATCTTGCGAAAAATTACTTCTGCAGAAAACTATTTCGGGTAACTTTGCTAGAGTTCCCGCTTTAGCTTTCTAACACAAGACAAAATCCTGCTCTTTTCTGACACCTTGCAGGCAAGAATTAGAAAACTGGCTATTCATTCAACTTGAACCTTGGAGTTGGATGTGAGCTGTGGTCAAAATTGGCCTTCAATTTAGAATATTTCATACAATTATGTATACAACTTCATAACTATTCTTCTAAATAAAATAGCGCGTTAATGTATGTGGCGAATTTAAAGAATTTTGTACAATCAAATGTTAAATCCCGGGGTTTATTCGTGATTGCAGTTGATAGATGTTGTAACTGCAAATAAGATATTAAATTGATTGTTGTGTTATAAGGTGAGCTGAAATAGTTTGTTGTAGTTTATTTATTTTATTTAGTAAAACTTTAAACTCGGTACATTCTATTATGTGTATTGAGCCACAGTGAGCTTTACTTTCGGAATTTGCATGGTCAATCCCCGTTGCCATAGCAGCAGGCTAAGCGTGATATAGCAGCTTCAATGCTCCAAGGTGGTGCTTAGGTTCTGCTATTTGTGCAGTCGTTTAGGAGTAGGTAGCATAGGAAAGTGAGGTGAATTAAAATGAATTAGAAAAGGAAATGCGGAAATATCTCTAAAATGGAAGAAAATCCCGCTTCTCCTTCAATTGAGGACAATGATTCTCCGAACAATGCGACCGAAACACAAAACGAAGAGATAGCAGAAGAACTGGAAGATACTAACGATACTGGAAATAAAACAGAAAGGTAACCTTATAATAGGATTCTGAGGATTTTCTTCAATAATACTTTCACCTAATGAATAAGGCACCGTATTATGCTTTCCTATAAATGTTAATATCAGAATATGCATGCATAAAATCTAATTGAATGGTGCTTATTTCACTGTCAGATTGTCCTAATCTGTAATTTATTTCCTAATAGAGCTAAAGTAAAGCTAAGCCTGTATTTGTATACTTCCCACACATGCTTCAATCTGTCGCATACTATATAGTAGCATAGTCAAGTTGTAATTTCACGGAAAGTCTCATTAATTAGATATTTTGTCTATTTTTATAATCTTTATTCTGATTACTCACTGTGGTGCTGTGTATTTACCGTACACTACAATCTAGTTTACCAAATTTATAATATAATGAATGTGCTTGCAGATCAAAGTCTCGTGTTCCTTCTGCATTGACTGTAGAAAATTTGAAAAAACATGAAGAAGAAACAGAAGTTATCGATGTAGTTGAGTTAATGACCAAAAATGTTGAAGGTTCGTTGGAGATAATCTTGAGGTTGAGATGAGCTTCAAATATATAATAATACGTCAATTCATTAGAAAAGCTTCGCAAATATTAACATAACCAGGTTATCATCTAATTTATCTCTGTTCAGATGAAAATGAAGAAAATAAGGAAAAAGCTGATGAAGATCTTTCACTGGACAAAAGGGAAGAAAAGATAAATGATGATTTTGTAACTTCAATGCCACTACCGCCAATAGGTTTGTGTGTTTCAATGACTAATATTAATTCTTGGGGTCTAGTATAGTACCACAAGTACTTTCAGTTTGCGAAGCATAACGAATTTTGCATATGTTATTCCTACCCCAGCTATGCCGTCCAAAAATTATGTCACTACGACGTCACCATCACATGATTTGAGCTTGCGAAACTATAACTACGATCACCCGAAATGGCACCTGCACTGCCAATAATGAACTCACTAACGCCAGCGATCTCTCATATTGGGATCATTGCGACAAAAGAAATAGCTTGCTCGATTACGGGCGATTGTCTGCACGCTTTGAACGACCATCCGTATACTTTTGAGAGCCTAATTACGCCACTGTGACGTCATAGCGACATAATTTTTTGTTTTTTCAGGAATGACATATGCAAAAATTGTTGAGCCAGCTGACCTAGAAGTACATGTGGTACTAAACTATACCAGACCCATTCTTTGCTCTATATAAAAAAAATATATTTCATTATTTTATATGCTATATTTGGCTTCATGGGGGTCAGAGTGGTATCCTGAATATGTTGGCATCAAACATTAAGAATATAGGTTTGAAACTAGGTAAGTCCATAACTTCAATAAATGCCCACTGCTTCATTTAGTTTGTCACATTTAAGCAGCTTATTCTGACAAGATTTCGGTTTTTAAAGCCAGTGGATAGTGTTGAGCCTTGTTCAGAGATGGGATGTGATCAACCTCATAAAATAATCCAACAGAAATTGTGAAATGGAAGATGATTTTTATTCAGGTAAAGGAAACACAGTAACTGACTATGAAGAACCACTTGAATATGCTGCGGAGGATAGATCTGCAACTCCTATTGGAGAGAAATTTGCAAGAAAACAAGATGAAGCTGTCAAGTTATTATCGGATGTATGGTCGCAACCTAAGAAACAAACAGTGTGAGTATAACAGTTCTCAGTTATAGAATTACCACTGACTGGAAATTTCCAAGGTGGTTTCAATGTTGAAATATTTTTAACTAACAGTACTGTTGAAACAAGAGAGTGACGCCCAAATATATGGACACAAAAGCCAAAGCGGAGCAGTAATCTACCTTATCTTATACAGTACCTTACCCATTCTACTGTACGGTTCGATCAAAAAACTTCAGTCTTCCGAGTAGCACAGGAGTAGCATCAGAAAGGTCGCAGACAAAGTGAAAAATGAATCACATAGAGTCCACAGACAGTTTTGAAATAAGTGAAAGTAATAGCTTTCTTGCGAAAAATACAATCTTTAACCACTGAGAATTTCAAAGCAATTGGTCCAGTAGTTTGTTTTTCATGAAAACAAGAGAAAAATACCAACAAGAATAATAACAAAATGAACTATATGTATATTTTGTGTCCTATAATATTGTGGTTGAGACTGTTGCTTGAGAATGTGGCAATATTTTTTGAATGCATGTTTACCCATGATTTTTTATTTTACAGTTTTCTATTATCTTTATGGTTAATACAACACCAGTGATGTTCAATATTAGTAATTATTTTTATTTTTTCACCCTTAACCAGGCTCTGTATAAGCAGCCGCTGGTATGTAAGCGGCTACTAATCTTGGAAGGATCTTTTCTGTTTGGCATCGGCCACTCAATTTATTTTACAATGAGTGTGGTAGTGTTCATGGGATTTAAGAATTTTGACTAATAAATTATTTATTATGATTTATTGTAGTTGTAGATGTGAGCTCAGCTGCTGGCTCGGCGGTATGGTACATTGTGCTGAATATTAGGAATACGCTTGTCACTGTACCTCTGATTACCCTGCGGGGGCTCGCAGGTTTGAATCCCATGTGGTGATAATTATGTGCAAAAGGATTGCTGGACTCCTCGCCGCCACAGGGGGGTTCACATATTCGCTGGCCGGTTACGGCTTCCTCGACCATCAAGTCCATGCATCTGAAAACAAATAACTGGCTAAACTAATTCCATACCCCACGGCCCACATGGACTGGTAACTGGACGAGAGGCCGTAGTTTGTCATATGATTAAGTCGTCATATCGGCTTTTCTATCCAATGAGATATATATGTACCTAGATCCTATCCCATTCTGCCCAGCATTAACAACTGGTTATCACTGTCCTTGGACAAGCTTAAATGAATGAAGTGATTCAAAATTCAAACCCTACAGCAGTATTTCACCACTAGTATACTAGTATGTGTGTCAATGTGTTTTAAATCTTCTATTTTTAGCTATTTACGACAAATTCATCAAAATGTAATGTTTTTTTCAGGGAGCCGATTATATCACCAGCTATTCGAGAAGAAGTCCGAGGGATCAAATTTACAGGCGAAGAATATACTGCGATATCAATTGATGTACAAACTGATGAAAGTTGGATGGCTGAAATGTTTGAATGGCCACAAACTAACGTGGAGGATCATCATCGTAAGTTGTAGCTTTCTATTCGAGTGATTCTCAAAGTGGGCAATATCGTCGCCTAGAGGGCACAAGAGATACAGTAGGGGACGAAAAATTCCCTTTCATCAGCAAATTGGATGATCAAAAATTGTTCCTGATCAAAATGTCTCCAAATATAAAAAAAACTGTATCTATTATACCCAAGTTCATCTATACCAGGGGTGGGCAAATTATGGCCGCGGACCGGAGCTTTTCATCCGACACACTTGTACGTGCTGAAATTACGACTATAATTTTTATAGATATAAATTTCCGTTGAAAATATCGATGAAAATAACTTGATAATGACACCGATTGTTACATTGTGTTTATTATTATTATATAAACGTTAGCAGCTGTTTGTGTAGCTTTTATAAAGAAACCGATTTTTATCCATAGTTTTTGTTATTGAGTTTCGCACCTCTGGCCGCTGAACCAAGTTCATTATGTGTAACTGGCCCACTCAGGAAAGTTATTGCCCACCCTTGATTTATCCCATTGAACAACACCATAACTCAGTTGCATGCTAGAAACTGACAAAATTTCTGCTTAAAATTAATATCTTTTTATGGCTGTTTCTGATGTTTCTAAGCTGAACTGCCATATATTTTTTATGATTTCTTATAATGACTCAAAATGCTTGTCAAATTGTTTTTCAAAATGTGGCTTTTTCATTTTTAATTGCACTACATTTAACATTTAATTACTTTTCCAATATAATGTGTTTGATCTGCCTAAATTTTGCTCATCCGTACTATTCATTTCTCTATTATAAAAATTGATTATTTTTATATTACATATAATTTTCTGTTCAATATTTGAATATTATTTTTCAGATCACCGGGATATTTCTACGTTTCAGTCACGACCAGCCTTAGCTACTGCAGCATCTGACGGAACCAGAGGATATGTTTCTGATAATAGAAGGTAACGTACGAAATCGTTTCATAAATTATATTCAATATAATATTAATTTAGGATATTTTCATTTTGAGAAGTATTATTTTAAGCAGTTGATGTGGGTTTGTATTTCAAAAAAGGCCGTCATTGAGTTTCTGAAAACTGTAAAAAGTAGAATACTGATCTAATTACTTGTTTACTCTCCTGCAATTCCCAGTTAATTGAATATTCATTGACTTCCATGTTCCCTTTCTTGGATATGACCCATAGGATTAATTATGATAGGATTTACATATTTATCCCGGGGAAGAGGAAAGCGGATATGAAATATGGTGACATCGTTCTCGTCCATTTACCAGTCCATGTCGGGTATGGGATTGGCTAGCTAGTTATTTTTTCCAGATGCATGGACTCAATGGTGGAAGAAGCCGTAAACAATCAAAGGTAACGTGAACCACCCTACGCGGGGAGGAGTCCAGCAATCCTTTTGTACATAAATACTTCGCATGGGATTCGAACCTGTGAACCCACGCAGGGTAATCAAGTGCAGGGGCGAGGTATTTCTAACGCTCACACGATGCGCCACACTGCCGTGCCCAATTTAGTATATATCCAATAATGGATGTTCGATAATATTGTTCCAGAATGTATTTATAACAGTAGAATATTCAGTTTAGGTCATCCCTTCTGTATGAGTTTCACAATTCTGACTAGATTGTTGTGTTTTTCCAGGCAAAGAAAACACATCACATCTGATTTATCAACTTCTGAAATTATTGATGATGAAAGTGTTTTACATATCACACAATCACAATCAGATGGTGTGGGGTAAGACATTGTTATTATCTTTTAAATCACCATTACATTTATTAATGTTTTATTATTAAATGTCAAAAATTGTGCACTCGAATCAAAGTTTCTTAATTGATAAAAGATAGATTTTTTTGATTTATCAACCAAAACAAATAAATGTAAACTAAACTAGATGACTATCGTATATATTCAAAGGTTAATTATTAGAGTATTATACATAATTATTGACTATATCATGTCTTGAGAGAAACATTTTTAAGTGACTTCAAAATATTCCAGACATATGGTGCTAGTTTGAATTTTCTCTTATTTGATTAAAACACATTGAAGAGAAGATAGCAACTCGAATCAATATCTTAAGGCATATGGAACACACTTGTCATGGCATTACTGATTACCCTGCGAAGTTTTGCAGGATTGAATATCCTTCGACTCATGGTCATTTTTTCCAAGTCTATGCATATGAAACAATTAACTGGTTAACTATCCTCATACTTGACCTGACGAGAGCCTGGGGTTTGCAATAATATTAGGTCATCTTATGAACTTTCCTCTCCTCCAAGATGAATTTGTTTGGTGAGAAACATCCTACCAAGTGCAGTGCAACCTCCCAAACAGTCCTTTTCTGTCAACCCTTTGAAATCGTAATAACAAAACAAATTCTAACACATTGTAATTACTTTTCTTTGTCTAGAAAAAAGAAAGATCATTCAACTGTACCTGAAAGTGACACAGAAGATGAAAACCCTATCACAGAGCTAACAGAATCTGAATTTGGTGGTTCAGAAGCTCTTACCCATACTTCGCATGGTACAAGCCAAACATTGCCCAGTGTCGGCCCACCTTTCATTCTACAATATAAAGCGGAATCTCAGATGGAACAAGTAGATTATGGAGAAATTGATGTATGTATTGTTGAATATGTTTGCAGGTTTCTTCAGTAGGTAATCTCAATGCACTATACTGGAAGTTGGTAATACACTTGTTGCTCTCATATTAGGATGGTGATTGATAGGTGGTCGGCTCATAACTGGTGTTTGAAATGCAAATTTTTTTCCATCTCGCTGTGCCTATTTTTACAGATATTATAGCGCACTGTGTTCTCCTGAACTTTCTGGATTTGCCGTCCAGAAAGCTTTAAGCCACTGCACTCAGCTGGCAGTGATACTAATGGCTTCCCTTCCCATCTGCGAAATATTGCGTCACTGTGCCTAATTGAGTATTGCGCACTGTGTTCTCCTGAACCTTCTGGATTTGTCATTCCAGAAAAGCTTTCAGCCACTGCACTCAGCTGGCAGTGATCTCTTATTAATTTACTGTTAGCGTACACACCCGACGAATTAAAAAAAATCTCAAATACTAATGGCTTATAACTGGTGTCCAAGTTGCAAACTTTTTTCATCTGTGAGTCAAGTTATAACTGGCTTAGTTTGTGTACCAGGATTATGATGTTACGCGTTGGTTGTACAAATGCTTCTACCCGTTAATGCACCTTATTTTATTACCGTAGTTTCTCGTTTGACACTTTAATGGTAACCTGTAATCTTGTTTCAAGATTATTCTCCCTTAGTTCTGAGTGACTTAGCTTTGGGCCACTGGGGGACATATGTTAGAATAGCATAGGGACAATCGTGTACACAAATTATTTTTTATTTTTTTATTTTGCCAATAATGGCTTTCGCTACTAACTAATAACAAATTATTACAACTTTTGTCAATTCATATTACAGATTTCTATTCCTGATCATCTTAACTGGGATGAGATGAATCCAGATCAGAAAGGTTATTATCGAGGAATGATGAATGATATGAAACAATTTCGATTGGATAAAATGTCTTCAATGATTCCAGAAAACGAATTAATCAATATTGAGCCACATTCCGCCTATGGAAGTCGTCAGGTACAGTTAGGCTACATGTATATATAGTGTATTATACTCAAGTAGTATATTATCAATTATTTTATGGCCACTCGGCATTTAGAGTATTGGACCTAATCATTTTGGTGTATCAGATCAAAAATCTCAAACCCCAACCAAAAAGTTTGGGAAATCCTGTCGTAGCTAGTGATGACTGTACTGAGTCATGAGACTGTACTCAAAATGAAAGTGTCAATAATATATTTCTAAATATGACATTTTTTCTCCTCGATTCCTTGTCAGATTCAGTTTTTAGACAGTCTCCAAATCGAAACTACATTTTTAAATCTCCAGACATTTTTTTTAATTTTACCATCTTGTCCAATGTACATATAATAGTTTTGGAATGTCTATGTCAGGATAGAAAACTTGCCAAAGAAAGGGAGAGAGAACGAAGCAGGATGCGAGAGATGGAGAAACAAGCGAAACAACATGCAGGAACTGGTGGACAAATGTTGGCAAATCAAACAAACTTCTATGCTTGTAAGAAAATTGAACTTTATTTTTCAATTCTATTTCAAACATTATTTTATTCTGAACCAAAATATTTTTCTGGGGAGAGGAAGGTTGATAGGACTGTTCCATCATATAAAAGACTATTTCCTCCCATCTAGTTACTTGTCAATGTAAGGGACAATCTAACAAACAAATGGTGCAGATGCAAGGACTTTGATGTTGGAAGACATCATATTTGACCAGCAGAGCCCAGCAATTCTTCTGCTTATAATAATCCCTTGTATTATTCAAACAAGATAATCAGTGATACAATAGCAAGTGTGTTCCTGGTACTTAGCACTAAGCTTGACTGTATGTTCAAGAATGCATTTTAGTCACAAAAAAAAATTCTTGTTTAGTTGCGAGACAATTGAAGACTGTCAACTATTCATTGTCATCTGAGAAATGCATGGAAGAAGGTTGGACAATACGACCTGTAACACCACCTACACCTGGTGAAGAAGGCTCTGACATATTTGTTTATGATCCAAATGATGATATCGTTAGTGGGAAGGTAATGCTGAATTTATTATATGTTATAGGTCAATTGTTAGTCGGTACAATTTGAGAAAAGAAAAAATGATCAAGCATGTTGAAAATTTGTGCAGATGCTGATATTCAATAATGTTTATAAAGTTTTAAAATTTTAAATTGCAAAGCAAATTTATTGATACCACAATAGTAGTTTGTTGGCTCTACAGGTGTATCAAATGAAGTAAAAACACTGATTAAAATAAAACAAACCTGGTGAAGATGTATTAAGAACTGACTTCATAACAAAATTTTGATATCGTAGCAGGACTTTATGACCACCCAGTATATCATACCTATTCTGTAGTACCAAGTCCCATTTCATGCCAAAGATGTTTGCAAATATCTCTGTTGAACATGACTCAATAAAAAGTATATTGATAGTCAGAAATATTATTTTAGATTGTATTTGAAATAGTACCGGTAAATAAAAACCTCATCAGAACTTGACATGGTAAAGACACAGTGAATATATACAGTAAATGTCATGCTTGTCGTTTTTTATAAAGAAATATATTGCCTTACTTACCACTGTTGTGCTATTTCTCAATATCAATATACCTAGCGGCAAGCATGTGCTATGTATATGGGATTATTTTAATTTAGACATCAATTTATTGGCTTTGGATTCCCAATGTGGATTTTAATTTTTTTTTCAAGGATTCAAATGAAAGTCACCTGATTCACGATTTGTATTAAATAACTCTCCACATATAATAATGATTTGGAATTTGATTTCAGAAATATCAACACACATTTGTAAGAAGGTTGTATCCAAATGGTGGAATCTTCTTGACAGTATTTCCTGATGGCACAGGAAATGTTTGGTATCCATCCGGTACTGTTGCATTCAGTATTATTGCCAGTGAGAAGATTGGAAAGTTGACATTCATTGTACATGAGGTGAGTAAACAGTGTACAGTAAAACAACAAAGTACACCAGGTTCGATACCGCGAGGGATAATTTTGTGCAAAGGGAATACTGCACTCCTCACTTTCATAGGGTGGTTTAAGTAATCGTTGGTCGGTTATAGCTTTCTTCACCATAGCGTTCATGCACCTGGAACAATTAACTCATCAACTATTCTGATTTCTGGCATGGATTGGCAACCAAACGATATGCTGTAGTTTGCCATATAATTAAGTTGTCATAAACATGAAAAATTCTATCTCAGTCACCCTACTCATCAAGAAATGAGATGTGGTGGCTACTGCATGGTCATCAATAGCACGGCTAGAATTATTTTACCAACAGTGTTATGGTGACCAACTCTTTATCTTGAATACTTTTTGTCACTCAAGGTCGGAATGGAACACAGAAAGTGTTTTGCTTCTATTCTCAGACTTAATCCAGGATGAAATGAATTGGATAGGCAATGCGGAATCAAAAAGAATCTGTTCTTTCCAAATAATCGTAGCTGCTTTATAGAGTCTTGTCCAGAGTGCAATATGTGAATAAGCACCATATTAAAGAGATAATGATATCATATACCAATACTGATATTTCGATCCATGAAAGATTATTTTTCTGAGATACCAATTGAAATTCTGTTAATAGAAGAAGTGTGCTTAGCTGCCATTTTATCAAATTCTTACGAAACAATTTGAAAACTATCCCTAGTTCTGAAAATATTCAAAGACACATAGAAGTATGATTCATATAATATATCATTGCAGGACATTGAACCAACTGACGGCCAGAACATTCAGGCAATATTTGAGCCTACAGGAAACTGTACTTGCTATTACCCAAATGGTATTGTCAGATTGTTGCTTAGTCCTGTTGGCGGTGAATATTTCAGGTGAGATATTAGCTATCTCTGCTAGGCTTGATCCTAAGGTTTATTTTCACATAACATATTACACAATATATTTGCTGAACAATAAAGATATTGCATTCAATTTCATTTATTCTTATCTTGCTTTATTCATTTGTTTGTTTTTGACCAATTTCAATCTAGATCTCCTATTTGCTGATTTCCTATTTCAAAAAAATTTATTCTGAGAAATCGATATTGCCATAGAGTTATTGGTAATCATGCTTCATAATTATTTTGACTTACTATGGTTATTCTGTTGTTCTAAACATATCAATTGCTTGCTAAGTTTTTCTTGAGTGAGTTTTGTATTCTTCCAAGTGAGTGTGCTTGTGCTAAAACGACACAATTATTTTCTACTCGTTGATAGATTGAGTGAGTGGAGTTTTCCTACTCTTGCAAAAATTCATAATGGTTATTGATATTCCTTCCAGCCCTCGAGGTGAGAGGATCAAGAAGTGGATTTGGAAAGATGCTCAAACTCATGTTCACGCCCCTCCCTTTCAACCGATAACATTTGCACTCAGTAGAAAAGTAGGAATACGAATCATGTCACAAGAAAGTATCTACATAACATTCACTGATCGTGCAAGAAGTGTTAGATTCAATGCAGGAACGAGATTAAGGGTAAGTTTGTATCATGGAAGGAAACCACCTAAGGGACATTCACGAACCCTTGCAAACATTAAACGAGCTTGCGAGCAAATAATATTCATGGAACTCCTTAAAAAGTTGGGAGATTTTTTAGATTGAATCAAAAGGTTCTCACAGTGCATTACATTTTGAGCAGAACGAAAGCTTTCATGAATACCAATTGATTTTTTGACCACCTCAATTACATGTTCAAAAACCTGACAACATTATATGGAGTTTAGTAAATGGACCCTCGGATATCTTTAGATAAGCTGCAGATAACAGGCAGTATGCAGTTTAATCAAAAATGATACAAGCAGAAACACAGCTCAATGTGCGACACTGTGATACAATTGTAGTTTGTCTACTTACATACGGCCTTGTTCAGGGGTTTATGTATGAATTAGGGAAGTCTATATGCCGATGATATGTTATTCAACTTACAATTAATATTAGTATCAAATTTTTACGTGAATCAATTTTGCCGTGAAATCACAGTAGAAATTGTAAATTTAATAATATGAATTCCTAATATAAATCTTTTTCAATTCACAATAATTTCAAATTCATTTGAACTAGGTACCTAGGTAACTAGGTACATACCTAGTGTATCTCATAAACTAGAGATCATTGTATCTATATATTGATTTGTTTTATAAACTTGCAGCTGAAGCCAGCCACATTGCTACCAAAACTTGAACAAATTGATCCAACTCAAGTCTTGTTAGAAGAGCAAAGAGTTCATGTACAGTAAGTACTTGCCTATAATGGTTGGTAAATGAACCATTCATGTACAGTAAGTACTTGCCTATAATGGTTGGTAAATGAACCATTACAGTATTGGAAGAGTTAAATGTGTTTCCTCTCAAAAAAGCAAGGATTTTAATAATTAGTGAATCATATATGATGCAGGCTTATTTTTGCTAGAATTGAAAATCTTGTATTCTACTTATAATTGCTAAATTTAAATCATTTTGCACAACTGGAGATAACATACAAAGCAATGACCATATTGGTGTTGTAGCCTTCTATTCATCATATATCAGTGCTTTCCAACCTTTTTCAGTTGCCAACTTACCGCTTAGGAAGCACTGTCATATATAACATTTATTTTCAGTTTTAATCACACCCCAATAATACCTTAAATTATCTGTCAGATTTCCGAGATGGAGGTTACAACTATATTACTAATTTAATGCAAGTTTTGGTATTAAGACATAAAAAACTGAAGGACAAAAAGCATCTTTACCCAACAACTTTTTGTTAAGCAACCCTTATATTTTACCTTTCCAGGAGTATTATTCAAAGAATAAACAATAATCTTAAATTCCCAAATTCACCCCGTCTGAAAAATATTCAACTTCCAAATTATTTGACTTCACAACTTGAAAAAACAGCAAGATTGAAGGAAATATTACTTGAACAAGAATTTAATGATCCATTGAGAAAGAAAAGCAAAAAGAAACTATCAGGACTTTCTCGACACAGGTCTTTGCCATCCACTCGAAGCGAACCCATCCAGGTAAATGCCAAGGCAATTAGAATTGCAATCGGTTAGTTTACTTTTTCTAATTCAGTGACCATCCAAAATCAATACTGGGCTCTACACATATGGTGTTCAACTACTAAAATCATAGGACTGCTATGAGGAATGTAAGAGACTTAAAAAGAAATTATCATTTATGATAAATTGTTCACAAGCAACCAGTGTTGAGAGTGTGGCTATAATCTACGGCAGAGTTCCCCAAACTTTTTGGGCGGACACCTATTTGTGAATCTTAGTTTTGACGGACCGCCATGCTATGCTGTATCAATTTCTGTGCCTAACCTAGAACTAAGGATAATGTTTCATTCACAACACAAACAACATTAATGTGATGGATGAGTTTGCTTTTCATTGCCCAATTTATCGATTCTCGGAGCAATTTTGAACAAGCAAACTCGTAGGTCCGACTCTACGGCAAGTATCACCCTGTATTTTGTCATCATATTGTTGAGAGCTGAAAATGCTGCCTCACACATCTAGGTCGTTGCAGAAGGCAATAAAATTTCAATTGCCTTTGTGACAGCAAAGGATATTCGCCCGCAACGTTCAACCAAAAAGATGCAATGGCTTTATGATTGAAATTGATCATTAAATATTGATCAGACTCTTTTCATATCGTTGCAGACCCCCTGTGCAGTTATCGCGAACCCCAGTTTGGGAAACCTTGAACTATGGGACTAATCTAATCGGCCCCACCACCATCAAAAATTCCAAGGTTCGCTCCACTCAAAAACGATTCTAGAGCCTTTAAAAGAGATGATTCAGGATTTTAGAAAACCTTTTTCACAGTTTTGGCACACTTTTCCGATATGGAATGATGCCAAAAAGTGTTGTAAATTGGTACTTACTCATGTACTGACTGCTTATTGTTCGATCCACCAATTATATTCATGCAATTATTTTGTTGAAATGGTTGTTCGACTTTTTCTAAGGCTAGCTTTCTCTTGAATACTGGAGGCTGTGATATGAATATATAATTGTGAACTATACAACACTCATCTTGCATTTGCCACAAGATCAAAACTAGCTCACAAACAGCTGTTTTGATATAGTTTTATCTAAGGATATATGTTTTTAGGTTGTTGAAAGAGGACTTAGAAGACATAGTTTATTCAGAAGACAAAAACAACGTGAAGATACCAATGAAATTCAGCCAGTTGTTATAGTCAATTAGATATTCGAGTTAGGAATATTTGCTTTTTACTTCAATACTGCCCAAACTTTATTAGTTTAACCCATCAAATAATGAATTGAAATTTGCAACACAAAGTTCAGTAGAACAGTATAATTGATGTTATTTTTTGAAGCATTCATTTGATTAGATTGTTTGATATCAAATTTGCAAAAAAAGTCTTGTTCCAAATTAAAAGTGTACTATAATATAAAAAAAACACTAGATTTGAGCAGCTATGTCCAATTCAAGTATGTTTACAAATAAGTTTTGTCTGTAAACTGCCTGCTAAAAGATGGATAATTAAAATTAACTTCTACTATCAGCCCTATTCTGGGAACATTGGTGAATCCTATGTATTCTCAATTTCATTGTGATTTTATATATAACTTGTATGTCATCAAAACATCCTCTGCTATCAAGTTCCTTTTTCCATATCTAGATTCTTATTTATATAACATAATAGTGTACGGTGCCAAATTATGCAAGTGCCATATTATATATTCAGTTGTTTGGTAGTATTTAGACAGTTTAAATCGTTGCAAACTTTTCATGACAACATGCAAAAACCTCATTCTTTTCCTCCATAGAATAACATTATATAGTATTTAACACTTCTGTCCTTTTCTTACTAGCTTATAGCTCTTGCAACTGTACTTTTACGTCCATATTTATATTTTCTAACGATTTGCGCTCAACTGGTATTGCAAACTGGTTTTACCTTAACTGTTAATATGCTTTACCTAAGTAATGCAAGAAAAAGTTCCATTATATATAAAGTAGCTTTTGTAATATATTATGCACAATAAATATGAAGCATTGCACCGAGGTGTCAAAGCAAATGCAGTATTGTTTGTTTCCAATAATACGAATACCAGAAGCATATATCAAGCATACCAATATATCAAGCGTCTCAGAGAAGCAGATCAAAAAGGAAGTCTTGCAGCCAGAGGGGCACAGAGTGTTCAAGTTTCGCTCGAAGAGTCAAAATTATATTTCCAAATCGCTTAGTGTAAGGGTCAGAGGTGAATTTGACAAACGCCAATATTTCTTCATTACTATGTTGAGAGAAGGGGTCTAGTTTAATATGTTTTAGAGTCTGGGTAAAACTTATTGTCGTAATCTGATTGAACTTTACTCAGATTACAACCCAGTTACCATCCTGCGGTCAACAAATCAGTTTCTTGACTTTATCATTTCAAACTGCTCCATTGAATTTTAAAATTAAACTATAAACTCTTGAACATACAAGAATAAATGACTTTTCTAAGATTCATGATTATGATAGTGATGCAAAACATTTGGTAACCGTGCCAAGCATATGCTTTCAATCTATTACTGTAATATAAATCCCCAAAACATTGTTTAGCAATATCTTGAAACACCTAAACTAAATGAACATTATAATGTTCAAGATACATAAAAAGCATGTTTTCAATATCTTGTCACTCTCGTCTTTCTCCTTATTGGGCGAAATGATAGAGATAATGTACATCACGACAGGGACATGATTCATGACCAAATCTCACGCATGCAACATCTTGTCAACTTCTCATGAAAAGGTCTTTAAATCCTTTGCTTTTATTTCCTGATTGTAGTCAGTAGCAGAGATATCTATTACAAAAGGAATGAAATTAGTAAATCAATGCAACCATGTAGAAAGAGCACATAACTGTTCTTTGACAAAAGTTTTAACATAATAAAATGATATATTTAACAATTCAGTGGCCTCCAATTTGTCTCTTACAATAACTTACTATTACGATCGGAAACCGGACATTTCTCAACTCAAATAAATATAATCTTCACATGCAAACTTCTCAAATAAGTCTGATTCCTTCAGACAACAAATAATACAAAATCACCTTAATTATACTGTTCCGATACAAAAAAGAATCAACATATCACAAAAACAAAGGTATCACCGTATCACAAAAACAAAGGTAGTTTTATTCATATTAGTCACACCGGTATAAATTGTAAAACAGTCAATACACTTCCACATAAAATATTTCTTCATTACGATCAACATCGACAACGGTTAAAACCAAAATAAGCAACAAATCAAAGTTGGTATTGACTAGTGAGAAAGGCAGATAAAGTTAAGCTTCATGAGAAGAATGTGAAGAAAAAGAGACAGATGATGTTTCACTATTGGCAGATTCAAAGAAGCATTGACAAAAATGTTTCTTCAATCTTTTATCGGTCGATATATAAACCAGTGGATTGACTGCTGAATTAGCGATACCAGGTATGACAAGATATGTGCTGACCAAATTCTCCAGATGACAGTTATCTGTGCAGATCGCCTGAAGACAAGAAATAAAAAAATGATATTAAAAATTTTGTATTATCAATAATAATAAATACAAATAAAATTTTTCATTGGGAATTTTTGTTACTGTACTGAATCGTCGCTGTGAACTTAGCACCACCAATACGAGTGATAATCACAAGATCACCACATCCATGATTGAGGGCTAAGGCTGGGCATTTTTAACCGAATAGTAAATAATTCGAATGGGTTCAGACAGAAATTTTGAATAGCTGAAAAGAATATTCCTCTCAGAGAATATCCGGACTTGTTACTGAACAGCGAGTAAGTTCATTGAGAGACAATCAAAGGCAATATGCATCTACCGAATTATAGTCCGGGTTGGCCTTCTGGGACATCATGGTATGATTTACTCCATCATTAATATCAAAAATCATAATTCATCACCTGCACTACACAAGCAAGCCAGAATGGCATCCACATACAAACAAACAATCCTAATATCAAGATCACTGTTCGGGACCATTTCATCGGTTTCAAGTTGTTCAAAAATTTCTGTAAAAACAAAATTATTTCCTGAAAATTTTGTCATCAATGTGGCATTTACGTTAATTTCCATCAATAGGAAGTCTAATCGCAAATTCACAATATCATGTACTTCTGTTATACAAGAACAAATATTCTCCATTTGGTTTTTGAGGAATAAATGACAATAGACAAAAGCAGTGCTACGGATGGCCTGCCAAAATAACGGTGTGTTGCGAAGGACTGGGTTTCAGATAACTTCAAGTTCACCATGAAATATCAATCATTACTTTTTATCTGCCATCATTTAAAATGTGACATAATATTATTAAATGCTGTAAAAATTATTATTGATATAGAAGTAAAACAGAATTCAGTCATGTTATGTACATTTAAAAAGTAAGCCCACATATCATGGGTTAAATGTACATACAATAGAAAAAAAACATTTCCAATTCCAATTTTTTCCAATAGGCACGATTTGTATGACTGAATGTAAATACGTCGTAAGTGTAAAAAAATATACAACCTCGGGTATAATACATTGCAACTGTCAATGCTTAGAAAGTGCATTTTTTGAGACAAAAAACCATCAAAAGGATGATTATACAAAAATCGAAGTGCAAAAAAAATTATTGAAGCAAGACACTTACAGGCAATTGTGGATTTTGACTATCATCACAATGTTCAGACGAGATGGAGGGAGTTGGAATTGATTGTGAAAATACCACGGCATCATTTGCTTCCATACGTCTGATAGCTGGTAGAGGATCCCCGCCTTCACTTTGAGATCGGGGTGGAGGTTGCGAAACACTGAATATTGAATAATTCCGAGGTCTTGTTATGGAAACGTCAATTTCATCATCTTTTGTATCTTTATATGCTACAGATGAACTTTTTTCTTCGATCACATTTTCATTTTTCAAATTGCGAAGTCGATTTTTAAATCGAATTTGGACTTCGCAAGCTGCAATCTTCTGTCCTTGCTCTTTAGAAACTTCAGAAAAATATATTCAAATCAATAATTTTTTTTTTCGTTCAAATTTTTTTTTGATATCCTAAAATATGAGATAATTGACCAAACAAGGTAGAGCTAGTAAATTTAAATTTCTGTTATCTATTGCCATTGCCTTGTACGCCATGGAGGTGGAGGTAGTGATTAAATTACTGGAATGACCAGAGAATAAATGAAGATTTATAACCTGCATTCTGCAGTATAATAAGGGCAGCTTTATAACAAATTGGGGCACAAACATTAAGGTTACTATAACTTACTATAATTAATTTACTAAAAATGAAATTAATTTAAGAGAATATTAATTTTTTAATACTAACACAATTATGGCTTTGGCCAAGACCTTCACCATACGCAGAATACGAATGACTCTGCCAGCAAGTCACTGAACAAAAAAATAAAATAAATATAAAGTAAATACCTTTGCACATGACAATATGAAGATATGCTGTGACAGAGACGGTTGGTAGAAAAAATCCAAAAAATACGAATAATATATAGGATGGTGCAACAACTATAAGAAAGATACATCTCCCGTATGGAAAAGTCGCTTCTTCATTTCTCCATCCCATTAATGGTGCAAATCCGACCAATATGGAGATGATCCATATAGCTGTGAGGATGACAGCCAACTGAAAAAGTTTGGATCACTTAAAAAGGTAATACTAAGAAGAGAAAATTATTTATGGATATTTCACCAGGAGAATTTGCCTAAACACGCTCACTCAGAAGTAAATAAGACTCATATCTGAGCGAAGTCACATACGACAAATGACTGCCAGAGCTGATCCAAATGGAATGTACCGGTCTTATCATTAACTAGCCACCACTGAGATTTAACTCAATGATTGATTCGCAAATCTGGTCTAGAGACTTCTACTCAACCCTGTATGAAATCATGTCAATGGCATGAGAAATATGCGGCTTATAGCTGGAATAGCCCCTCGAAAAAAAAAAAAGTGAAAAAAAAAAAAAATTCAAATGCTAGTTTTCAAATATCCTATTTAAGAATATATTGATATAAATTAAATGAAATAAACAAAATGAAATAAACTATTGTTTCCATTCACCTTTTTATTATCAGAGCTTTTATCACGAAATGGATTTCGAACCCATATATATCTATCCATAGCAATGGCCGCCATAATAAGAGATGAAATCATTGTCGGCATAGCGATTAATCCAACAGTAGCATAGCAGACAAGAACCTTATTGTCTTCTGCACCGGGTTCGGTTATCGTAAGCAAAGAAGCAATACCCATCTGAAAATAATTCCTTTTTTTACCTTTTTTTTATATCAAAAAATGAGGAAAAAACATATAAAACCTGTAGGATACTCACCAAAATGTCTGCAATCGCGAGATTAAGAATCAGTACCGGACCAGTAATGCTTTCTCCACTACGTCTAGAAATGATCATATCGAGTACAGCAGCAAACATCATTGTGTTGGCAACAAGCAGTATGGTAACAATTGGGGCTAATATGGCAGCAGTTAAGAAGTAATCACTTTCCCATTCATCAGGAGGTAGCGTAGTCAACTGCTCTGCTTTATTGTCTGCGAGAGTGCGATTTTCAATAGGAAATAGATTCGACATTGCCTTTTACTTTTAGGCAAATGATTTTATCAAGTAAATTGTTAAGTTACTGCAGTGCGATTATATACATACCCTGTTCACTTGAATATAAAATGTACTACTCGAAGCGTCAAAAAATGCAAGCAAATAAATAATTATTCATTTCAAATTTAAAAGCTCAAATAAGAAAAAAAAATGAGGAAACATATAATTATGCTTTAGGTTTTTTCAATCCACTACTCCTAACAAAGCTCTGAATAGGTAATCACATTGCCCGAAATTTTTCATAGGTAGGATAAATACTGAACTGGACAATCTAGAGCAGTGGTTCCCAAACTTTTCAAAAAAAATTCCATGACGTAACTCTTGCAATTTTTTCAATGATATCCACCCTTGTGCACTAAAACAAAACATTAAAAGATCGCAACAAAAAATCCATGTGCCGTATAGTGAAAACATTAAAATGAAAAAAGTATTTGATGAAGTTCAATGAGATGGATTGAGTGCCCTTGTTTCGCTGTAAAACAGCATTTCAAAGCGAGCTGGCATAACTTCCTAAACTACCTAGTGCTTACTGTAACTCCCTCCTATACCAACAAACATGCAAAATGGCAGCGCCACCTACACCTCTGCAGTTAACTTATATTGGCAGCAATTGAACTTTTCCTCTCTGTTATATCACAATGGGGCAGCGTGATCGAAACAGTGAAGTGAATAATCAGTTTCTCCAGCAGTGATTGCGAAGCAGCAAAAGGCGACAAATGTGTAATTGCAAATTTAAGCACTTAATGTTTGTACTATCAAGCTATGAGCCATATAACAGATTTCTTTCGCGGACCCTCTGAAAGTGCTTCACGGACCCCAAAAGGTGCACGGACCTCACTTTGGAAACCACTGATCTAGAGAGTGATCTTGATATTACTAACCCAAGATGAAAACATAGTCAGGATAATATGCTAACCAGTATGCAAATATATCTTAAATACAATAGGACTAGCATAAGGACAATTACCTGGTAATGTTTAATTGGCGATATTAGATATTTAACAAATGCAATTAATTTTGACCTTAAACTAAAAACTGTCATTTTTATGTATTTTCACCTCCCATAAAAAATTAATTCATCACTGATATATTATCCTTGGTCAATTTTCATTAAACTTATATATCATTATTTCACCCAGCAATGCTGAACTCTGAATTTACAACCGGCAGCAGTAAACCTGCCAGTTTTGTCTGGTTACGGTCAAAACGTTTGAGTTGAAATTCCCAACCTTATGCATAACTAATCTACAGCTTTCGCTTAAAAATGTCTGATAATGAAAAACTACATCCAAAAAATATTACAATACACTAAAGTAACTATTCTGCCTGAAAATGGGTGCAACACCTTTTTTAACAACGAAAAACTGCGTTTTTCTAAATTTCTATAAGGACGATTTTGAAGGCCACCGAATTTACACTATGCACACAAATATCGAAAAAATAGCAAAATAAACATTCTTGTCCAAATAAATGGTCAAAAACAAACAAGAAAAGACATCTTCGTAATAACGCCACAATAAATCAAAATAAAAACCTGATCTGGTGAAGGAGCAGCGATAATAGCTCGATCTTCATCTGTATAGTTTTCTAGCAATATCATGTCGAGTTGTTGATAAGCTTGCTGGACATTGAGCTGAAAATTAGAAAACAATTGCTAGTTTAAAATATCGCCATTTCACATGAATTGAATATTGCATAGTATTATTTTGGATTATAAATGAAAATAAGCTTGCCTGAATTAGAGCTGAAAAATAATAAAAAATTGATATATTTCAAATATGGTATGTAAAACATGTACTGTATTGTTATTGTAAATTGAATTGATAATTATTGCAGTTGTTTAGTCTTAGTCCAAATCTTAAATCAAAATTACAAAGTGAAGTCGCAACTCTGCTAACACTTTTTACTGTAACATTTCTTGATCTTGGAAAATTTTCGTTTTAATGAAAATTTTCAAAAAAATGCTCAGATCATGAAAGTCTGATCTAGGTCAGATGAAACGTTACAGAACTGTATTTGTGTTAATGTGCAGCAAAACCATTGAATCACTTGGGATATGCATACGTACATTCACCAGTGCACAAAGCATAGAAGAATAGGTACTACGGTAGTATGTGTACCAGGTTAGGGTTAGGCCATAATTTTATTGCGATTTTCCTTATTTTAGTTATATTCTGAATTCGGGGACTATCTGTGATAGCCAAGTGAATATACCCCTGCCAATAGGTTTCAGTCCTTTTACACAACTTGATGTATAGTAGGCGAACAAAATTAGTAATGATTGGCTAAATTCCTATTTGTTTAAGTCACTCATATATGATATATAGAAAAAATTGCATAAATAATAGCATTGTTCGATTTTTAAGAGTGGCATATGTGACCCTCTTAAAATGAGATTGTCTAACTACAATGTAAACACGATGATATATGAATATTTTATGCTATTTTAACGCTTTTATTGCCATTACAAAGCAATATAAACAAATTTAGGTAATTTTGTTTGATCGTTGTTTTTCTCAGAATTTTAATGACGCTAATCCTGCTGATTATTTCATATCAATATTAAAAATATTTTAACGAGTTGCAGAAAACCTTGATAAAATACTACAACACAATGCAACTTTCATTATTTCTCTAATTTTCAGTATTGTATATTGAATTTATGATGATTGTTTTAATATATGTGTGTTATTAAAAGTTTTTTTTTTTCAATTTGTTAGGGTGAGATTTCTTTGTCAAACTAATATATACTACCTATGTACTATATTATTTAAAAAAAATTAAATGATTTATACAAGTGAGCATTGACGATTAAATAAACATTATACGCTTGGCATTCCATGGCGGCCTGTAACTTTGCTCTGATAAGTCTCTTCTATGTCCTTCATTCAGACAATATATTAAAAAATTATACACTATTGGGCGAGGTGACATGGAGACGTGTATTTTGATTATTATCGATTAAATATGTTCTTTTTGTAACAGAGTGAATATTGGAAGTTTACTGTTCTTCTAATTTTAAAAAATAGCATTTAGTAGGGGGGGTATTTGAGTAGTTTTTGCATTTGAACCGGTGTAAAATCTGAGTGAAATCGATTCTCCGTGAAATTATGGTTTCATTGTAACATTCTGACTCTGTACTTCCTTGCATAATTATTCAATGTATTCAAGTCACCTAAAAATGCAATTTTTTTTTGGAAGTCAGTATACTCAATTTACCTCATTTTTGAGTATACTGACATCTACCAGTTAAATCAAATCTAAGAAAGCCCTAGAACCAAATCAAACCCCTTCATGAGAAACTTGGGTACATATACCGGTAGTTTATTTTAAAAAATAGTAAATACAAAAACCTTGGAATATAATTATCTGACATCACTTTAAACTTGGTATGATAGATCGCAATTATGATTTCCATAAACTTTTTACCACAAATAGGCTTTTAGTTTAAATATAAGTTCACTATGGACTAGAAATGGGTGGTTTGACTTGGTCAACAACTTCCTTGATAGAGATACTTTCTATGTTCCTATTTCGGGTTAAATCTAACACAAAATCTTTGATCTCTTTCATACACTGCTATCATACAAAGTTCATTTTATATACATCGGTGAGGACAACTTGGCCAACGAATTCCCTTTCCCCATATTTCAACCAGCCAGTCGCGGTCTTGATTTCATTAATGTCAGAATATGCTACTTATAGTTAGTCCTCTGTTATAATCAGCTGTACTATGTGAGAATTCTGTTTCATATTCTGTCTCGTCGTCAATAAAGCCGAATCTAATTCGGACTCTGTTACTGCTTTTCTGAACTATTATTATGATCTTTCTCTTTGCTGTTTTTCTTTTTTCTACCAGTCATATCCGTTTTAAGTCTATCCTATCAGTATAATGGTATATACTTTCAATTGACGTTATATCAGTATATAGTTTTCGACTGAAATCTTTTTCTGGGAGGGCTGTTTTTTTATTATTACTACATGTTTTCGGAGATGCCAGTGAGTGTGATTACGTCAACTAAAGCCTTTGTAAATGCACTAAGCTCACTGGTGGAGTAGGACTCTGTGCTTGGCTTGTCCACAGCTTTCTTTTTACTATTTTTTTAGTTACAAGAAAAAAACTGCTTTCTCAAAATCCTACAATCGCCCATTGTGGATTTACACTCATATTCATTAAAAATAGAAGCCTATATTGAAAGATGGACATGATAAAGGCTACAAAAAAGTGTTAGGGCTCAAAATAGTCGCACAGAATCTCATATTCCTGTGTTATAGCAGTGGGAGAGGCCATTGATGCATATACCCAATTTACCCCACGGTAAATTTCCGACAGACTCAATTTACCTCGATCTTTTCAAACATCAATAAAACAAAAAGTCAATGAGTTACACAAAAATTATCTACTGGGGCAAAGAGAGTCTTTACTAAGGTACTAAAAGACATCACAAAAAGTTTAAAATATACTATCAGAAAAGTGTCACATGAGAGTTTCCAAAACAATTTTTTTCACGAACAAAAAAAATTTCACATACAAACATCTAAAACAATTTTATCATTGGTAGGCAAGTGAGTTATACGCAATGAAATGGAAGCATAGAATATGAACTATTGTTGCTACAAAGTACAAACCATTCACTCAACATACAAAAAAGTTAGCGAGGTTTTTATACATTGTACTCAATTAACCCCATATGCTCAATATACCCCACCCCCCCCCCCTAATTATGCCGAGATGGGATTTAAATGAATACAGTATCACCATATCATAGCAATAGAAACTTTATCTGACCCAGAAGCCACAACTGTAACCATTCAAAAACTATAAAAAAAATGTAAATTTACCTGTATTCAATCAAATCATTAACAATGTAAAGGTACATTTCAGTATATATCGGTGAAAGTTTCAAAAGTATGAATAAAAAATATCCCACCTTAATTGGTTTGAAAAGTATATTCTCAGTGTCCCGATTTGCTAAATATAAAGACAGACTTCCGTGAATCGATTTAGCTTTAAGTTTGAGATCTCGATAAGCACTAGATACGACTTCTTTAAGATGTTCTGGTGTAGCAAAGGTTTGGTGTCGAAGTGAAGTTTTTGGTCCTCCTTCCTCTCGAGACACATTTAGAACTAACTTCGCCTAGAAAGATGAGTAAATAAATGTTAGGGGCTTTTTATCAAAATTATTGTTTAAAATGAATATAGCTTGCTATTTTGTTAACACCGAAAAGCCTATCTGCTTTCCTGAGCCCAATTTGCATGGTCATTTTCATTTTTTTTTTACTTTTCAACCGTTAGGCCATAAAACTTGACCATGGCTTTTTAGAACGGTATACTTATGCTTTATTATACAACATGACGCTAAAGAGACATTGCTGAATGATTTTCCACATATTTCAGCCAATGTCCAAATTTAAAAAAAAGATTCTTGCAGATTTTGTGAATTTTTGTCATGTAGAGGGTTAATCTACAGTTTTTTATAATTAAATATTAATAAATATTAATTAAAATCGCTGGGCATAAAAATCATAATATAAGGTAAATTGTACATTGCACGGATGTGTAGTGAAAAATACAAATTTCCCACAAAAAAAGAGTCTTATAAATAATCATTATCCTAATTCCAAAAAGTATCTTAATCCAAACTATGAAGTTAAATCAGTTCTTATTAATTTGTTTTTATCAATCATTTTATTGCCTGTTATACCTTCTATGGAGTCGAAATAAACTCATACTTATACTTATAATAAATTCCACTATTACTATATTGAAGCACTATATCATCTTTATTTAGATTGCAAAAGACAATAAGTTGCACATTATTATTGAAATCTCTGAAGCAACAGTGGCATTAATTATGCACAACCAATTCTTTTTTCCACTTGCAAATTCGCCTATTGCATTTTGCACATACAAACCAATCTATATTACTTAAGAAAACAAGAAAACAATATTTCAACTAATTAAGACTAATTGATATATTATCTTACCTTAGACAGGTAATCATCGAGAACCCCAATCAAAACTTTCGTGACATGTTCTATGAATTCTTCACATACATATTTCAGTTGTCTGAAACACAATGATAATTTACTGCAAAACTAATAGGCGGAGATGATGAGAATCCTAATGAGCCAACCGTGACATTAATTTGGAAGTTTGCAAAGCTATACAAAAAAGGCCCGACTGCTGGCACAATGTGCAATGGAACATTCTTTGTCGGTGGGCCATATAACCAACTTCGGCTATCGCTTAGCCTTACAGTAATAAAGGCACCAGGAAAAACACCGAAAGATTTAATGCAGCGAAAAGTTCGCAAAATTATTACGGTATGTATTTTTACCCATGTGAGTGCCATTTTAAACATAAACTGTTGGATTAGGATTTTATGCTTGATGGGGAAAAATCTGTGTATTGATGCGGGCCACACTAAATAGTTCAGCGGGCCGGGCGAGACCGCCTGTTGCACATTCCTGTTGTAACCAGTCGTAAAAATGATATATTGTTCATTTCCTAAGCACAAAAAGCAGGCAGTCGCATACCTGTCGACATCTTTTTTACTGTCGATATAAAATTCTTTAACTTCTGGAGCACCATCAGAGAAAAACTGCAGCAATGCATTGTTTGAATTTACCCTCAGTAATTTTGGTATAGTGCTGAATTCAAACATCTGGTATGCCACGTCTATAAAAGAAAGTTAAAATACTGATTGGATTAAATATTACATAAAAAAATGTGATTTAAATGCAAATTTATTCGTCCGGTTTTCTTAGTCTGTTCACAGCTAACAGTTGTCCAAGACCTAGGACAATCGAAATGATATTTTGTAAGTATCATGAAAATTACCATCTAATCAAGGCATTTATTTAGTAACCAAGCATTCCCGTTGGTGATGCTACCAATTTGAAAGGCACAAAAATTTTTGAAGTTTGAAACATCTCATCTAATTCATCATACTTTTACCAGCAACTGCCAAACTCTTCCCAGGTATCAGCCTCTAAGCTTATGTAACGTTTTTGTTGTTACGACTTTAGAACCAATGTGTAAATATGTGTGACTCAGCCTCCACGATACTAAACACCTGACTCAATGAATCACAGCATTTTATCAATAACTTGGAAACCGCTGCTCTAGGTTAAGCACTAGGTATAGGAAATGTGCCTGGAATTATTTGGCCCGTAAATCTATTATGCTCTTTATCATGACGTTAAAAATATCGCAACAAAATTAGTCAATTTTGTTGAAGCATACATTGGGGAATCTTATGTATCTAATTGGGGAACACTATCAGCAGTTCCATTATAAAAATTTATAAAGTAGAATTGTTTTAGAATTTACCTTTTGTTCGGCTGAAATCAAGCTGTGTCTCACGAATAGCAAATTCTGCATGAAAAGGAGCTATTTGTTCTCGTAGTATCAATAGATGTTTAATTAGAAATAGCTGACTGTCAACAACCTAATTAAAAAAAAAATTGAGATAGATTGTTGGAACAATATTTAACGCTTGGAAACAACATAAGTTGAACAACTATTGTGCTATCAATTGGTATTGTTCAAAACAGGCTGATTAGTTGAAAAAAATTGCTCACTCTAAGGCTGACAAAACTTTTTAATTCTTGCCTTCAGAATTCAGCTTTGGACTCGATGGAAAATTTAACTCTAATTCCAGATCTGGATGTCGAGAAAACGTTGGCGAATGCAAGCTTTGTTTAATTATCTGTTGTGATTGCATAATCAAATTAATTCTTTTTGGGTTTCTGTCAAGAAATTTTTGCTTTGATTATCACAAATAAAATTCTAATGAATGAAATTCAAACACTACTCAGCAGACTTAGCGCTTGAAAATATGAACCGGGCTCTGATAAAACATCAATGAAAACACAGCAAACTCTAACCTCTGAGCCCTGCACGACTGATCCTTCTAAGCTTGCTGATAGATCGAAATGGATACAAATTCAGAACAACTCGAAAAAATTTGCAAAAAAAAAATTTGATTCAGATTTTCCCATCACAAAATATCAAATCACAAACAAATGAATTTGTGATCAGTGAAGGAGAATCAAAATTCCTCCCAGAAAAAGCCACATAGAAATTACAAGACATGATATTTAGTTCATGCTATAATGTAAGCGTAGTGAAACCATTCAAGGAAAACTCATTTAGACTGTTTTTAGGCTTTAATTAACCTAAACATTACTGCTATACTACAAGCAAACAAAAAAACACTTTACAAGCAATCTCGACGCACGCTAACCATAATATAAAACCCTCGCTTTGCCACGCGACTATAAACATCTTCAGATCGCCCTGCGATGGTGCCCCATTAGGTCCATATTGGGTGGCGCTAATTTAATTTCATCACAGTGAGTTGATTTTTGGGTGCACCTGAAGTATGTGTACCAAGATGGCGCACAACCTAAACATGGTATGTGTACCAGGTTAGGGTTCAGGTTGTGTGTCATCCTGGTATGAATACTTCCGGAGTGCCGATTTTGTGAGCATAAATGATAATCATGCAAGTGAAAGCCCAATATTGATAGGCTTACTCCATTTCTTTACCAGTGAATAAAAAAAATGTGCAATGTACTCAAAACCATTGATGTAGAATTTGAGAACTGCTGACATAGAATTTCAAAATAGGCAATAATTACTACCTTTACCTTAGGTTTCACAGATTTGCTTGCGGCACCTTTAGCACTTTGCAATGCAAATTCCTGTGTACGTATAAAATTGCTGGCTCGTACTAAGGACTGAACGCATGCTTGCAATGCTTCTTGTGACAAACCTTGGAATATTGTTTTCTGAAAATATAATAAAGTGATGTAGATATGGGTGTTCCCATGAGTCAAAAAGAGATTTATGCCGTATGGCTTACATATTGGAAATTTCTATTCTAACCAGCACATGAATGATGGAAGAAGTCCTAAGAGATCAGCATTACATATCACAACCTGTGGCAGAGAGGAGTACTGGTATTCCCTGGGATATATTCAACCTCACAGGATGGCGCAAACTGGCCTAGTGCTCAAATAGCATGAATGATAGTGGTCGATAAATTTACACAAGATCACCAAAGTTTTTACTTGAAAGCTCTGGAAGTGAGTCCAAATGATAGTCGAGAACTCTTACCACAGAATACATCTTGATACTTTACATTGATATACTATTTTAAAAATGAGACATATTGTCAGTTTCTGAAGTTGCTGCCAAAGTAGACATTATTATATATAAAATATATAATTTAGTATTTTTAAACGTTTTGAATATTCAAACGAACACACTTCTGATTTTGAAGGTCTCTCTTTTATATGTAGTAACAATTCACTTCAGCATGTTGTCCGCAGGATGCAAACCAGAAAAATATAAATATACAATGTAACTTACATCTATGCATCTGTATAATTTGGAAAGACAAACGAGGACTCTTCTAACAGTAGGAAACCACATTCCATGCATATCAGCAGGTGAGGTTTGAAACCTTTGTTGTTGATTCTGTTGTAAACCTGATCTTATCGAATTTTCCATATTTTGTGCTTCACTACCTAGAAGCCAGATGAGATGATTTTATTTTAATACAGAAGTTATCATTATCAATTCACATGAATAAATTGTAAAAAAACATGAAAGCAAGGTTGATATACAACATGGAAGGTGGTATTGGTACCCAACATGTGAGCTGTCAACATTTGTTGAGCAATAGCTTGCCAGAATTATTAGATGGGAAATCACATAGTGATACAATTTTTCAAGACGAGCAAAATTTAGGGTAACACATCAGATTTGAAAAAGTTTGTACAGAATTTGAAATAGGTAATTACAAAAGTAATAGCCTTGTGAGAGATATTTCTAAGAAAAACTACATACGGTATAATATGTAGTATTTTAGAGTAATTGGTCTAGTCTTTGCATAATTAAATAAAACAGTAATTTTTGTTCCAGAAACGACATGAAAACCTTGAATAATAAATAAGTAAAACGATCCATCTCAATATACCAACATAGGGGTTAGAAATAATTGACCATACCAGAGAATTTATTAACATCTTGCAAAAAATGAAGCAATCCTTCAATAAAAATGAACTTTTATTGGACCGAGGATATATCCACTAATGCAGAATCAAAAAAGTTCCACACCTTTCAAAAATAGGTAACATATCAGGGCTGCTTGTAACAGGCGTTGTCAGAGGTGAAGAATTGTCATATTAAAATTTAAGAAATGTAATCTGGTGTATCCACCCATTCACCTGGCATACTTGTATTCAACAGTTTACTGGATTCAGCTTGTTCTTGTTCATCGTCAAGTTTAATTTCAATGAAAGATCTTTCTGATGCTTGTTTTGACGCTGCTTCTTTTAAACTCTTTGCTATGTCCTGAAAAAATAAACACAAACGTAAAATCATTAAGCATTGTGGTTTGTGGACAAATATCTTCAAAGTTTTCTAATCTCAAATAAATATTCTATATTGTTGATATGAGGAATAATTTAGAACAGTTTTCCAAACTTTTATGCCGGGGACCACAATTTTTGAATCTTAGTTTTAGCGAACCCCAATCCTATGCCGTATCAATTTCTGTGTCTAGCCCCCGAGGAAGGATGTTTCATTTACAATGCAAACGACATTAATGTGATGGATGAAGTTGCTTTTTCCTGCGCAATTTATCGATTCTCAGATCAATTTGTGACGAGCAAACTTGTAGATCCGACTCTATCGCTCTCCTGTATTCGTCATTATATAGGTAAGAGCTGCGAATGCTACCTCAAACATGTAGGTAGTTGCAAAAGGCAATATTATTTTCAATTGCTTTTTCTAACAGCAATGGTCATTGGATATTCGTCTGAAATGCTCAACCAGTTCAATCAATAATCAAGTCAAGTTTATTTTATCCAACCAGTAAAATCAACAACAATCGAACACAAATTACGAAAAAATGATAAATACACAGTTTCACTGGGGAAGGGAAGTCAACTGAAGGAAGGAAGTCAATTTAGACTTTTCATATCGTTGCAGACTCCCTGTGTAGTCATCACGAACCCCCAGGGGTCCGCAGATCCCAATTTGGGGAACCCAGATTAGAATGCAAATTGCGAAGTATCACAGTATGGTTAAGAAGAATTCTCCTATATTGCACACACATCGCTAATACAAACCTCCATCATTTGTAACTTTTCTGGATATGCAAGATCCCCAGGTGCAGGTTTATAACCAAGAATATCATCTCTAATGTGTATATTCGCTCTGAAAACCAGTCTTTCTTGAACGTCTTCCAACATTTGTTTTACCACATATTCAAATGCTTGAAGTTGTTCAGCTGAATATAATAGAAAGAGACTTCAAACCAAAACAGGCATATCAGGAAAATTGGAATTGGATTTTATATGTAATATGAGGGTAATAAAAAGATGCTTTTTCAAACTCTGTAACTTCTAAACTAACAGTGGAAAGAACATTGGTGGAAAGAATTGCAAGCTAATGGTATTTTCTGAAATATCGATTAAAAATAATGGATGCAACTTGTTCTAAAAAACCTGGAACTGATAAAACCAATGTTTTGAATAGAATTTAAAATAGTCATCTTCATAGGCCTAATAAGTAGAATATGGCTAACTTAGCGCAATGCTGGAGAGTGGAGAGTGGAGACAATAATGAAGTATTTGAACCTGGTTGCCAAGACACCACTCCAGTTAATTTTTTCTACGAATTACATTTCCCTAAAACTCGAATGCCACAAACTTTGAATATGCTACGTTCCTACAGAGGTTATGATACTGTCATAGTACTTTATACTTATAATAATTCGACATGAATTTTGATGGCTTGACTATAAATTGAAGTTCAATATTTTGAAATGGAATCATAGAAGTAGACTTAGCTCGCCTGCAAATACCGGTAATTTATCTAAAGCTACGCCTACAACTCCCATAACTTACGATTGTTCTGAACATGATCGTCAATCATTTCTGTTTTCAAAATTGTACAAAGTTCCGCGAGCGTTTCAAGATGATATACATGAATGATGAGAGGTCTCAACATATCATACAAATTGACACATAGTTGTCTCAGCATTTCACTGCAAAAAAGAACAGTGGTAAATTTTGGTAAATTGAACATTTTCATATCGTGGGTGTGATGGCCCAGTGCAGTGTTTCTCAGGGAAGAATATTTAAACTCTGTATTTGCGTGTCGTAATATTGATATTGTTCAGTTATTAGTATTATTTTGCAGCATCCATGGTAGCACGAAAAAAGTTCTCGAAACTCTCTAAAAAAAATGTAATTTGCAGTCCTTAAACACTAGTCTTGAGTACTAGTCTTTACAGAGACACTAGATGTTTAGAATGACGTAAATAATTCGGATGGTGACTGGTGAGTTTGTGGCTCTATTTGCACATTATATTCAGGTGTGGATAATATGTGGAGAATTACGGACTACGGTATCTATTTTAGCCAGCAATTCTTTATTTTCAACGATATTTTTAAAAGAAATTTATATCCATAAAATCGGACTGATTGAAACACTTCGGTAGGCCCCAATTTGCCTATAAACTCATCATGACATATTCAAAAGATCACGATTCTTCTACTAGCAACTACTCACATGTCAATGGATGCTTATACCAGGGGTAAGGAAGTACTGTATAAAACAATTAAAAAGGCACAAAATGGAAAATCGAGAATGTAGAAGAATATGTCAGATAGTGAAGAGACTTACTCAAGTTTGCTCGATCGTGTTGTAAAGAAATGCCCGTATAATTGATGTTCATCTTCACATACATGAACCATGAAAGAACATCCACTACGAACCAAAGCACATTGGTCCTGAATTAAAAAAATATAATAATATTAATACTTTATGATTGCTAATGCAAGATCAGAAGCTAACCCTAACAAATTAGTGTAGAATTAAGCGTTGAAATTCTTACAATAAAATAGATTCAGATTTCGGAACTCAATCTAATAGGCAACCAAACTCAACTCATAATTTCATATGTATAAGAACAGGATTTTTTCAAGGGTAACCATGACCAAGCTTGATTGAGTTATTATAGGCAGAAATAGAATGAAGAAAAAACTTGCAGTTAACACCTTTTATAACTCTATGTAAAAACAAAATTTTTTCACCACTTGTTCGCATAAAATAATTTATTAGTTAAATCTGTGTAATACAGAAATTAAAGGAATTTTGACAAAATGGCTGACATTGGACAGATAGTAGCCTACATAAACAATTGTGATATGAGGATTAAGAAAGTTGTGAACTGAATATATATGACTCTAGATAAAGTATTTCCAGCCTGTCGACAGTAATTCAATACTTTGTGCCCATTATTTTCAGACTTCTGCAATTCCGATTCAGACAATGTTATGCCCAGCTAAGCATGACTAGTAAGACGTGTTATAGGATCAAACGAAGGACGGAACAAAAACATGTGCTGTAGTCAAAAGATATGTGTTTATAAGCAGAGACAGTTAACAAATTTTAAAGGAGACAATACGAAGGCGCGAATTACTAGAATGCGATGAACAAATATTTGGTTTTTGGAGATATAACGCACTTACAAAAAAATGAAAAAATATCTTAGACGAAAAAGTAAACGAATGTACAAATTAACGGTATTCAGATTTATGAAGATATTGCAATAGATGGTGTGCCCGGTGGCCTAATGGTTATAGCATTGGACTCGTTGGTCTTACACGTTACAGAACTCAGGTTCGAGTCACATGTGCCACATTACCCAAAGTGTAATAAAATTGGATATACACAATAATGAACTAAAAGGATTTGGCTTATTGAAAACAGTAGCACCTTGCATACATCAGTGGATGTTTATACGAGACATTGTTCATAGTAAAAAATGTGCAAAACCGCAATGTAAAAAATACATATAGATAGGCATAACACAGGAAAACTACTCAATGGCAGTGAATCCCACATAACTTGACCATGTATCCAACCAATTTTAGGATATATTTCATAATTTGAAAAAAAAATCTAACAGAGCTAATATTCCTCTTTAGTTGAATAATGGACGACCAAAAAATTCTTGATAACAAGGAAACAGAACTTGCCAATGAGCTTCGTAAGTTGTGTACTCCTTATGGAGACGAACCTATGTCACAGTTGGACCAAACGAGTGAGGTATTGTTGAAAATGGGCAAATTATATTTACAAAAGGCAATTGCTGGCAGTGAAATGGAACAGAAACTGGATTATATTAAATGTTCAGCTTTGTTACACGGAGCAATAGTACGCTTCGATACCTTTTTAAATGACAAAAAAAAGAAAGCTGAAGTAGATGTGATATTAAATCAGATGGAGAGCAATTTATTACGAAGTTGTAAAGCTAAAAAAAAGTTTATCAGTATGTTGAAGACGTCAGAAAGAATAAAAAGACAACTGACGGAGATGAGAGGTATTTCAAATCGCATGATCTATAAAGTGGAAAAAATTGAAGATGAATTTTCAGAAGAAGTCTCGCAACAGATGGAGGCAGATAATATCAAATTTGTTGAATATGTTATGAAAATCAATACAGTACTCTACAAATATCTTATGGAGGAAATTGCAACGACGTGTGGTTCCATTTTAGGACAGGCACCTTGTTCATTTGTTCTAGTTGGCCTTGGTTCCCTAGCCCGAGAAGAAATCTCATTATGTTCTGATTTCGAGCATGTGATTGTATTAGAAGAAGGAATACAACATTCTGAAGATTATCATGAGATTCAAGAATATTTTAGATGGTACACTGTTCTTTTTCAAGTTATTATTATCGGGTTGGGAGAAACGTTTATAAGAAGTGTTGGAATACGGAGCATAAATGATTTATATTCTGATGATAAAAAACTTAACTGGTATTTTGACGTTATTACACCGTGCGGTGTTTCATTTGATGGCAGAGTGCCACATTCATGTAATAACCCTCTGGGCCGACAAGAACCGACTAAAAACCGAAAGAATGTAGTGGAACTTATTCAACCTGCTAGTGTAATGGCTTCGTATTTAACAAAAGATGAACATATTAAAAATGGATACTATTTGAAAGATATTTTAATCAGAACTTGTCTAGTTTATGGTGATACTGGTGTCTACGAAGATTTTAAAAATAAATCTCAACAAATCATGGACACAGAAAATACAGAAGACACAATTTTGGAACAATTGAAAAACATACAGAAAAATGTCAATGATAGCATCCGTGGAGAGGGTTTAAAAAGTACCAGACAGGTATATAAAGATGCAAAATCGTTTCTATATCGACCACTCACAGCATTATTGACATACTTTGCTAGAATATGCAAAATACAAAACTGCTCAAGTTTTGCTATTATAGCGGCGTTGAAAAAAATCGGGATTTTAAATCCGCAACAGGCGAAGGAATTTCAAAATGCTCTTGCTATCGCTTGTGAATTGCGATTAAAAATATATGCAAAAGGAGGACATCAACGCCAAAGAATTTTAGAAAATTCGATCGTAGATATTATAGGGAAAAAGAGATTATTAAGCTGTCTGGACAAGATTCTTCTACTTTCTGGAATTATTCAAAATATTGCAAACAACTACAGCGACAGAGATAATTTCCGTAAAAAGATTAAAAATAAAGAATATGAGGAAAGCTTGCCAGAACTAGTAAAAGCAGGCCAGTTAATTTATCTGGGATTAATAGATGATGCCCAAAACTTGCTGGAAAATCTACAAGCAAACATTCAAGAAAAATCCTACGGCGAAAGAGGAGTCTTAAACGCTTACAACTATCTTGCATTGTGTTATTTCTTGCAAGGACAAAATAATGAAGAAAAAAAGATAGAGTTATTTTCAAAAGCAGAAAAATTGTTCAGGCACACCTTAGAATCCCAAGCAGCAAATTATGTTGATAAAGTGAACGCATGTGAACTGTTATGCAAAATATACAGTGAACAACAAAGAAATCTCGAAGGTCTCAAAATCTTTGAGATATGGGATGAAATAATCAACAAACCAGAATTCAATTTAAAATCTGAAAATTCTATGCAAATGCGAAGACTACAGGTTGAAATGATGCTTCGATTCTACAATCCAAAAGATATAATTCAAAAATTAGAAATCTTGCTTTCTAAACCAACAGACGCAAGTACAAAACTCGCATACATGCGTGGAATTGCGGAAGCTAGAATATTAATAGAGAACATGGATTCTGCTGCAAAATGCTTCAAAGATGTTATCATTTTTGCTGAACAAAACGCATCACTTTGTGATAAAAACCAGCTGATGTCCTTTCTAGATGGGGTTCTCGATACCCAGCTAAAACACGAATGGAAAGAGGATGCATCATATACTTTACGGCTGAGAAAAATATTGCAGGAGTCTGAATTAAAACCAGTGTATGATGACAAGCGCGCATATGAAAACAAGCTTCTTAAATATCACACAAAGCTAGCAACATTGAAACAATCTGAAGAGAATACAAAACAAAAGCACATCCCAGCAGCACTTGAGATTTGTGAAGATCCGAAAAACAGCAAAAACTGTTATGACGAGCATGCATTTACATTGGCACTTATGCTAAGAAATGCTGTCGAAAATATTGATACCATCATGGAAGCATATAGAAAAGCACCTTATGGTGTGAAAACCCATCCTAAGCTTCATAGAGGATTATGACACTCTTTATACCAAATTTTAAATCATTATGGACATGAAATCCGAAACGGACATTTATTCCCAATTTGGAAGACATTGACAGAAATCTTTGACGTTTTTCATGAACATTTCAAACACCCACGTTTCATAACAATTTTGCATGTTATAAATTATGTTATATCAAGCAGAAAAGAGATATCTGATGTTCTACCCAAAGAAAACCTAAGGGACATTTTTGTAATGACAAATATATTGCCCGGAAATGATGAATGCATACAGTTCCATAACTATGCTGTGGGTTGTTTTGCAAATTGGGAAGTGAAGAAATGTGCTCAGCTTCTTTGGAAAAGCATATCTATGAATCATTCAAATCCATATGTACAAAAAGGATCAATAGCTTTGATGAATAAACTCGTCCTAGCCAATCCTCACATGATAGCAATGAAACGCATCGAAAAACTTCTACGAAATTTCATTTTAAACCATGTAACGACAGTTAAAGACAAAACATCATTAAAATACAATTTAGCAATGGAAAGTTATGCGATGTTTGAAACGGCCATGAGTGCAAAAGCACTATGGGAAATTATTACTACTAAAAACTCAAGTACTTTTATCAAGAGAAAATCTACTGTTATGCTGATGTTTGTTGTGCTAACAAGTATGGAAAAATGTCACTATGGCCTTGAAGTAAATGGAAAGTTTATGACTTTGGTAAAGCCAGGTGTAACGATAAAAGGCAAACTGCATTTCCAACTGTAATAAAATGTTATAAATAGTTATTAAAATAGCGGACAATGTAAGCGAGTGGTCCATTTGCATTGGTGGGGTCGGTAGCTGATGCCAGAAATCCGATGCTTGAAATGAAACTCTACCGTGATCTTTATATTATTTGAAAGATCAATAGGCCTACTAAAATATATGCACACCATTGTCACATGACTACCACAGTTTCAGAAAATTTGTTTACAGAATTGTGCCCAATGTCATATTAAAGTGTGTACCAGATCCAGATGTCATATAACAGTGTTCTAGTAACTTGAAAAAAGCAAATGATTGGGTAAAATATTGGGCCTCCTAGAAAAAAAATAAGTTCGATAGTCCGATAGTCACACCAATATTTACGGAAAGTGATCCATTTCTTGTCCAATTATGATGACAAAACCCAATTTTTTTTATCAATAAGTAAATTTTTTTTGTAGGATACGATAAAATTTTATTCATAATGTATCCAGGGTAGCAAAATATTTGGTTTCGACCATTTTTGACTTGAACATTACAAACCCACTAACCTGTTTGTTTGCGGCCAACAAGTCAGACATAGCAGTAGTAACCGATGGTCCAACTAGCTGCTCACGTTGCCGGAAATAACATTGATGAATTTCGAAAAGATAATTGCCATACCTGAAAGAATAAACACGGAGCTACATGAAAGGAACACAGCCATAAGATAAATATTTACATATTTATACTGGGAGAGGAAAATCGATAAGATGACTTAATCGAATAGCAAACCATGGCCTCTCATCCGGTTACAAATACATATCGGGTATAATATTAGTTAGCCAATTGTTACTTTTTTGAAGCATGGACTTGATAAATCATACCCGACCAGCGGTTACGTAAACCAGTGGGTCCCAACCTTTTTAATATCGCGGCACATTATTTAGCTCTTTAATATTCGCGACACACCTATCACAAAACACAAAAATTTTTTACTCATAAAGAGTGCGATAGTCGAATGCGAACAAATGGTCAATAGTCAACGATATTACAACTGTTTTCTTATATTGATATAAACGAGAGCGTCTTCGAAGCACCTCACATTACTGTCAAAATTCCTGTAAAAGTTGCGCGGCCGCACGGGTAATACGTGGTCTTCAAACGTACCGCTGATCATGCGCTTCGGTTTTGCTAGCCCTTCCCCGTTCCACATTAATATTTACTATGTCAAAACGGTTATTCGACTTTTCAGACCGCAAAAACTACCCGAAAAATATAACCGTTTTTGTGTTCAAGATAAGAAATAATAATCAATTCCACAATGCTATTGTGAAGTAGTGCAAGTAGTGTTTGGACTACCACGCGATTCGCCAAATTACTGGCGTGATTACAGATCGCAAGGGTGGGCAAAATAGTATATTTTCATCGAATTGGATAATTTTAACGAATTGTCGAATATCGGGTTGAATTCAGGATTTTAATCCGATTTTTAACCGCTTTGATCTTTTTCGTCACCAATTGTAAATTAACTGTCCCAATTTTAAGCTAAAAATATTATCATTTCTGATGCCGGAATGCGGATATTTATGAAGACGATAGTTGACCTTCTTGATTTTACTTTTCTATTGTGGCCCTTTTAATTTCGTATTAAATAGTGAATAAAAACCCTGCAAAGTGATCGCGTGAAACCTGAATTCTATTTTTTAAGTTCAAAATATGATTAAGTCGGCAATGACTGCAATTCTACTAGTCAAATAATAACTTCCTGGTAGAATTTGAGAAAAATTTCACACAATAATTCCACTTAGTCTGACTGACTCAAACTGTAAGCGTGGACGGCTTTTTTTAAAATAAGTATTAAATAAAAGGGTATAACCTACCATTTATGAGAATATCTATATGTGAATAGCAAAGCCTTAAAATCCCCTGATTTTGGAAACTAATTGCGGGATCAGGAATGAAAAAAAACAGTCAGAATCCCAGGATTCCCTGGGGTCCCAACCCTAGCTGCATCCATGGTGACCATTTTTCTCATCTGCAAGTGCCGCGGCACCCTGGTTGAAAAACACAGATGTAAACAACTCTCCGGCGGCAAGGAGTCCGGCAATCCTCTCTCACATAACTATCCCCACATGGGGTTTCAAACCTGTGAACCCATGTAGGGTAATCAGAGGTGCGGTGGCGAGCATATTCCTAACGTTTAGCACAATGCACCATATCGCCAGTGCGATTTTGTTGTATTTTTGTTGTACTTACTCAGCATTTCGCTCAATTCTCTTTTCAATCTGTTCCACAAGTCCTAGAATCCGGGGAGCATTTGTTCGAAATTTTCCATAATAAAGTGTAAATGCATCTTCCTGCACAGGGACAATATTTGTTTCACTGCCACCACCAAGAAGTGATTGATCTCTTTGAGAAGTTGGCAACACTGAAACCTGTAATGTATTTTCAACTCTGTAATGCCTCAGATCATGGTTTCTCGAACTGGGCCCTAGTATGTCCTGAGGGGCCCATGGAGTTGTTCTCAGAGGGCTACAAACAAATGCTACAAAACTTTAACTGTAATACAATTATTTTTTTGATTTTGTTTGTTGGTTTTTTTATGATTAAGCGTGGATCATAAAATAATCAATGGAAACACAAGCAGAACTAGGTATTTTTCATAGAAGGGCAGCGGGTCACAAGTGTTGACAGTCTTTGAAAAAGGGCCACGAATTATGTGCAAGTTCAAAAACCAGTGTTTTGGATTATTTACATTATCTATAAAGGGTTATCATCGATGATTGAGATCTTTTTACTATTGTAAACGGAAAATTTGGACCCAAAAGGGCCGAATAGGACATGGTGTGCGAATAAATAGAAGATGGCTGGAGCTCGAGATATTATGATTCGTGACTGGGACTAAATAAACTTTCAATTTTTTACAATTAAAAGTTTTAGAAACATAGTTATGAATATTAGGATTAGATTAAGGGAGTAGTAGAAACTTAATTTTTGACCTAGTGGCTAAAATGCTTAGACGATGTTCTAGTGCTTTTATAAGAAAAACACTCATTACCACATATATGAATAAACAAGGTAAAATATTTTAAGGCTCTGCTTGATAACCCAATATTGCCAGATATATCAGACAAAATAAAAGAGAAATGTAGCTACAATATAGAATATATCATTTTGAATTTTTGCTTTTGAACAGGAATAAATCCTTACCTTGCGATTCAAGATACTCTTTGTTGTTTCATTCAATGATTTCACAATATAATCCTTAATCATTGTCAGAGCATTTGACAAGCATACTTTGAATTTTGTCAAATAATCCAGACTGTCTTTGTATGTTGACTAGAAAGTAGAAAATCAGAAGTCAAATTAGATTTCTTCATTACTATTCGACAACTTTGCTAATTAAAAAAAAACATCTATACAAGATACACCGAGCTAAAGAGGTAATAAAAACAAGAAAAAATACTGACGTCTGAGACCATATACTAAGTACCAAATTAGACAGGGTGACCCAAAAATAAGTATCCAGAAATTTCTCAAGTGGAATAAAATGAAGAAAATTCAATTAGGCCTTAATTTAACTTGTTTGTGTATGCATGTATCAAAAAAAATTCAGTGATCTTTCAGTGATGTGATCAGTGATGTTTTGTGAAGTTATGTTCTCTCTAGAATAGGAAGTGAAAATATTGTAACCTTACATGTGTCTCCATAAATTTGATACACTCATCAATGCGAGTCAACAGAGCTTGAAATGATTCTCCTGTCACAGCTAAGCTTGGTGAATGAAGTTTCTGAATTAGTTAAACATTTTTCACTGATTGTTCATCTTCACAATAAAACAATCAAAATAGTAAACTAAATACTAAACTTCATTAAACACTGAAACATGTAACAATCGAATGCAGGGATGGGAAAACTATTTCTCTCTATTTCATAGAGAATTAAATATTGGAGGATTCAAGAACCACCGTTTTTCAGAATACATAGTACATTGAGAGTGCCATGAGCGAGTTATTTTTCACATATTCTTAAGATAAAAGGTCATAACGCAACTGACTGGAAACCCAATATGTCCCCCTACCTAATATATGAATACTCACACTCACTAATAAATCTATTTTGTTTATGGAGCTCACTCATCCCTATCAATGCATTCATAACCCTAACCCTATTCGGCCAAGATATGGGTTTTGTTAAAATATGAGTTTACTTAATATTAGTGGGGCTGGGGGAGAGGGGTAATAAGTAAAAAAGGACAAAGAAAAGCTTAATCACATAAAAGATGTGGTCTCATGTTCTTTCATGTAATAATAGAACTGATGGCGGTTTTGAAGTATTATTGATGAATATTGTGAGCACTGAGCGGGCTTTCTTTACAAAAAATAAATTTGAAATGTGTGAAGAAATAATTACAATCTCTGATAATTCCTCATGAGGGAATTTGAATGTTTCCAATTTGGGATTACCTTAAAATTTTGCGACCCGATCTAATGCTTCTGGTTAGAAAATGACATATCTAAGACACAAAAACAAACACACATACTGTGGTAATCCTGTCAAGTTCGTTGAAGAATTCAAGATCGTGTTCGATGCTTTCTGCAGTATTCATTAACTTTGTTTGATCAGCAAGCAGTTGTTCACAAGCATCATGAAGAGCGTTCGTTTTTGTTGATACAAAGACATACTAAATATTAAGTGCATTATAATAAATAATAAATGATAAAATATTAATAAATACTAAATAATAGTGCATTATATTTGAACGTAGCAGCACTCTGTAGTGGGAACTGTAACAAGTTCAGTTCAATTTAACTGGATAAATAATCAAACTCCAAGCAGTAGGCTGGTACATTTATATATATGAATAAAATTTTGGACAACAAATTTATAGTGCTAGGTTGTATTCATATATAAAATAGCGACACATCACAACCCACTATGGCGTTATGCCTACGATTATGGTGAGATTCAAATTGTCCAGTCTTTCAAGAGAAAAGCCCAAGGACAATTGACATGTGTCGCCAATGCAGTTCTTGTGGACATTTAGTGAACCTCATACTGTTCAATACAGTATATAGAATATTACACATTTCCGATGATTTGTGACTCAGTGCATGCGTCAACATATTGTTTATGAATCTATCTGCCATATAACTAGGTATTCATGAAGTAGTATTTCAGCGCTTCCTGGCACTTCAGTTGTTTCAAATAATTTGGCTCAGAAATGAGTCTCTTTTACTTTTGAGTGAGTACATATCAGAACTTTCGAAAAGAAGTGCTGTCTATAAAAACATATAATTTGCTACCTCATGCTCAAGTTCTTTGAGTGATGACAGAGCTTGATCAATATCTGCAATAATCTTACTACAATGTCCCTTGTAGGTTTTCAAGATATCAACATGTTTTGTGTATCCTTCAGCCTCCAATTCTGACATCTTTTCCTCTACTTTATTGAACCAATTGTAAAACTGCATGCAAAAGATATTAGTTAGCAGACAAGCATTTTGCACAACAACTCAATAGATATCGCAAAAAGTTATTTATCACAAAAAGTTATTTAAAGATTTCTAATCGAAATACTGGGTTATTGTGTAAAAGAACGTATCCGTAACAGCTAGCAGCATTGGCCCGAGGCCGGAAAACATGGTTTTCCAAGTCTTGAAGTTCTAAAATGCATTTCGAGTTATGAAAAATTGCTCTATATATGATACAGAAAACTGTTTTTTCTTTTACATTTCAAAATGGTGATTCCACAAACCCCCTCCCCCCTCGGTTACGTTTACGTCCCAGACTCACTAGTGACTGCATAGTAAGAAGACATTACAATGAAAAAGCTGACATGAACAGAAACTTTCTAGACTCCTAGCAATTCCGAGGTGGTTCACGTTCCCACTGGTCATTTACGACCACCATGACTATCCATGCTCCTGAAACTATTGATATACTCAATCTGGACAGTCAATCTTGGTTCCCCATACAACGAGTTGCCAAATCAGATTTCCTCCCTTCACACCCAAGAAAATGGATAGAAACCTGTTGCACGTCTTGAATCTTTTCATTTGCCATTCCCAACTCTGCAAATCCTTGAGATAAAACATCTTCAATGGAACCAGAAGGATGAACTTGTTTTGATGAAATTTTATGGCGAATATTCACAGGTTCATCTAAAGGCAACTGTGAAAAAACATTTTAATTGAATAATTCAGACATAATTTCAGGCTGATCGAACAAGCGTGTCTGCAAGTAATGGTTCTCAACTTGAAGTAAACAAGTTTGTTAGAGCTACAGTCTCGCACAGAATAAATCTAAATAGAATCTCATCTAATAATCTGAAATTTCTAACTTCTCGAAATGTTAATTATCAAGAAGCATAACATTCCACAAGCGAGAAAAGCTTACAAAATAACTTTATAGTTGCATATATATTTTTATGTTATTTAAATTTCCTGCAAAATTGCTGCAAGATTTTGAACACATTCTGAAGATGATGATCATGAAATGCCATACCGTACCTTCAAGAATATTATTCAAGAATTTACCAACCTCTATTGGCAGTGGCCGACTTCCTGCAATAGACGCAAGCTCCAAATAGCTGTCTTTTTGTTCCGATGTCAGAGGTGCCAAAGGGTCCGTTGGAGAATCCCAATCACTCAGTTTTTCAATGTAGGAAGTGGTGCTTGGCTGTGAATATCGCGCGTGACTCGGCAAACTAGTTGACATCTTCGAAAATCACAGAATAAAGAATGCGAAAAATTCACACTAAACGATTAGTCTACCAAGATGCACAGTTATAAAAACTGCTCACGCAAACTAGTTCATAAATTTAGTGATCGGTTTACCATGAAATCGCAGTGAACTCCTCGATACAATTTTACCGCGTGCGGTGAGGCGGAACAATGCGACGTTTTATATAAGAGTTATGTGAAATGTCGGCACCAATCAAAACGCTTTAATCGGCAGGCAATAAGAAGAGTGGAAGCACAAATAGATTATATACATGCCAAATTCTAAAAATCTCCGACAAACTTCAAAATATATAATGTAATTACAAGCATAAATACTTCATTTTTATTATTAAAAATATTTGTAACTCTTATCATAAAGTAAGTTTTTATGATTATTCATAACAAATAAGCAGGTCGTTCCACATTAAAAAAATTATTTCAGACACTTATAATTTTGGTTGGTTTCATGTGGCAACAATCCTTTTCAGCGCAGCCGGTTGCATTTCGTCAGTCATTTATAAATGGCGTCCTTTCGGTCGAAATCTCAGAGCCGTCCTGTTGCTGAAGGCGGGCTCTTGGGAAGACTCTCCTTCTGGCGTGGCAGTCGCCGGTTTTGTATAGTGTTTGTGTTGTATTTTGGTTTACTGGGCTGAATTTTCATCAAATAAAGCTCAAAAAGTTTTTTTCAGGCAGTTTTGGGCTAATTCTGTGGTTTCTAGTATAACGCGCTTTTTGGCATTTGTTAGGTTTAGAAGTTATGTTTAGTTAGCAGGTCAAACAATTTTCGTACAATGAGATAAGCTACCCAAGTCTCAAATACAGATATAAATCAATAAAAGAGTGGATCATATTTGAAAATATGTGTTTCAAAACCTATTTCAGTATTTGTTGTAAATGAAACTATTAATTTGGAGCGCTGGGCTGTAAAATAGATATGATTATCCTCCATATATCTATAGTTCAAGGTGTTAGCTTAGAAACATGCTTGCAATCATACTGCTGATTGATAATTGTGTGAGTTCGCAGTTTAAAACTTGCAGACCTGGTGGATGGATAATAATGTGACAGAATTGATTGACCCATTGCATGTCTCAAATGCATAACTTAGACTACTAATCCTGTAATCAGCTATGGCAGTATGGCTTGCTTTACCAAGTTCATGTATCGGCAAATCTGGGACATTCAACAAGTTAGCTCTACTTTGACTAGTAATCACTCATTGAAAATACAACAATACTCTGATACTGCGATATGAAAAGTTGTATCTTATTTAAATATTTTGCACATACGTTTATGTATTTACCACTATCTGGTTTTCAGGCATATTCACTAATATAGTATAGTAAACAAACAGAAATATCTTGAATTTCCCAGTCATTTATCAGGTTTTGACTATTAGTCATTTGGGACATGGCTAATAAACAGCAAAATCCTGTTGCAAAACTTTATCAAACCGTCATAGATGATGTCATTTCCAATGTAAGAGAATCTTTTCTGGATGATGGAGTTGATGAACAAGTCCTTCAAGAGCTCAAGCAAATATGGGAAAGTAAGCTTGTTCAAACGAAGGCTGTTGATTCGCCTGTAGTTGGAGATAGGACACCTCGTCCCCAAATGTATACTTATATGGCGCAACCAGGTCAAGCCGGCCAGCCTGGACAACCTGTCATGTATCAAACCGTTCCAGCGCAGCTCTCAGCAGCATCACAACAGGCTAGACTTGCTATTCCAGACAGAGTTGTTTACCAACAAGGTACAAATATTGTCCTTCCAACACAAGGCCAACAAATATATCACACACCTTACCAGCCTGTCACTGTTCTCCAACAGTCAAACCTCCAGGTCCCACATCAACGGCTACCAGGCCAGACACAGACGACCATCGTCCTGGCTCCAACTTCATCTCAAGCTGGCGTATCTGGTCAGCAGAAATCAGCATCTACTGGAAAATCAAATCCATCTGCAATTATCCAGGTTGACGGAAGCAAAGATTCTTCATCCGATGAAGAAGGTCCATCTACCTCCAGCTCAAGCACTACCATCTCTAAATCTAATGTAAAATTATTTCCAGTGAAGAAAAAAATACTCCAATCTGGGAGGAAGAAAAGGGGGAAAGTGATTCTACAAGTAGATGGTGGTATCGATTCCTCATCTTCAGATGAGGATGTTGAAGATGATGATGATGACGACGATGAGGAGGATGATGAAGAAGAAGACACTCAGGAAGAGGAGGAAGAAAAAGTAGATGAAGAGCCTCTTTGCTCCGCTGATGATGACAGTGATCAGGACGCTAGTGAACTCTTTGATACTGATAATGTAGTTGTGTGCCAATATGATAAAATCCATAGGGCCAAAGCTAAATGGAAATTTAATCTCAAAGTTGGCATAATGAACTTGAAAGGAAAAGATCGCGTCTTCCTAAAAGCTAATGGCGAGGCAGACTGGTGAACTTATTAAATCATATCACAATGTTATCGCTTCATAAATAGACTATTGCTCATGTTGCTACATTAAGTTTCGAGAAAGTGTCTCATTATGAATATTTACAGAAACACAATTTTATATTATGGCCTATTAAAACAGGCTCTCACTAGAGGTGGGTGAGACTTAAAATCAAAATTGTCTGAGAATTCCATTGAGTATGAAGTCATCAGATTCGGCAACAAGATCATAAGCGTGCCAATTCCCATATTAGATGACAAATTTATTCAAATCATAGTCATTTATGTTAAGAAGGTTTATTATCCCTCCTCTAGAAATAAACTATGATTAATCATTGAGCAGTTTTACAATAATTACTTACTTACTAGGTATATATGACATTGAGCAATTGTAATTATGCACATCATGGATCAATGTTGGCAGTGGGGGATATGTTTCGAGTTTATAGCAGAACTTCTTGAATGTTTAGTTTTGCCAAGCACGTGTTGTAGATTGGCTGCATTATGCATTTGCCATACAGCTATTTGAATGTCACGCAACCTATTGGTTACTGTGGGGGGGGTGATTTTGTAGCACTATGTTTTTCACTTTAATCTCCAAATTGTAATATCTTTAAATCCTTGAGAGCAAGTGGAAATGAGCCTCCATATTTATTCTGACCAGAATTTCATTGTATTATCACTGGACAGCAAACAATTGAAATGGCATCTGGAAGTTTCACATTATGAGGAATGGTGAATGTGTTTAATATTCATGATCATGTGCCTTCGGTGCTTGTATTTTATTTATTTTTTGTTGTGTTATCATAAGTCTGCGGCAGGTGTTTTGTCCCTCGAGGTTAGATACCCCATGTGTTGTTCATTTCTTAGGAAAATATATGATAATATTTATATTTCCATATTAGTTACCTTCGTTACACTGCCATTTAATGTAAGTTTGGCCCATAAATTAGTGATATCTTCCTTTTGAAATGCCCATTTTACATTAAAGTGTTTAAAACTAAAAGTGGTCTTATTTGGCTAAATACTGGTTTTCATTGGTATGGGGTTAGGTATATGTTTTACAATCCCAAATTGCAGTATTTATACATCTCTTATCAACTTCATTAAATAAACGATTGGATGCCTATCCTGCCATCTACATATCAAAATATCCAACTACCTGTGAGATATGTATAAAATGATGAGGTAATAGAAAATGTTTTTATAAGCTATAATTTATCAGTAACTGAATTTGATTCAAAACAATCAGATATAAGAATTATTTTCTTTTTGAAAACTTGATTGTTGGTGACCTGTTTTTTATATTATATTTATATGTTAGTATTCAAACCCAATGAATCTGCTTTCACCTGCATTAACTGTGGCTGTATGAATTTTAGGCAAAATATACTAACACCACTTAATTTAGGGATTTGAAATATTATTTTACAATATATATTTTAGCTCCATTTTTCTGACCTGCCTGTAACTGAAAGTTCTGTGTGCATTGAAAAATTCCCATACAAGATATTTATCTTACATATGTATCTTCCACCCACTCCTTTTCTGTAATATAATTTTTGTGTTGTGAAATTATGAATCTAGCTAGTCATTATTGCTTATCGTTTTCTGGCATGGATTGGTTTTTTAACTGAATATGCAAATGAATATGAAAAAGCTGAGTGATGGGTTCTTAGTGTTAAATGTGTATAAAAAAAACTTTAGATTTGCTAGGTAATTCTAAGCGACCGATTTGATTCTGTTATTAAGCGACTATTTGGTTGTATTGGTGCGGCATATTTTAATATCAGAGTACTTTGCCTGCTAACATTTTTGCTAGTGAAATTAATTCTGTCCATATTAGACATACATGATTATCATTGTGGTAACTATTTTCTTGAATATTGCTCATATCTAGGCACTGAACAAGTAAAGGCTGCAAATCAGTTTTGTCTGCAAGTGCTTTTTTATATGAAAGTATTTATTTTTACGAAGAAAAAGCTTGCAATGCCATTATTCTATCCCACACGAGGTGAAAATGTTTGATTTCTTTCATTTGTTTATTGAGGAGCAATACGAGGAAAATTTCTACTTATTGTGCTCTATTACAAATCACTTATCAATCTTGTGCATTTTCTAGTATTTGACTATGACAAATTTTCTTTTAGATTTTGATAATATATTAAGAAATAATGGCAGATGAGGATCAAGATGGAAATTCTGCTATGCAGACAGAGCTAGATCAAAGCTCATTACCCAAAGATGCACAAGTGATAACTTCTATACTAAAAGATATGGGAGTGACAGAATATGAGCCAAGAGTGATCAATCAACTTCTTGAATTTGTTTACAGTGAGTAGTATGTTGAAAATAAGAATATATACATTCATTCTCGGCGGTGTGGCCCATCGCTGCCCCCGCAGGGTGTTTCACATAACCACTGGTCAGTTACGGCTTACTCCACCATCAAGTCCATGCATCTGAAAGCAATTAACTAGCTAACTGACCCCATACCCGGCATGGACTAGTGACCCGACGAGGGGCCGTGGTTCGCCATATGATTAATCCTCATTATCGTCTCCCTCTCCCCCAGGATAAATATGTAAATCCTAAATCCTGTGATTATTTTAACAGTTTGTAACCTAATACCAGAGTGAAGCAATATAAATAGAATTTATATAATATAAAAACAAGAGATCATTTTAATATTATGGCGTGAAGTTGTCCACTGGAAATACAGGCGGACAAGTGTGACGGGATGAAGCGATTGCATATACCATAAAACGCGCTCTATAAATTGAAATATCACAGCAAAGTTTTGGGTGAAATATTGAGCTCCACAGGGCTCAGAGGTAATTTAAAAGAGGAAAAACAACAGTCTTGCACGAGATTTTACAACCAATTAGTCTTTTAGTTGCAGAGGAATTTTCATAACAAAAATAATTCAGCAAAATGATTCTCAGGTCCATTTGTGTCAAAAAAATGCTATTTTGGTTTTCAGGATATGTCACAGATGTTCTGGATGATGCTAAGTTGTACTCAAGTCACGCTGGTAACAGTAGTATTTCAAGAGAGGATGTCAAATTTGCTATCCAGATGAAGCTAGATCATTCCTTTACAAATCCTCCACCCAGAGATGTAAGTGTCTGTTCTGTAGTGAATAAATTAAAAGAAGTTAATGAAGAATTGATTGCCACTACTCGAATATGATACTACTGGATGGCCATTTTTTTTTAGTTCTGCTGTCTGTGTTATATTGAAATATCAAAAATTGTTGATGTTGCTCTGTTGAATTATCTTTCCTGAAGTGATTTTACCAGAGCTGTGGAAAACTAGCACACACCTCAGACTCCAAACCTTGAACCTTTAAAAAACAACTTCAGCTCCTGACTTTGAAAAGAACAACTTTTGATTGCAAAATCTTTGCAAATGCACGTCTTCTTCATCTTTCTATTTAAATGCTTTGTCATCTATTTCTTTCATGATTTCTGTCAGAAATTTTGTCCTGGATTACCATTATAAGCCTGCAATTTTGACTAGATACATAATATCACTAGATACATGCCTCCATAGTCCTAGTTTTACCCAGAATCATTTTCAGAAATAGTTCTTTCATTAGTCCATGTAGACTTGCCTCTTTAGATCTCTTAAAAAATATTCTCATTAAAGGTATTTTTGTTTCAGTTCTTGGTTGATTTGGCAAGACAGAAGAACAGCACAGCATTGCCAACTTTGAAGACATACACAGGGGCAAGGTTACCTCCTGATCGATATTGTCTCACTTCTTCTAACTACAGACTCAAATCCCAATCAAAGTCTTTACGAAAGGTTAACTTGGTATTTTAATGTATATGTACTTTGAATTGAACAATACGATCATTGTAACTTCTCATTTAAATAATATGTATGCCATAGCAAAACTAATTTTGAAGGTTCTGTAGTCAATGTGGGCATACAGAACAGTTGCTTGAATGCTTTGAAGAAGATATAAGAAAAATTTGTTTGTAGCATGTGTGATCAAACATCGGTCCCAGATATTGAATAACTTATCTGAAAGTGACAGATAATTTCAGCCAATTTGTTGAATAATCCAATAGCATGGCGATGGCATCACATCACCCAATTTGGATTATATTATTATCTTCTAATAAAGACTCAACACGTCACTGCTACCATAATTCACACTACACCGAATATGTTCCGAGAATTTGTTCAAATCAAAGATTTACCTCGCACAGAATAATGCTATGCACTAGAAATTCGTTTTTCAGACAAATGTGAAATGGTATTTAAATTATCTTCTAGATGTCCCGACAAGGATCTAGCTCAGTGGGTTATGGACATCAACAACCTACATATAAACCAACAGTAAATACTCAGGTCAGTCTACTGGTTTGTAACGAGTTTACTGTCTCATGTCAGTTTTTAGCCAATGCTCTATGACATGGGCAAGGAGTGAGCCCATTTATTCGACGCGCGAGTGAGACCTCAGAAACGAGATCATTCTCCTTCACAAGAGTTTCAAGACTCTTATCTAATGAAACTCTGTTTTCGTTTATTCATTTCTGTTTGTTAACAATTCGTTATTTATTTAAACTCTTTTTGTCCTTTCATGACATATGGCTACGAAGAAATATATTATGACGTCACAACTGAGTGAGCTCTCGACAATTTTGGTCGGCATGCGAAAGAATTCTGTAATTAAATTTGGTCGATTTTGGTTGACCACCCCTGCCCTATGAGATCTATCTAGGTGTGGCTTTGTATCCTTTTATTTGAAATACTAGAAAGTGGTTGACCAGTTGTTAATTTGCTTTCAAAACATATAGTAATATAGGTAAATAATTGTATACCTCCATGTGGTCATAGTTGTACACATCTACCTGGAATACTTGTTCCCGGATTAAAGCAAATGAGAAATGTAGGTTTCCATAAGCTGTTAGGAATCTTTTAGCTAAATAAGTTTTGGTTTTCACAGTGGTTTCATGCTAATTCAGTGATTTCCAACCTTTTTGGTGGTGCAGAACCTGAATGGAACATTCTGGACGCAATAGTTGAAAATTGTCTGATAGCGATGGCCTTAGTAATCGATTTTATTATAGACTCTCAATTCTTAGAAGTCGCTTGTGAATACACGGTCACAGATGTTCATTTCATTTGTACATGTTATCAACATGTCCAAAATCTTTACCTTTTTCAGATGGCTACACCTGGAAAAAGGAAATGGCAAGATGTTGATGATTATGACATATGATTTGTCATTTGAGGGAAGGAATCAACTAATAGCTTACTCATTGAAAGAGAATTGCCTGCTGCAAAACGTTCAGTCGCCGGCTAAAATCAAGTTTAGCAGCAATTCGGTGGCGAAGTAAAGAATTTTGGATTGGGGCTTTGTTTTTTGCGATCCTTTGTTATTTTGTAGAAATCATCTATTTCTAACATATATTTTGTCCTTTATTATTTACCATTACTACATTGTAAAGAAGTTTACATTCGAAAAATTGAAAAGTACAGAAACAGCTTATTAATTTCTAGAAAGCAGTGATGGGATTCGAAATTTTAAGAACAGGCCTCTCTTGTATTGAACTCTCCAACAACAGGCTTCCTCCTTTCAGACTACCATGCCAAACTGAGTCTGAGAAAAAAACAACGGCAGGTCCACTTATCACAAAGACTATTGAAAGAAAGCACCGAAATGCAAGTGCGAAAATAACAGAAATTGCATAACTGTAACCCTCGACGAAGCTGACCAAATTCTACATACACCACGCTTTTGATATAGCATGTGTGCAAATATACATAATTTAACAGCAACTGTAGCATGTTTATTCAAAACCCGGCAAGGCTAGTAAATATTTTGTTGCGTTTCTGGGGCTGAACATCAGTTAACACACTAAAATTAGCGACAATAACAATCGCCTGTCTGCTCGTTCCACTGATGTAATGCAATAGGTATTTGTTGCAGATAAATTAAATAACATCGGAAGATTAGCAAGTGACTCTCACTGGAGTATGCTCAGAATAGTTACTTGACAGGAGGAATAATAAAGTGGGGCAAAATTCTCCGTCACACGGAAACGGTCCTTGAAGGTAGCTCTCTAAAAAAACGTCATTTGCAGGCAGGCCTAAACGCTAGTTTCAGGCGCTATCCCTGGCAGAGACGTTCAAGATTGCAATGACATAAATATTTCGGATAGGTAAGTTTAAGCTGTTTGTGGCTCGTTTTGTGCAATATATTCCATAAAACTAGTCCTAATTTCAGCAGGCACAAGTGGGCGGGATGAAACACTTTGGCGGGCCGTAATTTGAACAACACAAATGAACATGAAGGGAATATCTGTAATGAGCACAAGGTTCGAAGCAAAGCGCTGATTACATAGCACACACCACTGTAAAAATACATCACACAATCTTATGGAGAATAAAGTCATGAACATGAGAATATAGGATTCAGGGAGACTCGTTTATAAATCTTGTGAAGATAATTGCAAGTGTTGGCTGCGTCTGAAACATCTAAATCCATGCATTTAGAGCAGTGGTTCTCAAACTTTTTTGCTCTCGCGGCCCACTAAGAAAATAAAAAATGTGGCACGTTCGTGAAAAAATAAAGATAGCTTCAGACAAATTTATTCTGCAAATGTTAATGCGATATGTGTGCCTGTTTTGAGAAGCAATTGGGCGAGATGAGCAATCTTATCCCCCTTTGCCATATATACATAATTTACCGTACCGGTATCTGAACTTTCCGTCACCATTCCCCCATTACTGTATATAAAAAAGTTGCCCAAACAGGCTACCATATCAGCGTCGAAGCTCCTACTGGTGAAGAACATCTACTACCGGCCTCCAATTTGCATTTTTTAAATTTCCAATGAAGTCTCTGTATACAACTCTCCCCAATCTTCCAATTGAATACTCAATATATTGCTCTAAGAAGACTTCTATGAAAAATCCTATCTAGTACCCTTCCAACCAAAAAACTAAAATACTTCAAACAAGACCAGATATTATTATTAAGATTTTCACAACACAAAACTAAGTGGGAAAGAGAAGAATTTGTTTGTATTCGTATAAACTACTGTGTTTGATTTATGAAGCAGTACTGGGTGATAAAGAGGGATCAAGAATTGAAGCTAGGAATCAGGAAAGGTAAAGTTAAATCAGTATCATCAAACATGAGTATTCAACAATTAGTAAAAAAAAATAACAAAAACAACGCAAATTTTTTTAACATCATATCTTTCGATCACATATCGACCAGAGAATGAATGGTCCACTTCCACATTCTATTCCCTTTATGTATGACAATTACCACAATCATTAGCAACAACCAACTTCCATAATTAAATTGACTCACCACTCTAGGACATTCTAATCATGATAGATCAATAGGAACAACTGTACAACATAAACGAATCACAAAGAACAATTTTGTAAAATAGATTGGCAATACTCCGTAAAACAAATAATTTTAGAGCAAATCAAAAATATTTTCAGATTATGAATACAGCACCAGCTGGTTCTATTGAAATGTCAAGCGAAATAGTCAGATTATCTCCAGGCAGCAAGGCATTAATAAGAGTAATTTTTTGTTTAACAATTTGTTCTGGATTTCAGAAGTTTTATCACAATAACACTGAGAGAAAAAGGCTAATGATGAAGAATATTTTTGTTCATCGGTTTCATTAAAATAAGCTCAAGCAATATGGGGAAAAACTTGAATGAAGAGTCTATTGGCAGTAATTTGTTGCAGCAACTGCACCTAACATTCTATATCACTAACAGGGAAGAATTAAGATCACAAAAGAATTGAAAACTAAGCTAATGACCTATAAAATGACAACCATTCTCTACATGGTATTTCAAATGGGACTGAAAACCTCAACGATAAAATTATATAAATGTCTACAGAAGTGTTTTCAGCCACTGGAAATTTACAAAGGTTACATGTGGGAAAAGAAGACATTGGTCTTCAAGAGTTGCTAGTTTGTGATTGAACAATTGCTAGGAACCACATAGTTGAGACATAGTTGTAAAATTGTTCTAGGTGTTTGTGAGGTATTTTCTTCCTAATATCGTGATGAATGGTGATATTTTAAAAACTAAGCCAGTGTCTTTCAACCTGAGTTACCTTGTTTTCCATTACAGTCTTTTATATAACCGAAACCAAACACAATATTAAACTAGATAATGTTAGTTGTACTTGTGATGCAATTAAGTGAAATGGAAAAACGTGAAATGTTTATTTTGCAAAGTCAAAACACATTGTTGTGTAACTGCACAACTGCTAAAAAATCTTACAAGTGTTTTAATTTCTTGAAATTTTTGAACTGATTCGATGAACAACTCAATTTTAGAAAAAGCCAATCACACTGATCAATATTAGTGGCTGCCAATGGACTTTAGATTGCATTGAGACAAGTCAGCAAGGGTAAATATACAATTTTCTGGACCTTTTTCTCAATGCGTATTGTAACACAAAATTCCGAGACATCTTCGAAGAAAAGCTGGACAACTGGCAAATTTTTGTGCGTTGACTGAAATTCATAATCTACTATTTTATAATACCAATAAATTCATTATCGTTATAATATAAATAATGACAAGGATCTTTTAGCAGACTCTGACCACCAGAGTACCTGAGCTTATATTTAGCACTGCTAAACATCTATTTGTCATTTACAGTTGTTCTAATATAAATACAATTTTGCTACCGTAACCCTGAGGGAACAAAACAATATGAATAGTTGAGATAAACTACAATCTCAATAAAATGCCTTGACAAAGGCAGGTTTAATATTGTCTACAAAAGCAACCAGAGGGCAGCGATTGTCGTGAGTACCAACCGACCAGTCGCTTATTACACCTGTCAGTAGGGAATTTACACCTTTTTGAGAAGCTGGCTTGTAGCTTCATGGGTGCTGGCGCTACACTGCTGACCATATTATGTCCAAATGGTAGAAACGCCTACAGCTCACGTATCGAAATTTGCCGGCGATAAAGACGCAGATGGCAGACTTGAAATATCGAATCCCGGTGAAGGGACCGAACCACCATGCTGCAATATTGTGAGAGTATCGACCGACGAGGAACGACTGGATGAAGATGGCCCAGTCATGGCCATGCTACTACTGCTTCCCAGACTTTCTTCGCTTTCGTGTTGAATCATCATCGCTACTTCTTGGTCATCAGGATCTGGTTTAATGGACGAGAGCAATTGATGACCATCGAAAGGAGAATTGACTATTTCACCACTGGTCTGGCTGCCATTTCTGAAAAAAAGTCACAAGCGTTCATGCCTTGTAAATAAAGACAAATAAATATAAAAGGCAATGGTTTGGAAAACATAGGGATTTTCAAAATGAACCCATTATTCGCATACATCCAACATGGATGATATTCAATATAGGAAGCGTTTAGAATTTTATTTGAAAATTTATCATTATAACTTTACTTTTATAGACATTTGACTTTCCATGATAGTCACATGAAAATAGGACCGCATTCAATCTTCAACAATTTTAAAAATAGATAATCAGTCATAATAATGTTATTCTAAACCATTGTATAATTTCTATTAATTTACCATGAGCCAATTCAGAATATATATATACATTATCCAATATTTTGAAATGTTATTTTTGAATTTTCCAGTTAGGTAAATTTCGAAGTTTTATATTATGGTGTATTGGGAATAGCAAATTCTATTGTTTGGGCGACCCCTGCATGTTTCACAAAACTACTCAAATTCTAAGATTAAGCATTATTATGTTGCAACTCATTATAACGCCTGATATCTGCTCTTACTTACCCAGAATCAATGGTTTGACTCGATGATGCAGATGATGGATTTGAGGTATTTGGTTTTAGTTTACCATATCCTGCCATTTCTAGAGAAAAAATATTAATATGAGAATAGCCTATTAACCTGAAATACAGTATTAAAATTCAGTTTGATAAAAGCAATATCTCAGAGCATAAAAAAACTTCAGAAAATTATAGAATGAGCAGCAGTTCAGTGAACCATTCTGCAATGTTGGAGTCCAGCAATCTTCTTCCACAAAGTTATAATTTATTCCCCATTCGTTTCACAAACGCGCAAAGGTAGTCAATGATGGGTTGGCAAAGCACAATGCACCAATTATTATGTTGTCATATGAGTACGCAAAAATCTCAAGGTACTTGTCTCAAAATTGATACAATTTCACTGCAATGAAGGCTATTACACTGAATAAAAGGGGCTCCCGAAGTATGCGAACCAAGATGGCGGACATCGGAAAGTAATATGTGTACTAGGTCAGGGTTAGGCCATAATTTTAGGTATAAATACTACGGGAGGCTCTTGGCTAGTCTTCGAACTGATAATAGGACTAAAATAGGGAAAATTGGAAAAAAATTATCGCCTAACCCTAACCTGTTACCCATGTTACGTTCCGATGTCCGCCATCTTGGTTCGCATACTTCGGGAGCACCGAATAAAATCTATTTTCATTATTAAAGTATCTTAAAATACTACAATTACATAACTACTAACTAGGAATTCTTCTAAAAGTAGAAGTGATAAAGCGAATCTGCATGCCTGTGTGACCTGCTTGTTCGAAGTCTTGTTCAGACATGAAATACATCCTATAAATATAACTAATTCAAAGTGAAGTCTAAATAGATATGAATCACATTCACTTATGAACTTGAATTATTCTTCGCTATTGTCTTGCAGAGTAAAGCATGAAGTACATAGAACTTTTAGAATAATAGTAGTATAATGGTACATTCAGTCAAATAATCAAGTTTCAATTAGTTTTTCAGATTATCATTTTATTTTAAATTCACTTAGAATTTAATCTTCAGTTTTGCCACAGACAAAGTACGCTTACTGACCTACCAACGCAAAAGCATAGAAGAAAGATAAGTAGTTAGCCTCACATAAATTTTCAAATTATTAAGTGCAATTAGCAGAAACCTACCTTCAAGATAAGGCTTTAAAACTGGCGGTACTAGTGACTGTGCTGTGCGAAGATTCTCCTTTGAGCAAGATCCTTTCTCTAATCCATATGCCATTCCCATACGTTTAAGAACTTCTATATCATCATGAATTTCGAAAGTATTGTCAAAATTAAAAAGATATTCATATCTGAAAATATAAAAACAATATAGTACCGTACTGTGAAAGTTTCGAATGCCATACCGATGGGTTTAGAGTTTCACCATTACAGTCAACAGGTTCCGCAATTTTACATTCAAATCAGAGCGTCTATATTATTATATGGGCAAATATGACAAAATAAACATATAAATATTTTATGACAACAAATATATTCAATTGCACAGAGGTTTCTAGATTCTCTGGAATGTTTCATTTGAGGTTCCGCTTCACCAAAAAGGTTTGAAAACCATTGATGTAACACAGACACACTTCCGAAGCAATGAATGGAAATGAAAAAGGGTTACAAACATATGATACGTACAACTTACTTCATCTATAAAATGTTTCTAAATGCAAGACCTAAATTTTAAATATGACAAAATTCCGGCAGGATCTTTCCTATTCATTTCCCTGATTAAGTGGGTCTGTTATGGACACAAAAAATAGCGGCAAAACTTCTTTAATTTCCCCTTTCACCAGTGGACATAATTTATTTATTATACCACAAATAGATTTAGATAGATTTTGCAGGGTAAATACCACCTTGGCTAATGGTTGGCTAATTTCCATAAAAATTTCCAAGTAAGTATGCATCAAACATACTTATCATTAGAAATACTGCAGTCAATGACTGTCTTCTTGCTTGTATTAACAATAATAAAAGGAAGTTGAATCGCTGAGTTGGCAGCAGGAGGTCCGTGCGTTTGCTGTAAACGTTTGTTCCTTTGTACAAGATTCTTGAATGCAATTTGCTGATAAAAAAAGATTAAGGGTATTTCTACAACATGAAATTTTATAAAACTGGTAAGAATTAGATAGGCATCGCATGTAGTGTTGCTTCAATTTCTATGACAAAATAAGAAGGCCGAATAGCTAGAACTGCATGGCTATGAAACAGTCTCAGCATAAATAAGAAATGTAACAAAAAATTATTAGAAAGTTAGTATAGTATATTAGTTAGCACAACAGTCATTTACCCCTCCAGATAAAAATAGTATTATAAACAATTACCGTTTTTTTCAAAAGGAGGCAATTACCAATACCAACAATTTTCGAGAACCCTAAAATCTCTAGCATAAAAAATCACAGATGTTTGGTAATCACAGGAACCCCTATTCTAGTCACCATACTAAAACAAAAAATTTCAGCAATCGAAACTTGATACATTTTGTATCAAACTGCTGATGACTTACCTGCAATATTAATTCATGAAGTTGTGCGGTCTTCTGTTTTATTCGTTGTTCGCGTTTCTGTTTTTCAAGCTGAAAATTAATCAAGCAATATTAGTATCATAGGTCTTTGACAGATAAGCAAATTTAAAAAAACCTAATTTCTAAAACGGGAATTACACAAGAGATACATAGATGACTAACTATACACAAATAGTACCAACTATGTAGGAGAGTGCCAATATACAATGCAAATGAGTCAGGTGAAGTAATGAATAACTAACAAAATTACAGAAAGACGAGTATTACAAATTCAACATAAACATGTATACACAAATATATCTATCTATCTTGGTAAGTTCATTCTAGTTTATTTGTATGGTCTTAATCTTGATACCTAAAGAGGAAGGGACTTATTTGAACAAAAAATTATACCTGGAGAGCCTGTAATTCCTGTGCCGAGTTAGTTGGTAAACCGACCCAATGAATATCTTTCTTATCTTTGTAAATTATATTCATGGCCATAAGAACATTAAGGGCGTCATAAACTCTCCTTCTGATATTCTTTTGATCATATTGCTAGAAAAAAGAAATGGTTTATACAGTCAGTCCGAAAACATGGGCACAAAAATGGATGTGCTATATTTTTAATATAAAATATAACTCCCAACACTGACATATTCAGTTAAAAAATTTGCAAAAACTTGTAATCATACTATTCATACATAATAATATATACTTCATTAGGTATGACTCTAGAAATATAATCATAAGTGAAATCACAGTACAATTCCACAGAATCCCAAATAAGCACTGCAATAATACTGGTTAAAGACATATTTCGTTAATGCAAGTTGATGAATTCGCCCAATATCAGACCCCTTGCTATGTGATGTCATCAAACAGTCAGCCTCCCCTAATAATAAGGTATTTCTGAACGAAAAAATGCAGAAACAGAGTTGCAACTGGCTGCCAATTATATGATTGGACTTTACAGTCCAGAAGTTTCCAAACTCAGAACTCATTTGCTTTCTTAGATATAAATTAAGATGAATGGGGAAGAAAATTCGACTTTAACACAAAAAATGCACATGTGATCATTGTGACAAGGGAGCTGCTTTTGTGCATATAAAATTACCATATTTTGGATGAACGTCCAATAATGCCACTTTTGATTTCAGTAGATTTATTCATTTTTATTGGGAGTTCTAAATTCAGGCAGATAATTTTGATTTGGATAATGGATTGATATTTCAATGTACAGTTCGGGGAATTATGGGTGACTAGTGTAATATATCAACACATTATCTCATTCAAAAGATGTGATGCATTTCACTCAATTGTATATTTATATTCAAGTATTTTTTCCAAAACTCATCGAAGGAAGTTTGTAGGTCTTATATCATATTACCAAGTTATTCTTCTAGAGCTGAGTTTTCACATTTATATAAGTCATAGTAAACTTTGTACACACTGTACAAATCTTTACACATACACCGACAATTTACATTAATCTTCATCAAGTATTCAATTTTATTTATTCGGATATTGCTTTTAGAGTTTTACTCATTGAACACTACTCCAAATGGATGGCACATTTAATATATAATGTTGACCTATTACTTTATACTCAAAATGTTGCACGTGTTTGTGGAATGTGTTTGATCATGTTAAGTACCGCCTGCTTTGGCGTGAACGAGGTAAAGGTATAATAGGGCCAGTGAGGTTTAGATATCAATGTCCTAGCTGAGATTGGGTAAACAAAAGTCCAGTGTGTCGTACCATTATAATGAAGATAGATAAATAGGAGGACGTCAAGCAACATGAGAACACTTTAAATTCAGAGAGTGGTTATTGATATCTGGCCATTTTACAGTCCATGCTGAAAAGTGTAATGGCAAATATTCTCAATTTTAAAATCTGTTAATAAAGCCATGTATTTGGCTTTTTAAATTTCAGTAAAATAGAAATATAAAATTAGAAGAATCAACTCTAAGGAGATACAGGACTTTGACCTAGTGTTGCAAGGGCAACATTAGTTAACTGGTGATTCATTAACCAAATTTTTAGTTTCGGTCGGATTTATTAGAAACTTTTATTAATTATTAATGAAATTGACTGGTATCACAATTGAATAACGCATGAAGGATTGAAGAAAAACGGCTTTTGGAACAGTTTTCCATAGCTAGATTTTATTGACAATTGAATTTATTTTTTATTTAATTTGCCCATCTATTCCCTTATTAATAAATCTGGGGTTCACCCTTTTACTAATATTGAAAATAAAAACCCTACCCATTGTATATATCTCACTACTGCGAATCCACAAGGCCCTTAGGTTTGAGGGAGAATGTGACTTTGGAGTTAGTTAGCTAGACCATTTGTTATAAACTTCATTACAATTAATTTTCTTGACATCGCTCAGATTTTGTTCAAATATAGGCATCATCAATCAGTTTTAATAAACCCAATCTAATATTAAAACGGCTGCTTACGAAACAAGCCATAGAATATTTTCCTTTAGATGGGAATTTCCATGTCCAGTTTATCAACTTATGTCATACATGGTTCTGTTTTGCAAGAAGATCATCCCACCATATGTAAAAACTTGTTTTAAAGAAAATGACATGGTAGATCAGAGTATAAAAATATCAAAATTCCCGCCCACCCGTCTGGTCGTAGCGGTTAAGACGATCACATACCTTGACCCACTACGCTACAAACACGTGGTAAATTAAGCCAATGCTGCATAGAGCAAGTACAAAAGGGTTCACGATGGTAACGAAAGAGGGAAATAATTTCACATCGTCAATGGAATTTCTAACCGGACAGTGTTGTAACAAAACGTAAAATACCTCATGACTAAATGAAACCGTTATCATATATGACTGGAAGCGATGGGATTTTTGTGTATGCAAACATTGTGTTCCATATTGGTCAATACTTCATGCTTGAGAATGGCTGTATCGCGAGAGCATACCAAGCCGACGGAACAATGCATCGTAAATGTGCGACTCTGCGACCGGGCTATAATCTTCGCAACGTTTATTTTCAGCGGGAGTGGTGATATTATTAACAACTTTCGTAACGCCCCCGCAGTCATACAGGTACATGATATCCGGTGTCCAATAGAGGGTTAAAATTGAAAATGACGCAAGCATACGTCCAAAGCGTAATTGCTTGGCGGTAACGTACGGTAAATCTATCTAAACTAGCGCGTGTGTCTCCTCCTACGCTTGCAATAATACGCCTACGAAAAAGCGTAGGTATTCGTGGTTTGAATGATTTGGATAATTCACGCATTGTGACTTGATGAATATAAAGTGTCATTTTTCCTAAATACTGTACCTATATTGCATAAGCAACCTTTTTGTGTAATAAGGTTTTACATACTCCTAAAAATTTAGTTATTCAGAACATCGCCACAAATTTTGTCCATTGTAACCTCATCATACGGCCCGTGTCCAAACATTTGATTGTTTTTTTTACCCAATGGCTTGCTCTTGATTCGAGGTAAAATTTATCCACGGCGCAAACGCGTTGGAAACAAACGATGAACTTGAAAATCAGAATTTTGAATATATTTTGATACGAAATAGTTAGGTCATCCGGTTGTTCGTGATTTTATTTCCGTTTACCGTGGGTCACAAAAGCCATTTGATAATGAATGGAATTGAAGCGATCAAAGGATTTTACTTAAACTGACAAAGTCGGGCCCTTCCACGATCAATTTCTATTATAGCCTCCACACGTTTTTTTTTCTGTTTGCTCTTACACAAAGAAAGTGGTTTGGCAAAAAGAACAAAGTAGGCGTGGTTATGAAGATAATTTCCAGCACGTTACGACGACCGCGAACATAATGAACGCGAAATTAAGAAATAGGGAAAACGAATGGGAATATTGGTCCTATCCAAAGCTTGCCAGAGAAAATTATATATGTGACTGGCCATCTGGACAGCGTTAAGTACAAACTGCCATGTCAGTGGCCCTAACAGAAATACGCGGGAAGTCGCTAACATAAAACAACGACATGCGTCTTTAAATGACCCAATAGTACTTCCGCATTGTCTATTAAAAGGGCATTATTAAAAGCCCTCCACCGTGGTTATAAGCTTCGCAGATAGGACACAAATGACTTTTTGGTTGATCGGCACAAGTAAACGGTCTCCTAAAATCAGTTTTACATGTGTCTGTCATTGACGTGACTTTCACAAACATGCTCCATGCCCGAGTATCCGAATAGCAGACGGCAACGGATTTACTACACGAGGAGGAAGCGAGGAGCTGCGGTACTTCCGAAACGAATCCTATTGAAATGCGAGAACCATATCCCGATAAAAACAATTAATTATTAATCGCGGTTCAGTATCATTTGTACGGGAAGCAGCGGTTTATATACCTTCTTGTTCCGTTGGTACATTAACAAAGACTCACCACTTAAAATACTAATGAAAAAATAAAAAAATTACAGTAAATTATTACAGATATAACCAATTTCCAACCGGTATATTATAATCGAGGAATTGCCGCCTAGAGCCAAGCTAGAAAGATGTTAAATTTACAGAAATCTGTACGTAACAGTTTGTCTTTGTACGCATAGCGATTGGAATGTGTGACGCGCAATAATACGAGAAATTGGCGAATAGTTAAGCGACTCTCTCGTTGGTTCGGATTGCCCCAAAGGAACGCCGGACGTGGCAAAGAAACGCATACCTAAGGGGTTCGAATACCAAGATCATTCTATCCGACTAAATAACTAAAGCGGTCTTTAGTAGGTCGAAGACGTCAGATCCCATCGGCGGCCAATCAGCCAACTTACTTTTTTTTAAAGTAGGGTAATATACTAATAAAAGTGTGATATACACAAACGTTGATTCGTTGTTGTATAAAATTGTCCCTTCCTTTAGTAATGCTGGTCATGAACAGATTTCAACAAGCCAGCGACCGTCAGGCAAGAATTTTTATTTGTCTCATTTTGACCAAGAAGAACATTAAAAGTTGAACATGGCTTCGATAGAGACAAAAGCCAACTTATCATATCTCTATCTCGGTGATTGGTTTAGAGAGAGATAGCCTGATACTGGCAATCACAATTTAGAAACGTTCTATTTCTTTTGGATAACAGTTTCACGCTTAGTGTAAAAAGTTATTTCCGTCCCAAGTGACTCTACCCTGTGTTTACGCAAAATAAAACAATCACAGTATACTGATTCAATACAATATTGGCTTAATATATTCAATATTGTCTAGTAACGGGTTAACAACTTTTAGCGAAAGGAAATCGGAAGACAATAGAGAAAAGTTTCAACAAAAGTTTGAAGCAACTCCATAGTAAAGAATGCTACACAATAGTCCTACTCAATAGATTGGAAATGCGCGGCGGGAAATCTTAACTCTGTTTAATCCGCCACATTTCTACTACAAAATTGTACGTTTCCAAATAAAAGTGTCCTATGAATACAACCCGATTGGACACGCCGATGCGCATTACTAGCGTTACATACCAGTGGGAAAATAGCTTTTAGTACATGACCAGGCCGTGATTTAATAGGGTGAATATCCACCTTCCACATACTTCAGTTTATGTGGAAAGTGTAATGAAATAACGATAACAATACTTTCTATAATTACAAGTAGGAGGAGTATGGCATGATCCACGTGAACCAAACAATAAGTAGCTGTCACGAAATAAACAGTAATGTGATGAGACGTAACTTTCGAGTCTATATCACGTTCGGAAGAATACGGCATGCGACACGTGACATATGAAGAAACAACAGATGGCGCATCAAATCAGTAATAATAATCGTTTTTATTCTGTTGTTGTAGGATGTCGCTAACATTGTCCAATACATTACTCCAGCATAGATTTTTATCCAGGTTCTTGGACTAGGCAGTACAATTTGGCGAATCAAAAATCATCTCCTCATACTGATTCAAATCATCAAGCAAACTAACGGTTCAAAACCCTATACATACTAACAGCCAGGCTTGAACGAACTGACGATCATTAGAAATACGCGTTATCTCAGACTTATTTGTGAAAAATTCGAAAATTTCTGATCGATATTAACAGCACTGGTTATTTATATAGATTAAATTGATTCGTATAATGATAAGGTGGCAAGTTGTCGGTTATCACAATCTCCTATTATTCTTTATACGTAAATTTCCAAAGATCATTACCAGGAAGTAACAAATTGCATGAAAATTCCGTTCATACATACATATTCACTTTTAATACTTTGAATATACTCCGGGTAAAATAAAGAACGATTGGCACTTTATATATATTTATTTATATTTATCATGTTATTCATAAAATACTATGACAATGAACAACATTTAAACTGTTTCATTGTGTTCATATTATTTTCCTAGCTTAATTTCCTTATTGATATCAGCCTGAAGTGAATGGAGGTCTGGTATCGAATAAAAGATGATAACGAGCTAAACTCGAAAGTTCAGATACAAATGTCAATAAACGATAAGCAAACCCCTGCTCCGTATATTTGTGCACTACTGTGCCATCGATGTGCGTCACCAAATACATAAGCCCAACTGGAAGAAACTTCTGCTTTTCGAATTCACACCACTTCCAAACAGTTCGAAAGTATTATCTTATAATTCCCTCGTATTTATATACGATATATAAATATAAAAACTATGGACTATAATAATTCTTATATGATAATAAATTATTAACGTCCCTCTAATGGTATTCGGATTTTATTATTATTTTTGAATACGATTCAATGGAGGCGGGAATAGTCAACCTTCAATAACTGCATTAAATGCAAAGTCTTTGGGTTTCATTGTTATAGAAAAATCGCTATGCAAAACAATCTCGACCACATTTTGTTATTCATTTAGTACCAATAACATGCACGTTAATTTGTAATGGCACGTCGTCGGAAATGATTGATGGGCTATCGATCTGTGTAACGAACAGTTGATCTGCACAGCGCCAGTTCGTCGTGCTGTTATAGGTTTTGGCGGACACTAATGCATTAACGTTTCTAATCAATTTTTCCTAGTTTTTGATGTCGTATTTGACTTTGGTCAACAAATCTTTCACTAAAAAACATTGCCGTATGGAAAAACCCGAACAGCATTAATTAATTGCTTTGCAACTATGAATCATCTATTAGTAACGAAAACAACAAAATTAATCGTTATGTTTACGGCATGTAGACGTAGAAGTACCTGGTCATTTAGATGTCTTTGCGCGTTGCTGTATTCGGACACCAACTCATCGGCAACCTCGTTGTACGTAGTCGTTATTTTGTGCTTTACTTTCTCACAGACAAGCATAGCAAAATGTCGCAACCCTTTACTTCCTTTCTCGTGGCCTGTCGGCGTTCGTCGTGATTTCTTTATACTGAAAGGTCACATAATTGGAATAATAATAACAGCTTTGAACTGGTCCGAAAAGCTAAGAAATACAAACTACATACTTATCAGGAAAAATATCTTGATCGACGAAATCTCCAGCTCGCTTGTATCTCATTGGACTGGAATAAAAAAGAATTGTAATAATTATCACGGACAAACCGCCAGGCGGTATATGTGACGATGGAATACTTTACCTTGGCGTCCATGATGACGGTGATATGGTAGTCAGGCGCATTGGAGATGTTAATAAACTGGAATTAGGCGTTACAGGTTGCTGACTGGTAGAATATCGGACCTGTGGTGATTGTTGAGGAGTTGATGGGCTTGCTAGCATTGGGCTTTTCGCTATCGCCGGAATGAGCTTGGTTGGGGTTGAAAATACCAGCTGTCCAGGGCCCTGCATAAAAATTGTTCATTTCATCCATCAGCTAATGTTTACTAATTAGTATTTAAAAAGGGACATTTCCTTTTCAATAAAGTGCCATGTAATACAAAACAATACCCAGTAGACAACGAATATTAGTATCTATTCTGAAGGAAGGGCATACTATTATACCGAAGATTGTATAATGGCCTGATTATTTGAAACGGTTTCGAATTAGTGTGACTTGATGGTTTTTATAGGTGATATGTTCATGCTCATACAGTATGCCACTTCTCAACTAAGACTACAGAAGAGTTTATTTCATATTTACGCGTCACGCACATTGACGCAAAGATGTAGCCAATTACTGTTATGAATGTATCCAAATGGCATATTATTTCTTCTATTACCAATTATGATAAGTACAAGGTTTGATGCTCAAACCTATGACAGCGATAAGATTCACATTAAAAACCGACATCTGTCATTATTACAGCTATATTAAATGTCATGTTTAAATGTTTTTGTTGTTTAAAGATTTAATACCACTATTGTAACTTAGATGTCATTGAAACATTTTCAATGTTATTTGTAAGCCTTATTACTATCAAGATATCAAGCTCAAGTAATGATCGACAATTACCACATACATCACAACATAACGGAAGGAAGACGCTTGATCTCACTGCATGGAATAACTGTTTTAGGGATTCGGCAGTGAATATGATAAATTATTTGAATATTATTTATTTAGTAGTTGGTCTGGTATCAACCCCTACATATATAAATATACGACTGTCAAAAGCTGATGAACCCAATTCGTTCAACTCGATTCAAGTTAAAATACATAAAAATAAGTCGACTTCTGTCAATACTCCATAGTATTTACATCTTAGCACACCACAAATCTATGCAATTCCTGACTAAGTTCGGAAAAAAATTACCGCAAGTTGAAGACCAGATGGATTGTGCAATATACTATTGAGCATATAAAAACGGTCAATTGAGTATAGCAACATATAACATAGGACAAATTCACTGACGACATTTTGATGACATGGGCAATTTAAAGTGACTTCCAGTATTGCTTCCTACCAGAAATCGCTGGTGAATTTAAATACCCAACCGATGACTCTGCGAAAAGACCAAGGTTACAATACTTCAATGTACACTCACAGTTAGCATGGTTAGAATTTTGTTTGCTGTAAAAAACTTGGGCTTGGACCAAAATAGCATAACATACATCAAAATGACAACCCAATGAAATTCTTGAACAAGAACACAGAGAAACAACACAAAATGTGTTTACACATATTATTTGTGCATATTATTACTTCAAAAGAAAATGCTATGCTCCTTAGCCATCATTAGCCATCAGAGCTGAGAAGGTTTGATATTACACAACTTGGTATAATTTTGCCATATCAGAATTGCTTAATAAGAACGTGTTACGCAGTATTCACAATCACTACCTCATAGTCATTTTCCTGATCGTATTAGTATTAACATGAATTGCTTTAGGCCTCGTGTCAACCAGTATTTACTAATGCGCAATAGTACACTATAATATCTTGTAATCCCGGAAGCATTTGGCCTTTTAGTGGTCGCCCATAACTTTGCTCAGAGATCAGTCTCCTTTCAATTTTGAGTGAGTGTTAATGACATTGCTATGAGTAAATTAGGAGTAAATTTCATTAATAAAAAAAAACACAGCATGTTAATTAGAGTCGATCGATTCTTCGAATGTAAAGTCAAGTATTTCAGAAATCCTTATTGAACAATTTCCTAAAATAATTTTTGCTTGATAAAAAAGATTTGATCTAACACAAGTAAATGCAGGAAAATAACCACGAGCAGTTGCCCAGTGATCATTGAAATGGCTCCTGCATATTAATAATAGATAAAGGATTATAAGAAAACAATGAAAGAGAAACGAGGCTAAAATAGCAACCATCATATCAGGTAGCTTTCTTCCGGCAATTAATTACTCAAAGATACCCGGATGAACTAAACTGATAAAAAACAGAATAAAATTCGCCTACATAGAATCACTTCACTGATAAAATCACCTTATGTTGAAAAAAGAGCTGACTGAAGCAGGTTATAGGCTGACCAAGTATTTGTGTTCAGAAATGAAAATCCTTCAAGATATTGTAAGTTGATGTTCTATTTCCAATCGCAATGCTCGACGAAAGAAATTTAATTCTATGTCCTAAATCTTATTTGAAGCATAATTGCATAGAAATGAAAAAGGTAGATCCACTGCAGTTCCAAACACTAAATTGAATTTATCGATATTCAAATCAGTAGGGACATTCAGAAGTAAAAATCCTTCATGATATGGAAGTTGGTGTTCTATTTTGAATCGCAATGCTCGACGAAAGAAATTTGTTTCCATGTCTTAAATCCTATTTGAAGCATAATTACATAGAAATGAGAAAAAGGTAAATCCATGCAGTTCCAAACACTAAATTAAAGTTATAAATATCGAAATGAGTAGGAACATTCAGTACCATATCCCTCGAAGCTGTGTGCCGCAACAGACTAAGAATCAGCTCATTCAATTATTTAGCTTACTTGATTGGCCCTGATGTATCCAACTGACATGGAAATTACTAATATAATCTTAAACTATATTATTAATCAACCAATTTCCTGACAAAACAGCGGAACTAGTATTAGGCAGGAACATACACTGGGGCACTCGAGTTGAAAAAGCTAGCAATACAATAATTTTTCTAACATTTCAAAATATTCAAAACAAGTATAACAATCCACATGTATAGCGAAACGATTGATATTCTTGGTGAAGCTTAGGTAACCTAATATATATCATAGTTGCAAGCAAAATTTTGTCATATTGTAGAGCAAATGATAATGTTGTAACATAGAGAACCTATAGCTATCTCCCTTGAATTCACTTAAACAAGTTGCAGTATTACCCTGCTAAATAATTTAAGCAAATTGTCTAAATGTGACCTTGTATAAACTCCAACTAAAACAAAAATCAAACCGATTCTCATAAAATATACAGCTACTTACGCCTTGTTCATTCTTTATGACAATTGACTGAGTTCCAACTCCAACTGTGGTGCTTGGGTTGAATGTGTTTAATGTTTTAGCCGGTATAACAATGGTGTCGCCAACTTTCAGTTTTGCTGGTAGATTCGTATGTGTAACCATTCTTGCATTAGGTATTGTCACCACAGAAGCAGCTAAAATTTACAAAGTCTGTTATATTCTGAAACAACATATTATTATGAATACTTCACAGGACTTGCAATTGTGTTTTCAATATAAAAATTATCAAAAACTAAAAAGTGAAAATTTTCATAAACTGGTTAAGAATTAAGCCTCCATCTGAAGCCTCCTCTGAAAAATTTGTCCAATTTTCATTGAGATGCCAGCAAAGTATAATAATAGAGTGATTGAAATGATATATCCTAACCGATAAAATGGTAAATTGATACCTTTTCCGGGACTTGAAAAAGAGCTCTTTATCCCTGATATAGCTGGTAATGTCGTTGGAATGAGCTGAAATATACATTTACAATTAATGAACAGCCAACAAATTTAAAATTACTAGTTCTATTAATTCAATATTGTAAGATATTTTATTACATTAGGAAATATTAGAGCTCAAACATGCTGCTCCAATACCAAAATTAGCACGTCTCGTAACTATGTATAGTATAAACCAATAACTCAACTACATATAGAAACTTCATGTTTTAAAACAAGTTATATACTCTCCAAAAAGTGGAAAAAGGCAAGGGGTACTCAACAGCTGGAATACACAGATTAGCACAAATATATCATACTCACAATATCACCCCTACTGGATGGAACAGCTTTCAAAATTTGAATTTGCTGTGGTTGTTGAGCGTGAGTCTGTGGCAATGTTTGCACAGGATGCTGGAAGTGTTGAATTTGTCCAGGTCTGGATACAATTGCTTGTAACACTCTCATCTGAGGAATTTGAACTGTCGCCATGGTCACTGTCGTTAAAGATTTACCTGATGATGAATTGGACTGAGCACTTTCAACGTGTGTTGCAATGTTTGGCATCATTGTCACTTCCATAATTGTTTGGTCTAATTCTGATGAAGTTTGAGGGGAAAGCATCTTTGAATCCAATTTCCACCTGGGTCAATTCTAATTTAAATCTGCCAAGAGAGACAAATTTTTAAGGAAAATATATATGAAATATTATGCTATGACCCCAAATAACCTTCTGGGCGCAACCTTGACTCTAACCAATCTTTAAAAGCAGCAATAAAAGCCTTCATCTCTGCATAATGTCTATCACAGTATCAAGATTATTCAATCATTTTTGACGTATACAATTTCTGTGGTGAGCCCTTACTTGTTCCTTCTTACTCTTTGACTATCAAAATGTGCATTTGTAATAAGACTATTTGTTCCTCTGACTACATAGTAGTATTGATTGGTTTGCCTGATTGAAAAGTGTGGCTAAATTCTACAAAGCAACGACAAGGCTGCTTAGTGAGTCAGCAAAAAATCTTGTGGGCTAGTTCACTAAACGCCTAAAGAACTTCTAGTTGGCGTGGCATAACCATTTTCGCTTATGTCATTTCCAACCCCCACCTGATTACGTCATCTAAAAATTACATCACCACAACGTCACAGTGACAAAATAAGGCCCGTCAAAGTATACGGATTGTCGTCTAAAACGTACAGACAAACACTCAAAATCAAGCAAGCTATTTCTTTCGTTTTCTCGTCGTAAAGATTCCGATATGGGAGAGATCGCTGGCGTTAGCGAGTTCGCTATCGTCGGAGGAGATGCCAATTCCGGCGATAGCAGCTTTTTTTTGGCAAGCTCTATGACATGATCGTGACGTAATTTTTGGATGAAGTAGTCAGGTGGGGGTTAGGAATAACATATGCAAAAATATTTGGGCCACGCCAACTACAAGTACTTGCAGCGTTTAGTGAACATGCGCCAAATCTTGCACTTCAATATCCCTCCCATTTTCATATGAAATATTTTAATAAAAGTAAGGGCGATCCCATTATCTCAAAAGCTATGTCACATGGGCCCAGTCTGTTGTTAATAAAACAGCTTTATTGAAAGTCGAATCTCTTTAATGAAGAGAAATCAACTCCTGAATTCACACTCAACCTGAAAAAACTATGGTGCCCTTACAGCCTTGTGATGCTAAGTTAGGCTTATGTTCTGCCACATGTCAAGATGTTTGTCCTGTGACCACCAGAGATTCACGAAAAATGACATCAATTAATCAAAACAGTGCTTCTCAGTCACAGTGATGTAATAGAGTCCTTCAAACTATACGAACTGCCATCCAAGACGCGCAGAAGAGTACCCGAAATCGAACAGCTATTTCTCTCGTTTTCTCGTCGCTGCGATCCCAATAGGAGAATGAGATCAATGATGTTAGTCAGTTCTTTCTCGTCGGCGCCGATGCCATTTCGGGCGGTCTTACATATATTTGGCGAGCTCTATGACATGATTGTGATGTCGTAGTGACGTAATTTTTGGATGGCGTAGTCAGATGGGGGTTAGGATATTGACATATCAAAAAATTGTTATGCTACGCCCACTAGAAGTACGTTAGGTACGAAACTACACGTTGCCCCCGCAGGCCGCAATACTGGCTTCTGCAGACAAAAAGGAACAGAACTTAACACAGAATGAGCTACAAAAATATGTGCACTCACAGACTCATTAAAAGACAGTGGATAGGTTGATATCAAGTGGAATATCAGGTTTTATTAATACTGTAATAGGGGTCATGAGTTCAAGTTCCAACACATTCAAGGTTTCATCCATGGCATGATTTTGACTACTTCTAATTCACTCAACTTCATTCACATATTGACATAACATTAACAGAGATCTCAGAATAATAATTGTCAGATTGTACTTATACTGTTATATGTAAAAAAGAAAGAGTCATTACATGACAAAAATGAAATTTTAAACCAAATGTTTTTCATGATTAAAAAGTTGTTTTTTGATTCTGTGATTCAATTTAAGAATTTGACACATGACTGCATGAGTTGATTGCTGATTGACACTACCGAATCTACAATAACTCTAACAAAACTGCAATTACAGTAATTATCGAGGCTCTCCGTAATGCCAAAGCATAAGTTACGGTAAAGTACCGTATATTGAGTACCGGTATACGTGCAGTAATGCCAATCTCAGAATCCTGGAATCTGTCGCTTCAAAGCATCCTGGAATCGGTCGTGTAAACATCAAGTTACCACACCATTAGATTGCAGTTTCTTAATATTCAACAAATGATATCGTTTCATTTTATGCTTATACAGGATATTTCCAAGTACCCCACAACCTACACGCCACACCCGGCGCCGTAAACCTAATACTGCGCTGAAAGTACAAACGCCGCAGCATAGCGTAGCAGGGAGTGGAAGGAATGACCTGACAACGTAGAAACGAGCTTGGCGGCGCTTATGCGAGAACACATCCCATTGGCTAATCACTGACAGATGTAAGAGACACTATACTAAACTTCGCACCGGAAAATCTGCCGTAAACACCAACATTTATGGTCAACCAATGACATGAAACATGTTTCATTGGGTTAACGTAGTAGTATATATTTACGGGTTAACGTTAACTGGTCGCAGAATTTAGATTATTATCAGCTACTACCGAACGTAAAGTTTATTTTAGAAACATAAAACATAATGAAAATAAAGATAAATATACACAAAAAATCGATATTAGGATTTAGGAACATCAGCTGCAAGCACGAAACAGAGAAAGAGATTTATTTCCATAAAACATTGTGAAAAGAAAAGACCTATTTCAGATTTATATCGAAATACAGTGCAGTAAACAAATTTAAACATTGAATTGTGTAGGTCAGTATGCATGACCTTTGCAGGTCCTGACCATTTTGTTTACACTGTGATCAAACTTTCATAATGGATTGTGAAAATATAAAAAGACAGAAAATGAGTCGGCAAATAATCTTTTCCCTTCTACAATTCGGCACTTTATAATCAGGTTTATTGTCGAGTTCAGAAAGTCAAATTATAAATTATGCGACACTATGATCTAGTACAGTACTGATCACTTCCACCTAACCTGGCTCGGTATGGACCTTTCCCCGAGCATCAACTTCCTTGTTTACTTCGTGACATTTGCCAATCAGCAGAATGCAAAAAGCGACGTAACAATGCCCCCTTTTCGCATCCGCTCAGACACTTTTTTCACTCAGACAGATTTTCAAGCGTGGTTGTAAACATTACCTCGTTTTCGCGTTTTTGAACTCTATTCGTTAGTTTTCAGTTGTGTTTTGAAAACTTAAATATAAATCAGATAATTCAATGATCACTCTGTCTTTCTAGGAGTTTTAATTTAATTGCAGTAATAAAAATTAGTGTAGAAATAGCTGTGATAGACTAGCCTGAAATTCTTTACCGGTACCTTTAAAAAACAGATTGTTGTATGCAATGAATCATAATGATGGTTTGAAACATATACCCCATTTTACAGACGCCAACTTGCAAAAGCACTCTTAAAATAGCCCCGAAAATTTTGCAATGGTAAAGTATAGGAAGAATTTTCGGGGGTTAAAGGTCGGGGAAAAGTCCATAGAAAAAGGATAAACAGTACGGAAATAAAAGTTTCACAGATTCAATCATGAAACTATATTACACCAATAGTAATGTAAGACAAATATTATTGATATAAGCTAAATCTGATAAAATTAAACTACGCTGATATACAATCAGGAGTTGAAAATATAATGCACTACAGATAAATAAAACATGTTTTACTTATTATTTATTTTTTTAATTGATATGTGAAGCCAATTATGCTAAATATTTTTTTAGCATGAACTTTTTCATTTTCTTAGAAAAAAAAAAGATAGAGAGGGATTTTTCATTTCAGATGAGACATAACCCCAAACCGATTGATTGTATATTCTCGCACAAAAGCTCGAATCTTGGCTCTATTTCGGTGATGGTGGGTCTAATACTGGTTCCAAATTTTCCGCGATCTCTATTGAGCCCTTTCTCGACCTCCGGTTTGAAGAACCCTGCTATAGCGTATAGCCTACTTAGAGATCTCGAAATGAATTATAATAAACGATTGAACATTGTTGGATGCAATTCAAATTTCGTTGTTGTTAATATAGAATAGACCATATAGAGCTGATTAAAACAATATATATTGACATGGAAACTCTCTAACATCCTTGGATATGAAAAGAATTAATTAAATAGTTGACGAGGATACCTATTTGAAAGGTTTTTCACAAAAATTGCAATATGATGTTTCATATATTTGCAGTTCAACCCATCAAAGATAGATAAAAAAAACGTCGTCCTTTTCTCAAAGCATGATCATTAGCAAATTAGCAAACACCATATTATCTGTACTAGGGTTACAATATTTGAGAATGCAAAATTCCGGACAGTGCATGACAGAGACTATATATATGCGCTACCGAAATGCTAAGGCTGCAAACGTTGTACGATACTGATGCTAAGAGTCGCAGTTCTTACCACTTCGTGGCAGCTCCTGCCACGAACGAACTGCAGCGTCTCTTGCTATGGTTCTATGACGCTATTCAAAAATCAGTTACTGGTATATTCACAAAGTCATGTACCAGATTTTAGTTTATCATGCGGAATTATAACATAAAGTTTTAATTCTTCCTTTTCACAAGCCATTTATGAACCAGCTCCAAATTTTCTAGCACTTCTGCATCGGAATTGTTTTCTCTCTCAACCACTTGAACACATCTATCAAACACGGACATTATAGTGAGTGCATATGCCAAGGGTATAACTCGCTCATTTCATTTTCAAAGAACCGTTTGATAACTATTGGTGGATGTTCTTGTGACAAAAAGTAGAACTTCAGGGGTGGGTGAAAACAATTCTAACAATCTTGAAATTCTAGGAAACAAGGAGGACAGCGAGTCTTGCTATGAGAGAGAAGTCTCTTCTATTCACAATTTGCAAATTTACAGTATTCTATCAGTTGTTCAGTTCTAACTGTGTAAATAGAAAAATATTGATATATCTTTCAATATTGATATTATTTTCAATATCGATGTTCATTCTTCCAGCCCCATGATGGATACAATTGTTTAAAGCGTGTGCTGAGCAGCCAACCCCAATCAATGACGGGTTCAACATTTTCTTTAACTTT